TAGGGGGTATGGAGGGTATCGAAGGTATCGAAGGTATCTAGGGGGTATGGAGGGTATCGAAGGTATCGAAGGTATCTAGGGGGTATGGAGCGTATCGAAGATATCGAAGGTATCTAGGGGGTAATGGAGGGTATCGAAGATATCGTGTGCATCGAAGGTATCGAAGGTATCGAGGGGGTTTCTCGTGTGCATCGAAGGTATCGAGGGTATCAAAGGTATCGAGGGCATCGGGCTCTCCTCTACCACGTCCATTGGCTGTGGCGAGCTCCTCACGTCTTAACGACCGTGATGAAGACTCCGTCGGCAGATCTCGTCAAGCAAGTCTTCCCCAACGTACCCTACAAACCGCTCAACGACGACCCGAACGTCACCGTGCTCTCGAACGAAAAGGCGAAAAAGGTGCTCGGCTGGCAGCCGAAGTACGACTGGAAGCCTTGAGAAAGTGTAGAGCAAAATCAACCCTGCAACTGCAATCAAGAATGTCGCCCAATGTCATTTGTGCCTGCGTGCGGTTTGACTGGACCGATTCTTTGTGAGATGCTGTTTGAGCCTGTCGTACGCCGGAAAGAGTGCGGAAGAACTCAGCTTCTGCCGACGCGTTCTGGATGCATACCCGCTCCACAAAACCAGCACGGGCGGAGAAGGTCGATGCGACAATCTTCCGCGGCTGTGCGCCATGAGAAGAGATCAGAAGCCAGCGAGCCAATCCGAAGCGCCAATTCCATCTAAGCCGATCGGCTCAGGACGATCTGACAGGAGATGGCATTGTCATGTGCCGTCCGGACTTTGAAGCGGTCTGGCAACCTTCTTGCTGCGGGCGGTTAAGGTTGCGGCGGTGGCCAATCCGAGTTGTGCACAAGGCAGAAGGCAGCAGGCAAGTGTGCCCAGATTGACGGCCATGGTGAGCTTCGGAGGCAGTGATTCCGCTCGCAATCTAAGCGAAGGCGAGCTAGCGTGGAGGCCAACGGCGCTAAAAGGCTTGGCTTTCTGCACGACGACAGCGCCAAGACTTTTTTTCATTATTCGCCAGCTCGCCACTGCGGCGCTCCAATAGCGCCATGCAGGCGCGGTTGCAATGTCGATGCATGAAAGCATGAACCGTGTCCGTCCGCCTGGTTCTCTCATGCTCTGCCTGCCAGATACGTGCGAGCTGGGACTCCGAGGTCTGCCTCCCGACGGCACAGATGTCCGGGTCTAGTTGCGGCGTACAGTATCAATCCCCTCGGCCTCCAAAGACGCCCAGCGGAGCGGCACGGCGACCTGCCTATTTTGGTGACCTATCCCCCCGGATCCTCGGAGTGCATCCAACCGGCGCCCTTTGCTCCCCACGCTCACCCAGGATGCTCTTGAGCTTGATCTTCGCTTGGCTGCAATAGCTTGCATGATGCGGCAGAAGCTCGAGAGGGAAGGACCCTTGGGCAGTGTCGCGCCAAGTTCTCCTGCGCCCTCGCACGTCAAATACGCTAGTCGTCTGCAGGCCAATGGGCGTAACGAGCGATCCTTTCATCTATCCCTGTCCTTATTCGTGCTGACCCCGGTTATCAACGTTGAGGCATCACCATCGGCATCACCTGTCGAAGGAAGCCGTGTTGTTATGCGAGTTGAGCGGAAGTGCATCTTCCGTAGGCCAATCGTTGCCTCGTTCCCAGCCGTTGCATCCTTGCCCAGCGATTAAGCTCCAATTGGATCCGCAGTGAATCGGAGGCGATCTGCTTGCAGGCCGCAGATACCGAGTCGGGCGACATCAGAGACCTGTCTCGGGCGTCATGCCGGGATCTTCCGTGCGTGTTCGCAATCAATCAGGCACGCTCGCAGCGACACGCTCAAATGTATGGTAACAATGTCTTCTGAGACATGTCTAGAAGCGCCCGGACTGAGACTAGTGCTGGTGTATCATGGCGGACAGGCGCCTTGGGAAGGTCGACTTTGAGCCGGTCGGCAGAGTGAGCCGTGGCATAGGCGAGGCCACGATGGCCGAGGAAGGTCAGGCAGCCGAGCCTTACCGATGTCGCCCAAAGGGTCCTACCGGTTGACGCGGCTCGAGGCGATTTCTTCTTGTCTTGCCAGCCACAGAGGCGCCAGAGCCTGTACCCTGCACCTCGCTCGCTCGTTCGCCACTTTTGGTATTGGCAGACCGATGTGTATATGCAGAGCGTCAATACGGACGAGCGCTTTCCGATGCCAACGCTTCGGCTGGTTCCTCCACGCTACTTGACACCCGCCTTGGCGGCCCACGACTCCGATAAGCAGGACGGCTTTGCACTCATGCACAGATGTCGTGACCTTGATCGCTCCAATCATCATTAGCCGATGGCATCCGCAGATACCACTTCTTCTCGCCCTCCTCGCCATTTGGATATTGGGCGCAGCGGGTTGCATGGGTTTAACCGAGCTCGTGCTGAGCACGGAACAGGCTCGTCCGGTTGGCTCACGCCCGACGATGAGAAGATACCTGCGAGCAATGACGATCCGGCGAGGCGCGCATGAGCGAAGACACTCGCTCGGCGCCACAGAGTGAAGCAGAGAGGGGGTGAGGCAAGGGTCCCAAACGCGCGTGTCGAACGACATCTCTGGTGACCCCACTTGAGCGCTCAGCTGGACCTGTCGTATCGCACGAAGCTAGAGTCGTCAGACATCTTGATTGACGGCGTCATTTGCATATAAGGTGGACGACCGACCACCGTCTTACCATCTTGTCTCCCCATCCCACACAACTCCACTTCCCTACTCCAGCCTCCCCACCCCTCCTAGACAGCTTCCCACGCTTCGAGCCATCGTAAAAGATGCAGTTCAAGAGCCTCGCCGTTATCCTTGGCGCCGCCCTCATGGTGGCGTCGCCCGTCTTTGCCGCCCCCGCCACGCGCACCTGTGGTAACACCGAGGTTGCCCCCGCTGATGTGGAGCAGGCTCTCTCTGCCCGCGTCGCTGCCGCCCGCTCGGCCCGCACCTCCGGGAGTACTAGCGACCTCGCCTTCACTTCCGCCAGCATCCCCGTCTACTACCACGTGATCACCGACGGCACCAACGGCCGCCTCACCTCGAGCCAGATCAACTCTCAGATCTCGGTTCTCAACCAGGGCTACTCGGGCACTGGTGTGTCGTTCTACCTCGCCGGTACCGAGACCACCGTCAACTCGAACTGGTTCAACAACGTTAACCAGGGCACCTCTGCCGAGGCTGCCATGAAGAACACCCTCCGCAAGGGCGGTGCCAACGCGCTCAACGTCTACACCGTCAACTTCACCGGCGGTCTTCTCGGTTACGCCACTTTCCCCTGGAGCTACGCTTCGGCTCCCAAGAACGACGGTATCGTTCTCCAGTGGACTTCCTACCCCGGAGGTCCGATCTCAAACTACAACCAGGGCAAGACTCTCGTCCATGGTAAGCTTTTTTTCCATCAAACATTGTGGATTCGTTTGACCATATACTGACAATCGAACTTGATACTTTTTGATGCCAATAGAGGTCGGACACTGGGTTGGTCTTTACCACACCTTCCAGGGCGGTTGCTCCAGCCCCGGTGACTACGTCGACGACACCCCCGCTCAGGGCCAGCCCACCCAGGGCTGCCCTACTACTGCCCCCGACACATGCTCGGGCGGCGGTGCTGACGACATCAAGAACTACATGAACTACAGCTACGACGTCTGCCTCACCCGCTTCACCGCCGGTCAGGTCTCGCGCCTCCAGGCTGCCCTTGATGCCTACCGTTAAAGCAACGGGATCGACCCCAAAAGAACTCGTTCCGCAGGTCTCGTCGTCGGGCTTGCATGTCACCTTTCGCCTTCGCACCGCATCTTTTCTAGCCGCACTTTTGGAATCAACAGCTTTTACATTTGAGCGTTTCGACTGCCAGCCTGTACGGGCTTCTCGTCTTCTCAGCAACCCACAACTTTTGCAGCCTCAGTGTTTGAAGTGATCAACGACTTTGCTTCAGGATGCGAGCCGCTCGTACGAGCTCCTCCTCCGGTCTGTGGAATCGACGCGCCACCGGGGTCTGCAGCTGCAGCGCTGTCGATTTCCGCCGCGCCAAAATTCCAAATCCCGCACACTGACGTCCTGCCTGCCCGGGCAAACGCCGCGGAATTGCCCGACGCCACTTCCCGCACTTTCCGCACTTTCGGCACACCGCAGCTCCTCACGCGCGGAAGCTCGCAATCAGCTCCAACACCCCGCGAGCACATGCGGTCCGCTCCTCCGCAGCAAGACTCTCCGCGTTGAGGCGGATCTCTCAGCCACAGCTGCCTCCGTCCGTCTGAACAGGGTTTGCAGAATCACACACAGCGGTCAAGAGACAAAAACGGCCGCCAAAGGTATGCACCGACGAAATCTCTTCCTGCACTTCCGCAGTGCGTACACCACAGCTTCCACACGTGCGGGACTTCGCGGTCGGCTCCTCATGACATAAGGACTCTCCACTCCCTCGCGGCCGCACCAGAATTCAACCTCAGGCGCTCTCTCAACAGAGGTTGCACACCACACACACTCATGGATGGAAATAACGGCCGCGCCCGAAAGCGGATCATATGCTATTGAAATGCTAGATTCGAGCCACGACGATGCTTGTGAAGGAAAGGAATGCGACGAAACGACGATGCAATCGAGTCTGTATGCTGAGAGAGAGAGGACAAGCTTTTGGAAATTGTGAGAAGGGCAGAGTTGTCCACGACCAACGCAAAGTAAAGCAGAGCGAAACAGGGAGAGCGGAGCAGAGAGCGGCAGGAAGCGCTCACAGATTCCAAAGCCGCCGCAGCTCTTGCTTGGCCATCGCCTCGTGATCAGATCCGAGGAAATCGTCCTGCGGCTTATGGCGGAGCTGCTCGCCGGAGTCTACTTCTTTGCACTCGAGGTGGCCATTGAGTGCTACCGACTTGGCCGAAAAGACACCGGAATCTCCTTGGACTTCGCTGACGCTCAGATAGCCCGTGTTACTCCTAGGAATTTTGTTCCTTGCATTGGTGCCATAAGTCGTTCCCCGAAGACTCGCGCGTCGGTTGTCGAGCTTGTCGCCGTTGATGTGGTCCACGCAAGTCTCGCCTTCGTTGAGCTGGAGGATATGCTTGTGCAGCAACTTGTTCAAGGCGAGAGGATAGCCTTGCCTTGCCTTATCGCGATGACCCTGTCCCGGAAAGCAATGTAGATATCACCGTCGACCCGCACTTGCTCGCCCGTCTTGGTCGTCAAAAACGAAAAGCCATGCGCAGTGCGGGAAATTACCGCAAGCCGGTCCCGTCGATATTAGGACCGCAGGGTCTGAGTACCGCACAGGGCTACGGCCAAGGGGGAGCGCGGGCGGGACGGAGAGGTCGTTGGTCAACGGTCGTACCGTGGGGGTCAGAGCACACTACCACGTGCTAACATGCGACGAGGGTTCTGGGAAGCCCTCGTCGGTCGATCCACGAACGAGAAATTTGTCGTCGGCGGCCTCCGCCGGGCGCGCCAGTAACGAGCTCCGAGTCGTCGGTCGCTCGCGCCCGGCGTGGGGTCACCGAGGGCGCGCCGTCGGGTCTAGCATCGCCGAGGGAGCGCCGTCGGGTCTGACAGTCGAGTCTTTTCTTCCTCCTCCTGTCGGACTGCCTCTTGCAAAAGCTCCCTAGCTGCGTCCAAGGTGTTGCGTAATCCGAGATGTCGTCCGCGAAGCTTCACCCGGTAGGAACCAGCTGACTTCTTCACAATCGTTCCTTTGCCGGTTTTCCCCTTCGCCCGTTTCCCCTCAAAGTTGTTGAGGTATTCGACGTCGCTCTCCGTGAGGTCCATTTCCGTCTCCAGAGCGGCAAAGTCGTCCAAGTCCTCCCGGCGCATCTGCCCAATGCGATAGGCTTTGGCCGCCGCAGCACTACGGAAGGTGCCGAGCGAAACAGCTCGRMGTTGTTAGACCCAACCGCGCGCCCTTCGCAACTCACGCCGGGCGCGAGCGACCGACGACTCGGAGCTTGTTCCTGGCGCATCCGGTGGAGGCCGCCGACGACAAATGCGCCGTTTCCCCTCAAAGTTGTTGAGGTATTCGACGTCGCTCTCCGTGAGGTCCACTTCCGTCTCCAGATCGGCGAAGACGTCCAAGTCCTCCCGGCGCATCTGCCCAATGCGATAGGCTTTGGCCGCCGCAGCACTGGGGAAGGTGCCGAGCGAAACACCTCGAAGTTCTGCAGTGTAACCTGGACCCTTGACGTTCTTCGTGATCCCGGTGAAGCCCGACTTGGGCCGCTTTTTCCGCGTCATCTTGAGCTGATTGTTTCGTCTCTCCCGAAGCTGGAGGTTGGACAGCACGTTGTTGATAGGATTCACCCGCCGGAGTCGCGGGAGCGGCATCGGCGGCGACAACGACGGCAGTGGCCGCCGGCGGGAGAGGATCGGTCACAGAAGCGGCCGACGCGGCCTCTGACAGCTCCTCGACAGCCGTGAGCATAGTAGCCACGGTGTCGACGGAGGGAGCGCCCTGACCCGCGATCGGCGGCTCCTCGAGCACCGTGGGCATCTCAGCCACGGTGACGGCAGTTTCTGCGACAAAGAAAGGGAAAACACAACGAGTCAGCGGCCCATCCACGTCTTCCACGACAGGCACGACCGGAAATCACTTACCGTCGGCGTCGTCGGGGTTGTCGGCGGCCTCGAAGGCCGCACGCATCGAATCGCCTCCGCGCACAAGAGGCACGACGCCTACCCCAACAAGCCACGCCCCCACGGCTGGCAGTGAGCCTCAGCGCTCTCTTCTTCAACAGTGGCGCTCACACTTCAACAGTGCAAAAAAAGGGCCGAAGGAAGTCCCCGTTCTCTTCTCACGACTCACACGCACTCAGACACACACACAGCGAAAGACAAGCGTAACGATTTACATTCCCACCGAGACTAATCCTCCGGGGAGATGGCGTCGAGGTTCTGTCCCATGCCGAGAAACATCTTGTCGACGTAGGCCCGCAGGACGCCGAGGGCGCGGGCCCGATTGAAGCGACCGTCAGCACACCCACGCTATCGACGACGTGGCCTACGAGGCAGACCCCGCCGCCAGACCCGCGACAAGCTGCCGACGGCGGTGATTGACCCACACTCGCCTCAGAAACCCACCGACGGTCGTCAACCGTTGTCGGCCCGCCCACGGTGCCGCCGACGCTCGACACGCTAATCCAGCGCACCGCCGACCTTTTCGACGTAGATCTATCGCCGACGGTGCCGGTTGGACCGCGGCTGCGGTACACGAGAGCCTCGATGGATCCTGATCAATGTGGTCGATGACGTAGCCTTGAAAGAAAAAGGTGTGAGTAAAATGCTATGCGAGCAGACGACCAAAGAAAGGAGGAAGAGACAAGCTTACCAGAAGGAACGGGCTCGGAAAAGATCCGTGCGTGGAGCGATTGGATACCCACGTCTCCAGAACCTAACTTCGGCTGGGTAGAATGTACCCACTGGCGGACTGATACGTATGACAATTGTCGAAGACATCGGCATTGCAGCCGGAGACCGTGACGAGAGCGGTGCCGACAAGTTTCGAGACACTGCCCTACTCCACAGTGGGCGAGGGACGTGAGCGTCCGGCAGAGGTAGGCATGGTGGATGAGGGTGGAGAAAGGGGGGGCGCCCGCAGAAGAAAGGGGGTCGGCGTGCGATGAGGAACATGAAGGCGGGACCTTCGAGCGATGCAGAGTAGGCCTAGCCGGCGCATCGCCTGTCGTCCAGTCGGCTCTCGATGCTTACCGTTAAAGCAAGGGAAACGTCTTCAAAACAACTCCTTCCGCAGGCCTCATTGCCGGTCTTGCATGACTCCTTTCGCCTTCGCAACCCATCTCTTTGTAGCCGCACTCTCGGAATCAAACATCGCCATTGCATCAGACTACGAAGAACCCGTGCGAAAACTGTCTGCCGCTTACCTCCCTGCAGCCTCACCTCCGACTCCTTTGCATCGGAACCTTGCCAACGCGGATAGCTTGTTGCGGATAGCTTATGCCAGCTCCTCCTCCGGCCTGCGGATTCGACGCGCCGCCAGCAGTTCCCTGCTGCAGCTCCACGGCTGTCGAATTTGGCCGCGCCAATATTCCAATTCCCGCACACCGACGCGCTGCCTGGCCGGCGAAACGCCGCGGAATTGGCCGACCCTTTTTCCCGCACTTCCGCACTTTCCGCACTTTCCGCGATCTGCAGCTCCCGCAGTCCGCACGCTGCAGCTCCCAAACGCGCGCGTCGTCGCCGTCAGCTCCTCGTGACACAAAGCTTGTCCGCTCACCTCGGTGCCACACCGGGATTCGATCTATGCACGCGCTCTCTCAACAGAGTTTGCAAACCACACACACGGATGGATGAAAGAACGACCGCGCCAGGAAGCCGACCGCATGCTATTTCGAATGCTAAAACTGAGCCACGGCGATGCTTGGAAGGAAAGGGAATGCGAGGGATCAGAATGCTAACGAGTCTATATGCTGAGAGAGAGGATAAAAAGGTGCCATCAAAAAGACCGAGTGTCCACGACAAAAGCAAAGAAGAAAGGAGAGGAAGCTAGAAGCTAAAGAGACCGCCGCCGTTGCGCATCTTTCGGCCGCCGAGCAGGTACGACAGCACGGTACTGGCGAATAGACCGACCGTCAGACCGAGGGCTACCTCGACGAGCGACTGTGCGACGGTGAAACCAGACGCAAAGGCGGAAGTCGAGTCCTGGTTGCTCGCAAAGTTGAGCAGTCCACCGCCGTTCGACAGACCACTTGGCAGCTGGAACAGGATACCCGGCACCGACACGACAAAGCTGCGCCCGTCAAAGATGCGCCCGTAAATGTTGGCCATGGTGCCTACGGCCAGCGATCCCAGCGCGGCAGTGACGTCCTGTCGTCGCGACAGTGCAGTCGCCTTGGCAGCAAAGTGGTTGCAAGCCCACCCGCCACACGCGATGAGCACCATGACCGGAAACTCTTTGCGCGTAACCTTGGCTTGGTTGCGCAGCGACAAACAGATCGAGTACGCCGGCGCCGTCAAGATCGCCCAAATCTCGGCTACGTCCGACCTCCACCACTGATCCGTATGTGGCAAGCTGCAATTGTTGAACCCCTCGGTCGAGGTATTGCTCGAAAACAGCTGCCAGAACGAAACGCCAATCGAGATGCCAAACCCAAGAAAGAGCGAGTAGATGATGGCATATACTAACCGAACCGATCCTGCGATCAAGTTCTTGGACTGCAGCTCGAGCGAGCCGCTCAGCACGATAAAGCCGGGCAGGATGAGCACGATCGAGCCGGACACGACGGCGGCATAGCAGAAGTAGCCCGAGCTCTGCACCGCTGCGGCGACAAACGAGTTGAGCGTGGCAAAGACGATCTCAAACACGTTGCTGTACAGCTCGGTGGTGATGATCGACTGGCAGTACACCAGAAACGCACCCAGGGGAAACGCCATGAGCGCGTCGATAAAGCTGCCGTTGAACCCTTGCGGACCGACGCAGATAAACGCCGATGCGAATCCGCCGATCAACACCATGGGCCATCGACCGATGATGGGTTTGCGTCGCATGAGCTCGTCGAGCTGGTTCGAGGCCTCCTCGACGCCGATCTTGTCGTGGATGACGTTCCAATAGATAGTGTGCATGTCGGTGAGCTTGGTGAGGTCGAGCCCGGAGCCTTGCTTGATGAACTTGGTCTCGGAAGTGTGTGTGGTGTCGTCACCAAACGCAATGAGCATGAGGTTGGGCAGGTAGATGCAGCGGCAGTTGATGTCGAGCACGCGTCCGGTCTGCTGGATCTGCGTCTCGATGCGATGCGTGGGCGCGCCAAACATCATGAGCGCGCGCGCGAGCTTCATGATAAACTGCTGGCGCTGCAGGATGGCGGCGACGTGCATGGTGATAAAGATCTCCTCCTTGCGCTTCTTGTCCTTGGCGCGCTTCTTGAGCTTGCGCTGCCACTCTTGCTTGTGGTAGTCCGAGTGCATCTTTTCCGCCTCGGGCCCAAAGTAGTCGGGGCCAAGGCCGGCATTGACGTCGGGCGTGTTGAGGTTCGAGTGCGTCCATGCGCGCGACATGGCGCCCGGGATGAGGTGGCGCTTGCGGATGCCGCCGCTTGCGATGGCGCCGTGGCCGTCGACCGAGCTGCCGCCCGTGTGGGAGCGCGTGGGCAGGTGCATGATCGAGCTCGGACGCTTCTTGTGCGGAGTGGCGTGGCCAGAGGCGGAGGGCGAGTTGGCCTGGGTGGAGCTGTCGCGACGTTCGGGATCAGGACTGGTGGGGAGCGAGTGGCTGCGCGAAGCGAGCGGAGAACCGACGTTGCTGCGACGGTACGGCGTGGGGGCTGCGTCGGCGACGATCTGTGCGGTGCGCTTGAGCGTCTTTGCATTCATCTCGGGCAAGAGGTAGCGGTCGAGCGACCAGCCGGGACGCTTTGGGTTGGGGCCGAGCTGTGCATGCTGCGGCGAGACGGCGCCGACGAGGTTGCCCGTGGTGGCTACGAGCGCACCAAACACGCCTGCGCCGCTCCTGGCCGCCTTGGGTCTTTCGTCGAGCGCACTCTCGATGCCCGTCTCGTTGGCGACGCCGCGCATGACCTTGGACGAGGTGGAGACGGCGGCGGTGCCGACTTTGGCGAAGGTCTGCGTGAGGTTGGGGCTGGGCAGGCCAATGTTGTGGAGCGACATGCCGCGACGCTTTTCGTAGCGCTCGAGCTTGCGCTGAAAGCCTGGCGAGTCGAGCTTTGCCTGGATCGACTCTGCCGTCTCGTGGTTGCCAAAGAGCGGCCTGCCGTCGCCGTCGGGATTGTACTCGCTGTTGCTGGCGACGGAGCTGGTGGCGGCGCTCCTGGCCGAGATGTCGCGCTGCTGCTGCTCGTAGAGGCGCAAGAGGTTGCCGAGGACGCCGCCGGAAGCGACGGGGCGCGCGTCCATGTTCATGGTGGTCTCCATGGGGTCAGGCGTGGTGGCACCGGTGTCGGGGAGGTGGGATCGGCCGATGCGGTCGAGGGCCTCCTGACGCTGCTGAGCAAGCTTGTGCTGTTGGACGAGCCTGGCTGCCTCGCGCTCAAACTTGTTGGGACGACGTCGGGGCCCATCGCCGGTATGAAGACCGCTGGAGGTCTCTACGGGGACCGACTTCCAGTTGGTGGGGCCGCCTTCGTCCTGAGCCTTGGCAGCGGCCCGGTCGAGGATGGGGGCAGGAACTTGGCCTTTTTCTTCCTGATCCTCGTCGTCGGGTGGTGGACGACCAAAGATGCCGCGAAGCTTTGCCCAGCCTTTGGGCTGGTCGTCGGCGTCGGCGGTGTGATCCTTGGGCTTTTTGATGCGCGAAGGCATGCCGTCGGTCTCGCCCGCGACGAGGTCGATGTGGTCGAGGTCCGAGTCGTTGGCGGGATCGTAGCTGCTGTCGCTGGTGGCGGATCCGGGAGTGGCTGCGCCGCTGACATCGCCAAAGGTGGCGGGGGTGTCGGTGCCGTTGGCGTCTGCTGTGCGCTGTCGTCTGCGACGTTCTTCGCGATCTCGCTCGCGATCGGCAAAGACCTGTGCTAGGCGATCGCGACCTGCGCTGTCTTGAGTGCGGTCGTTTTCTTGCCAGCTGAGGTGACTTGCGCCATCGTCGCTGAGAGCCTCGTGCCTCTGAAGCTCACGCTGAAGCTCGAGAAAGGCGCGATTGTCGAGACCCTGTTCGTCGAGGCCCTTGGCGCCGGTGAGGGAGAGGGTGGGGATCTTTTGGGCTGTTGTGGCGGCAGCCTGTGTGGATGCCTCTGCGGCGGGAGCAGCGGAGGGTTTGGGAAGAGGCGGAGAGGACGACGACGCGGGCATTTCGTTCTGAGGAGTGAGACGCTCTGCAATGTTGAGCGGGCCTGGATGATGATTGCGGCGCACGGATCCGAGGCTGAGGCCTTGTCGAGTTTGGGCCTGAGATGGAGCGGCGCCTCTCACGGTGACGGTTGGACCTGCGAGCGCGCCTCCGGAACGAATCTGAAGCTGACCGCCGCGACGTAAGCTGGCTGCGTTGGAGGAGCCGTCCCAGTGGACGCGGCCAGCGCGACGCGTAGCCAAGGATGCGGAAGGAGCGGCGTTGGTGATGGATGGATCATTGGGAAGAGCCGTGGCGGTGGAAGTGGACGAGGAAGCGTCGCGATGCGAATCTGATGGATGCGAGGTTGTGGTGCTGGTGTGTTGCTCGTTCTCGCGTGAGCCGGTGGGAAGTGTGGAAGAGTCGGCGGTGGATGAGGAAGAGACGGTGTTTTCGCGCTCGTGCTGATCGAACGTATGTGATGACATCTTGGCAAAGTCTATGCTGATGCAAGATCAGCGACTGGAAGCGGATGCCGATGGAGCCATAGGAGAAGCACAGGGCGGGCGCGCAACTGCTGGTTGCACGAAGAGACGACCGCCAGCGATCGAAAAGGGAAGATGCAGCGCCGGGCTACAAGGCGAGCGCTGTGCGATGTTGTGTGTGATCTAGGGAAAGAAGCGCCAAGAATGAGCGAGTGGTGATGGTGGATGGGAATAGGAGGTCGAGGTGGGTGTCACGGCGTGTGCCAATGCGGTTTGCTGTTTGGCGTGTGCTGACAGGCGGGCTCCGGCTGCTGCTGCTGCTTTTGTCTTCTGTGGCTTCAACCTTTGCCTTTGCTTTGGTGGGATTGGCGGGTGATTTTCGAATTTATGCGGTGCGGCGGAAAAGTTGCACTGCTGCTGCTGCCAGGGTGAATCACAAGCTTTCGACGCTCGGCAGTTGGCAGGTGGAGCGACAGTTTGGAGCCAAGAACCCGATCCCAGGCACGGCTCAACTTAGCGGCGGCACAGCGGCACGGCATCGCTTCCTGAGAGGCCGAGCAGCTGCAGGCCAAGATATCGGTAGTCGCCGCAGCGCGTTGCGACCCCCGAAGTGCCCTTTTCGGAAGCGCCGTCCCGGCTGCGTGGCTGCGTGGCTGACGGCCTCATGCGCTCATCCGGCAGCACCGCGCGTCGCTTCCACACGTCAGGCCGGCGATAAAAATCGGATTTCCCTCCCCCCGATCCGCGCAAGTCCCGATATGCCCAGATTGAACCGCCTCACTCTTTGCACTTCCGCTTTCGACAAGATACCAACCTCAGCTATACATTACACAAAAAGACGACTAGGGAAGGACAGATCAACCAGACCAAGAGATGCTGTCCAAGTCAATGCCTTCTTGGACCATCTCCCAGAGCGGGCTCATGTCGCGAAGCTTGTTGACGACACGGATGATCTTGTCTGCGACATAGTCGACCTCCTCCTCGGTGGTGAATCGGCCGATGCCGAATCGGAGCGACGAGTGTGCGTTCTCGTCGTTGAGGCCGAGCGCACGCAGCACGTACGACGGCTCGAGCGAGGCCGACGTGCACGCCGATCCAGACGAGAGGCAGATGTCCTTGAGCGCCATGAGGAGCGACTCGCCCTCGACGTACTGGAAGGTGAGGTTGAGGCAGCCCGGGTAGCCGTTGGGGTCGCCGTTGAAGAGCACGTGCGTAATGTTGGCCTCGAGCGTGTTGCGCAGACGCTCCGAGAGCTTGGTGATGTGCGCGTGGTCGTACGCGAGCTCCTGCTTGGCCAGACGCGCCGCCTCGCCGAATCCAGCGATGAGCTGAGGCGCCAGCGTGCCCGATCGCAGTCCACGCTCCTGTCCACCTCCGTTGATGATGGGCTCCAGACGCACACGCGGACGACGGCGGATGTAGCATGCGCCGATGCCCATGGGTCCGTACAGCTTGTGGCTCGACAGACTCATGAGGTCGATGCCAAGCTCGTTGACATCGAGCGGGATCTTGCCCGCAGCCTGCGCCGCATCGGTGTGGAAGAAGGGCTTGGTGGCACCGCGGCCGCTCTGCTTGGCGATCTCGGCGCCCTTGGTCTTGAGCAGATGGCCGATCTCCTTGATGGGCTGGATCACGCCGATCTCGTTGTTGACCGCCATGATCGACACAAGCGCCGTGGTGGGTCGCAGCGCATCCTCGAGCTGCTTGAGGTCGATCAGACCGTTGGACTGCACGGGCAGGTAGGTCACCTCGAAGCCCTCCTCCTGCAGACGACGGCACGAGTCGAGCACGCACTTGTGCTCGGTCTGCGTGGTGATGATGTGGTTCTTCTTGGACTTGTAGAAATGCGCAACACCCTTGATCGCCATGTTGTTGGACTCGGTGGCGCCCGAGGTAAAGATGATCTCCTTGGGGTCGGCGCCGATGAGGCTGGCGATGTGCTCGCGGCCCTCCTCGACACCCTTTTCGGACTCCCATCCATAGGCGTGCGTGCGCGAGTGCGGGTTGCCGTACTGGTTGGTCATGTACGGCATCATCTTGTCCACCACACGCGGATCGACGGGTGTAGTGGACTGCGCATCGAGATAGATGGGTCGGTTGGCTGTCGAGTGCTTGGGAGCGGCGGCGATAATGTCGCTGAGCAGATTCTTGCCCGAGCCCATCTTGCTACCGATGCCGGCGCGCACGTCGGGCTGCGCCACCTCGATGGGCGTCGCCATGGACGCGGGTGACGAGGGGGAAGCGTATCCACGGGCCTGTCCCCGCGAGGCTGAGGACGAAGTAGCGGTAGGAGAGGACGACGAGGAAGATGCGGATGCAGCGCTGAGCTTGGAGACGTTGGTCGAGATGGTGCGTGCATGGACGGCATCACTGCGGGTGAGCGCCCGCAGCGCCATCCTCGATGGTGTCGACGATCGAAGCGAGCTGGCCATGTCGATTGATAGTGGTGAGGGAGGATGTCGTGTGGTGGAAAGGTGCGATGCTTGTGATGGAAGAAAGGCTGCTTTGTGCGTGGACTCAGCCGACGCCCGACTAGCCCCGCACCAGCTCAGCGCTACTCTCGACTTTTTCATTTGCCAAGGACCAGGGACCGCTCACAAGGTGCCAAAGGCCGCTCGACAGAGTGTGGCGAAGCGCGCCAGAAATTGAATAAGCCCTGGGCCTGCTTGGCTGAGCGCAGTCGGGCATCCGATCGCGGTGTGGCAATTTCCAGAGTGTTACGCCGTCATTCCGGCTGTTGGAATGGAGAAAAACAACTCGCACGAGTCTCGCTGGAAATTTGGCACCGGACGGATCCGAAGCGGCGCACAGGCTGTTGAGCGTGCGCGACTGACGGCTGCAGTGGTAGCAGCCAACAACCTGAGCCATCTCTTTGATATCTTCGTATCCACCTTCGTTCATCCTCCACCGCTGCCACCGGATCACCGCCCGACATGATTGCTGCTCGTCGCACATCCGCCACAGTGCAGGCCGCTCGCCGTGCCATGCACACCAGCGCCTCCGTCTCCAACACCAACGGCTTCTTTGTGCGTCCGGTCAACGCGCCCACCTCGTCCAACTCGCCGTCGGCACCGCAGCCCAAGCCCGTTCGTCCCGTGGCACAGCCGCACACGCCCGAGCACATCCCGGCGGAGCAGTCGCCCAACTTCCCCACAACCTGGTCCGAGTCGCAGAACCCAAGGCAAAACGCCATGAAGGGACCGCGCTTCGAACAGCTCGACATGCGCTTCCAGCCACAGCCGCTCGCCGCCATCGAGATGATCCAGCGCGAACCCATTCGCCTCTCCAGCAAGCGCATCGCCGCATGCGACGGCGGAGGTGGCCCCCTCGGGCATCCGCTTGTCTACATCAACCTCGACAAGCCCGGTCCCAAGCCCTGTCCCTACTGGTGAGTTGTCGGCCCTTCCCCCTTGCATTCTTGCCGGTTTGATTGCCGACTGACCTTTCTTCGCATTTGCTTGCTTTGTGTCAATCAACCGCAGTGGCATCCGCTTCGAACTCGACCACGCAGCTCACCACTAACTCGATCACAGCTCGAATCCTCGCAATACAACCCCTTTCTCGCAGTCGCTTCCATTTTGCCGCGTCTTTTCTGTCTGACCTGCAGGCGCGGGTGCTTTTGGTTCGGGAAAGCCGATTTGCATGCCGTGACAATAGGGTTGGAAGGGTCCGAAAGCGCTCTGAGCGCGACACACTACCAAGAGTTGCAAGGAAGGTTTCCTCCGAAGTTTGGAGGAAAAGAGGCGGACACAGACACTCGAGTGCTACGGCGCATTCGGAGGGCGACAGCAAGCGAGGCGGCTACGGACGCTTGCTCAGTCGAGAGGAAGAGAGCTCTGCCCGGACTATGCCCTCGAACGCGCGCCAAACTGTCCACGTCGTTACGAAACGGTCAGGCGGGATTCTCATCGCCCTTGCGACAGTGTGACCAATTCGTTGAGCGCAGGCTGAAGGTGCTCGACAGGCTTAGCGAAAGATTCACACGGTCGACGACTTCTCTGGACCTGTAAAGGATGCACAGTCGATTTGAGCAACTTGCCGCATCGACATATCCACAAGCTCGAATCAGGACAGCAATGACTGCTCGCACTCAATCGAGACGAAGCGGAACAGGCGTCGTTGACTTGAGCTGAGACCGTCGCAGTCCCGCCAATCGCGGAGCCACTGATGAGGTGCTGCAGTTGGCTTCCGCTGGCGGCAGGAGTGCATGTTGCGGAACTGAGCCGAAGACCGCTCCGAGTCGGCTCCAACGCGCTGCAAATTTGAACATCAAGCTCAACCTTGTCGGAACGTGATTAGCTGGATGATCGATCGAACACGCTGAGCAGTCGTTCGTCTAGCGATGCATTGCACAGAGACGACAAGCGCGTTCAAATCACCTTGGAAGCGCAGGGTATATTGTTTGAAGTCCATCGTTCGGCGGACGGATCCATGGACGTGAGCCGCACAACTAGTCCCACTGTCGGATGTTCGCGATAAGAAGTATCAAGAAGGGGTGCATGTCAGCGTCTGATCTCAAGTCAGAGAGCAAGGGGGTCCGCAACCGAACCTGCACGATGGCTCGGCGGAATGCACTCACAACGACTCGTTCTGGTTGATCGTCTCGGTCGGCAAGCGAGTGTGGATTGGCTTGCTTCTGCGTCTGCAGCTGCTTGCTGAGCTTTCCTTGACCCGGAGTACCCTTGGCCGCCTGTTGATTCATCCTGCGCTCGGCAGCTTTGGCTCTTGCTTCTCTTTCCGCGTCTGTTGTCGCAGCACCCGTCGGTGGGGCCGCAGACGTCGCACTCGCTCCACCCAGTCTCCTTCCACCACCGCCCGGAGCAGACGTAGAGGAGGCCGTTACAGCGGCTGGCCGCCGCGGCTCGTTGAGCGTCCTTCCTTCGCCCTGGAACGTCTTGTTCGTCGAAAAGCACGAGCCCATCTTGATGTGCAGCAGCAATGGTGGAGCGGATTGAGGTGATGAGGGAATGGAGCTGGCTCGAGAGCCAAGACTTTCCGCCTCCCCGCAATGATGGCTGTGCAGCGCTGCACTCGCGGAGGTTGGCCGAGGGTGGACCCTGAATTTCTTTGATTTGTTAGGCCGGCTCCACACCCACCTTCAAGGAATCGGTTGGTCAGCATTTGATGGCAGCCTTCCGCACGTGACCACACTGGCAGCCAATTTTGGCCAGAGTCGGAAGAAAGGCAGATTGAGCCATTTGACCTTTTGCAGCAGGCTAGGCTGCACACACCTCCATCTCCTCACCATCCCCAGTCACCACTTCTTCGCCCTTGCGACTCGCGACACTCGCACCATCCGAACGCACCCGAAAGCGTTGGTGCTGCAAGTCCGACATGCCCACTTCGAATATGACCACCGCCGCAGGGCGAGCGGCTCGTCAACTGCTGCGCTCCTCTGCAGCACCCGCGCGTCCGTCGACTTCGGCGCTTCAGAGCACCACCAAGGCACTCCAGGCCCATTTCTCCCGCAGCGTCTCGTCCTCCGCACCCCGCACCTCGTTCCTTTCCAACATCACCGACCGCCTGGCAAAGGTCGCTCTCGGCGACAACTACACCAAGACAAAGGAACGCGGCGGTGTGCTGCCCGCCGAGCAGACCAAGCTCGACTACGAGAAGCGTCGAGACGCTGCCATGGCCTCGGTCTCTCCAGACGGCATGCCGCTCTTTGACGACGTAGAGGCGCTGCCCATCTCGCAGCAGGCACAGCGTCAGCAGCAGCGTATCTCGGCCAAGATCCAGGCGCGTCAGCTGCGCAAACGTTTCAACGCCAAGGATCCCGTCACCGGCGCCGCGCTCGAGCACAAGTACTCCACCGCAGCATTCAAGATCTCGCCGCGCAAACTCCAGATGCTCGCCAACCAGATCAGCGGCCAACCCATCGACTATGCCATCCTCCAGATGCAGTTCAGCCCCAAGCGCGCCGCCAAGCGAGTGCTGAGCACGCTCGCTCTCGCGCGCGATCACGCCGCCGCCAAGGGAATGGAAGTGCCGCGTCTTATCGTCAGCGAGGCTTGGGTCGGCAAGGGTCTTTACCTCAAGCGGGCCGACATCAAGGGTCGTGCTAGGATGGGAAAGAAGCACCACCCCCAGGCTAGGATGAGCGTCGTGCTCAGGTACGGAAAGACGTACGCCGACAAGGAGCGCGAAGCCATCCAGACCGCCAGGAAGAGGATGCGCGCCATCGGAACCGGCGGCGTCGTACGCACCGACAATAAGATCGTAAACACCTTCCAGAGGCCAGGCTGGAACTGGTAGATTCTTCCATACTACACCTCGACAAATCCAATCACTCTGTACTTTTAGCCACATTGCCCCTCATCCACAACCGCTTGCCAAAGTACAACATGTGGTGACGCTGGATTTTGCCAGGTGAGATCACGTAACGACAGTGTTGTGCCAGCTCGTGGCGAAAGGATCGAGGAAAAGCTAGTGGGCCACGACAGGGACAGGAGTCATACCGGGGATCGGGATGTCGTCCCAGCTGTCGACCGGTGCAACGCGGTGCATCGTTTTCGCCCATCGGCGAGGTGCTTTCACTCCGTCCCATCCCGGAAGCTTGATCGTCTTCATCTTCTTCGCTTTCGTCTTCTTTGGCAGCGGCGGCTTGTCCAGCTTGAGGTCCGACTTGATGGGTGCGGCTGTTTCGATCCGCTGTGCCGCTGCTTCCGCTTCTGCCAAACTGGCTTCCGATGCGACTTGCGTTGACCGGAGCGCGGTGATCGACGACAAACGAGCGCGCAACATGTCAATGTTCCAAGGCGTCGGACCGCCATTCATCCCGACCTGGGCCTTCGCTCCGACTTGCACCTTCTTGCCAGGCTCCGAGGAGATCTGTGCGAGCAGACGACGCGTTCTCCAACGCTTATAGGCGCTGACTGGATTGATCCGCTTCAACACCGCCTGCAGACGGCGAAGCTCAAAGCTAAACCTAGTCTCGTCTTGCGCTCTGATCAGCTCCGAAAGTTCCGGAGCGGGACGGAGGATGTTCTGCACAAAGTGCGGCTGCTTGGACGCCGACACACCATCCGCAAGTCCACGGTGAAGTTGCCACTCAACCTTGTCCACCGCGGCACCTTGAAGCTGAGCCGAGTAGTGTGTCTCGACTCTCCGCATGAGCTCGTCTTGCAGCCGACGAGCATGGTCTACTGCCGACCCGTCCGCTCCGTGGCGGATTGAAGTTACGTGCTGCGCAATGGCGATGCGCGCTCGCTGAACTGAGGCCATGAGCTCGTTTGCGCTAGTTCGCACGCCTGATGGAGCTGTGTGGGAGAGCTCCAGAAGCGGAAAGTCGATTTGAGCTTTCTGAAGCACTTGTTCCAGCTCTCTTCCCGCCTTGAGCGCCTCTGGAATCTCAAATGCTCCCGCCGATCGGAACAGCAGTGCGGCGAGCAACATGAGCGTGAAGCAGCGCTGCGCTCCGTGCAAGGACGCACAAAGGAGTGGAGACAACATCTTCGTCCGCACCTGTCTTTCCGCACGGCAACTTGCCCGACTCTTTCCCGCCGATGGGAGCTTCTCGAAATGGCCACGAACAATCTGTCGCGGAGAAGGGTAGAGTAGGAGCGAGACAAAGCTCTCGTGTCGGCACTTGGTCGACCACACACTTGGAAAGGCTTGGAAGAAGTGGCGCACACGCTGGTCCATGCCAAGCGCCTGCCCCTGCACACATGCATGTGCAAGTACTGCCGCTCATGCGCTTATCGGCAGACAGGTGTGACTTGGGCGGCTAGCAACCGACGCAATTGACGCGGCAGGTGTCACATCGCGTCGCTGCGAAATGAAGTCGACCCGCAATTCACGGCATGCGGGTAGCGCTCAGAAATCAGAAGAGTTCACGTCAAGATCACGCATCCTCGTACCACCGTAAAGCTCGCCCACCATTCGCGGGTCGCTCATCCCGTGACCCTGTTTCCGGGTGGACATCCGTAGTGGGTCGAGCCCAGATGAAGGATCGAGCAGCCCACCAGAAAAGTTTGAGCGTCCAGTCACAGTCCGGCATTCCCAAGCTCTGCTGTATAAGAGCCAACGGCGCTGCAAGACGCACTTCGGCATGCCACCATCACCTCGCGTGAACCTCTGCTGTTCTCAGAATCTCTATCCCCAGTCGACGGCAAGCACGATGCGTTGGCTCTCGCTTCTTTCGGTCGCACTTTTGCTCGTTCACATTGAAGCCGGTGGCGCATCGCCGGTTGCACCAGCTACAAATGAAGATGCAATCATCTCGCCTCGAGGATCGACTGCGCAGGACGCTTCACAAAAAGTCATCAACAAACGTGCGGTGAACCACGCCGCTGGCATCGTTGCAGGACGTGGCAATAATGCGATGCAGGAGGCTAATCTGCACGACCTCTCGACGACCGACCTGTTCAAGACGCTGGTCATCTACGACGTTCAGCAACGCGCTCGGGAAGAATCACAGCGTGCTTCAGCTCAAGATGGCTTCCTCCCATCTCTTTCCGATATGAACCCATTCGTGACGCACGATTATGTGGTACGGCTCGAACGGAATCGGCCTCTGGTCCAGCTCCCCTCGAACCGTCGAGAAGTCAAGGAATCGGTGATCGGCCTGCTGAACAACCGGTACTACCACCAACTCAACGTCAACCACGATGCGAGCTTCTACAAGGGCGGCGAGGAGCCCGTCGCGAATGTACGTTCTCCGGATAGCGCGTGGATGGATATCCGGCCCTCCACGCGTCGGGTGACGGAGACCCAGCTGACGAAACAGGCTCTGGAAGCGCTCGGACGAACGCGAGAGTGGGCCAAGGAGCAGGAACGTGCCCACCCCGGTACGATGCCCAACGAGGCGGTCGATCGAGCTTTGGATTGGGCGTGGGGCGTGTGGCTCAAAGGCACGGGCATGGGCGCAGGCCACGCCGACTTTCCGGTCGATACAATCATCTCCAAAATGGCCCGTTGAACGAGCCGCCGGGCCCGTCGATGCTTTCTTAGACGGTTCATGTACAGAAGCTCAGCCTAGACTGCTGCATTCGTTTGCCCAGCCGGATTAATGCTTATTTTGGCTGGATGATCTGCTCCGGAACATGAATTCTTTCTCCTCCCACGGCGTTGGCTGGCGGACGGTCTGCCAGCAAAGGAAGGTGAAATTTCCTCTTTTTTCTTTTTTTTTTCCTTTTTTTTCTTTCTGAAACGTGGCCAACTCCGACTCGGAGATGGCGCAGCGCACAGGAAAAACGCGTCCCGCGCCCGACGCTGCTGTGCTGCCGTGCAGTTTCTCACCATCCGCCTGCAGATCATCATCGCTCGCAAAAGAAAAAAAGTGCCGCTCGGCTGCCAGCGGCAACGTGGGCCTCGGTTGGTTGTCTGACAGGTCGATCATGCACCATGCCGACCGATTAAAAATCACCTTACCCACACAGCTGGCCAAGCATGCACTTCGGTGAGCAGCCATCACTTTCGCAAATCGCACTCGGTCAAGTGCGCCTGCTGCCGGCACCACGGCATCCCTTGCACCGACCGGACAATGAGATAACGCCCTGCTCGGCCTTCCACAGCGCCGTGGTCCCAGTGGAGCTGGCCTAAAACATTGTCAGAATCGCGTATGCACGCATCTCCGCAACACTGCAGCCAGCCAGACCCCTTCCCATGAGCCGGTTGAGCTGCAAACAATCCGCTTCGATGCCCTCGCGTTCCTGGCCTCGTCCTTCACAGCCCTTTAAGCCGGTTGCTGTGCATCGCACTTCCTGCTACTTAAGTCTCTGATCGACTTGGGGCTGCCTTGCTTCCGTACCACTCGCTTGCTTTCGTTCTCGGTCCTCTCCACCACCACAGCCCTGTGCTCTTTCCTCTGCTATTGATAGAGGTAGCAGCCAAGATGGAGAAAAACAGCCGCATCACATACGACCACGAGAAGGGCTCGCCCGAGCCCGGTTCCTCCTCCTCGTCCACTTCCAACTACCCTCCGTCGCCGGGCTACGTGGCGGACGAGTACCCGGCATGGGCTCGCCCCGCAGGGTCGGGCACGTCGCTCCGTCAGCGTGTCTTTGACCTGTTCGACAACTCGGTACTGGGCAACAAGTCGCGAGGCTATGCTCCGCTCGCGGGCTCTGGGCAGGGCCTGCCGCACCTCAACTCCAGCCACGGCTCAGGAATCCAAGATCTCTTGCGCAATTCGAGCCACAAACGACTCCTCAAGATCATCTTGCTTGTCTTGTGTCTCGGAGTGCCTCTGGCCCTTTTCGCCAGCACGCCGGTCTCCAACAGGATCACCTCGGTCGTATCCAAGGAGGGCCAAACCACAACTGCTGCCTCTGCTTCGAGTCAGCCACAAGGCATCGAAGACTACCTTTTGAAGGACAGTCTCAAGGACGCACAGTGTGCTGGCGTCCTCGAAGGCGGCGCAGATGCGATCATGTGCCACATCAACCTGGCCAAACGCAAGTACGAGCTGCTCATGTCGCGCCAGTCCAAGACGTACGAACAGGCCGTGGCACGCTACGTCCAGCAAAACAAGAGGCAGCCACCTCCTGGCTTCGACGACTGGTTCAAGTTCGCCCAAGAGAACAACGCCGTCATCATTGACGAGTACGACCAGCTCGAGAATGACCTGCTGCCCCTGCGCAAGTTCTCGGGCTACGTCCTGCGTCGAAGGATGGAGAACGCACTCAAGACCAACACCTCCTTTGTGCACCGCTGGGACTTTGCCAACGGTAGTGTCACCACCACCGCTCCCAGCGGCTGGCAGAACGCCCGCGTCTTCCGCGAGATCATGACGCCCTTCCTGCCCAAGCTTCCTCCTTTCACGCTGCTCCACAACTGGGACGACTTTCCTCGCGTCTGCGGGCCCAAGCCGGGACAAGAAGACGTTCACTCGACCGAGGTGACCCGAACCTGGACGTACGGCAACCCGCATGCGATGGATGTCATTGGCTACGGCTGCCCGCGCAAGACTGTCACTGAATCCGTGATCACCAGCGACCGCCCCTCGCTGGATGTCTGCAAAGAGATCGACCTGCTCAAGACGCAACACGGCATTGGCAACCATCCTTCGCTGTGCTTCAACTCGACCATCCCCGCGCTCTCGCTCGCCAAGATCTCGGGCTTCTTGGACATCACTACGGCTTCCTGGTGTTACGGTGATCCCGGTTACCGTCTGTTTGGCGAGAACAAGGACACGGTGGCGTATGCAGACAAAAAGTCGCACCTCTACTGGAGGGGTAGCAGCACTGGCTCGGTGACGTCCAAGGAGAAGGCCTACTTTGGCCATCGCTATCGTCTGGTGATGATGGCGCATCAGCTTCAGCTCAAGGCCAAGCAGCTTGCTGCCAGGGCGGTCAAGAATGCCTCCTTCACGCTCGACGATCAGAAGCGCTACCCGCTGCCCAACATGCCCGGCACCTTTAACGAGGCCCAGCTCGGTGCGATCTCGAGGCTCAGTGCCGAGTCGTTTGACCTCGGCTTTGTGCGCATGCACAACTGCAACAACGACCCGGTCTTCTGCAAGACCTGGACCGATACCATCCCTCTCGCCAAGCCCGAGCCCTCCAAGACGGCGTTCCAGAACAAGTTCCTCATGGACCTCGACGGCAATTCCATGTCCGGTCGCTTCTACCGCTTCCTCGACAGCAACAGCCTTGTCTTCAAGCAGACCGTGTTTGCCGAGTGGCACGACGACAGGATCGTACCCTGGCTCCACTTCGTACCAGTGTCGAGGGGCATGGAAGAGCTCCCTATCTTGATCGACTTTTTCGCAAACCACCCAGAGGGCAAGAAGCTCGGCGAATTCATCGCCACCGAGTCCAGGAAGTGGTCCGAAACCACGCTCAGGAAGATCGATCTGTCCGTCTACACGTACCGACAGATGATCGAGCTCGCCAACATCATCGGCCACGATTGATTTTGTAGTCCCAGCACTGTACCATCTCTTGTTCATTGATTCATTTGCAACGTGTTTTTCATCTGGAAGTCGCACCGAGCCTGACAACGTCGTGAGTCGACCAGAACGAGATGTCTGAAGAGCCGCTTCTCAGAGGAGGGCAGCCGCTTCACTGCTTGCCAGCCCCATGATGTAAAAAAAAAAACAATCATGACGAGCAAAACAATTGAGAAGGCATTGCTAGGCGATACAAGTACACGAAACGATTGACCGATCACGAATCCTGGTGGTAGAGCTCTGCAAACTCCAGCAAGACCCTGGCGTAGTAGAGCGAGACGTCGATCTGGCGCAGCGTTGCGTCGGACCACTCCTTGGAAGCTGTGGCGATCTTGGCGGCAGTCTTGGGTCCCTGCTCATGGTGGATGAAAAAGTCGAGCAGCATTGGCAGCTCGTTGTTCTCGACGCGCAGATCGATGGGGACGTAGTGGATCCAAGGGACAAGGCGATCGTCGTGGTACTCGGACCAGATGGTCTGCTTAAACACAAGCGAGTTGGAGCTGAGCAGCTGGTAGAATCGACACGACATCGACTGGCCATCTATGTCGAGCAGATACTTGTGCAGGTAGACGTCGTTGCGTTCCTCGATACCCGTGGTCACCTGATTGGCCATCAACGAGGCCAGCGTCGGCTCGTCGGCAAGCACAAAGCGCGACCACGAAATGTTGAACGCCTCGGAACCCAGCCGCTTCACAGCCTCAGCGACGGGGCGGTCGGTGTAGTCAAAGAGCGGCAGAGTGTTGCCAGCGACATTGACAGACTTGCGCGAAGGTGCGATTGTGCGGTTCGAGCCATAGATCGCGTCCATGGGATCCACTTCCGCGCCGTTGTTGAGGCGGTTGGCTGCTTCGCGCAGCTGCTTGACGTAGCGCATCATACGATGTCGGTGACCCCTCGCCCAGGTGGTGGGAGTCTGAGCGACGCCAGTCGTCGACCCTCGCCAGTAGACGCTGTCGCGTTTCTTCTCCCAAGGAATATTGTCCGGCAGGCCGCGATACACTTCACTTCCGTAGCAGGGATTGGGAACCAGGATATCGGCAAAGTTGGAGAGCTTGGATCTCGAGAGCATGGGGACGAGCTTGGTGAACGGGTGAAAGTTGTCCGGTGCTTGCAAGAAGCCGTGGAGCTCGCTGAGCTCGGTGGTGTCTTCGCCACAGTAGTCGATGGGGGGGTCGAGATCGTTCCACGGTCGTCCAGGCGAGATGTGGTTGGACGGACACGCCTGACGCAGGATCGCGGTGGGATCCCTGTGGCTAGTATTGATGGATCGAACAGCGCCACTGCTAGAAGCCTGGCTTGGGTGGGGCACTCTGGGCTCGGCGTACCAGTTGAAAGGAACCGTGACGTCTGGGATCAGGTGCTGGACGGGAGTAAGGATCTCCATGAGCGTCTGTGCCGAGAGCGGTCCAAAGTCGGGACCGAATGCGACGGCGTTGCCGTTGACGACGCCCACCTGTCCGAGTTCGTAGCCGGGAAGTCGAGTTTTAGCGTCGAGGATACGACGTTTGAGCTTATTGCCGCGCATACCCGCCTGCCTGAACGGGCTGAGGTCGACCTCGATCTGGTCGTAGTCGTCGATGACGGTGGCGTTGTGCTTGAGCGCGAATTCGACCCACTTCTCATAGCCGCGCGGCGGAGAACGAAGGTAGCGACGCCTATATGCCTGGACGGCTTGCTCCGGCGTCTTGGACTGCCGAGCACGCAGATCCGAAGCGAGCTTGGCTGCATGATTCACCTTGCACGCGATGGGGTGAATGCCCGCCTGCGCGCAAGCAGCATTGACGTCTTCCATGGATACGATCGTCGTCTCGAAGACCGAGGAGATCGATGGCAGATAGCTGATCTGCGGTACGTCGTCGTAGGTGCTGCTAGCCTTTGCGAACAGCAGGACGAAAGCGAAGAACGCCAGACCACCTGCCACGCTCCAGCCAAGTTTGTTGCTCTTGACATGGTCCCAGAATACGGTCGTGTCGTCGATGCATCCGCGTTGCTTAGAACTCGACGGGCCCCGAGGATGCACATCGTCCTGAGGAGCTTGATGCCCGGTGTTGGAGGCGAAGACGTTGGCGCGCAGTCGAGGCGACGACTTGCCGACCAGCACGTCTGCCTTCGCCCGGCTATCTGAGAGCGACGAGCTGGATACCATCTTTGGCTATCGAATGAGCGGAGGTTGCTTCCGATCGAGGAGGAGGATGAAGGGATGGAGACGAGGACGACGAACAACGATGCAGCTGAGAATCGAAGCGATGGTCCATGTGGAGTTTCGTGGCCCGAGAGGCTGCCCAGCCTTGGCAGCGGTCAAGCTGCTCGACCCTGAATGCTACACTTTGATCCCAGCGGAATGGTAGAGAAGCGTACAGCCCGAGCAGCTCTGGGCAAAGGAAGGAGCCGGTGAATGCACTGTCGCCTTGCTCAAAGCTTGGTCCGAGCCTCGGCGCCGTGTATGCGGGCCCGCAAATTGAGAATCGCCTCCACTGCTGCTGTCCTTTGATGAAATGCTGTTGCAGCTGAGCTGTCGGTGGAAAAATTGGCCTGCGGACAGCGAAACTGCCAATTAATTGAAAAGAAGAAAAAAAAGAGGGCCGTTGGATTGTGGCGGAGATGAGCGGCAGCACAGCGCGTTGTCAAGGTGAGTGATTCCTTTCGACTTTTCTTTTTCCATTTCAATTTCGTTTATGTTTTTTTTGGTGGGTCGCGGTGGCATGGCGCGGCGCGGGAAGTGTTGCATTTTTGTGGCTGCCATGCATGCTCGAAAAGGGTCCTTCCAAAATTGACCTTTTGGGCACTTCGAGGCGAGTGGATTTTTCAGGCCTGGCTCGGACTCACATGCGTTGGAAAAGCCAACTCCGAGCCACATGTCGATGTCGATCAGGATGCGGTACCTGCATTCATGCGTTTGCGGTCTGGCACTGCTGTTGGCCGGACTATCTGTTCATTGGCGTTGGCCGCGGGACGTGAGACCGAGTCGACCTCCGACTATATCTGCCGGCACAGCGTACAGTAAAGCGACTCCGACGCAATTTCCCTGGGCAGCTTCCAAGACCTCGCTCCCACAGCCCCCTGAAGGATCTTCGCATGTTTCAGTGCTCGAGCCACGAGGGCTGCGTCGCCTGCCCCTTGGTGCTGGAGACCGAGCCATTGTTCATGCGTCTCGCTATCTCGTGCCGTGCAAGCACGATTTGCTAACGCTCTTCGCATGCAACGGTGGATTCCAGCCTCGGCTTCGGCACGTCGGCCAGTTTTGCCGGCAGAGTTCCACGGCCAGCTTTGTACTCTGTATGTGGCAGTCAACACCCGCCCACGCCAAGTTTTCCGGACACGCATGCAGCTAGGTCGAGAAGCGAAGCGCTGAAATATTTCAAAAGATTCGCCATCGTCGTTGCAGCCTCATCCTCCGACCGTTCCTTTACATCTCTTACCTGCTCATCTCTGCCTCAACTCTGACCCACCAACACCATCTGTACCTCGTTCTTACTTGCTAAAAGCGAGCAAGGACGACGATCGCAAAGAGACGATCGATACCGTAGCATACATACACCGCAACCGCGCTCCATAGCATTTCGCTTCAAGCAACCATGTCGAAAGCTCTGGGTAGCATCCACACACACAGCTCGGACGAGGAGGCGCAGAGGCCAGCCCTCTCGGCGCCGCCTTCCTACCGATCCTCTCGCGAAGGAAGCCCGGTTCACGATGCTACCACAGAGACATCAAACATGCTTCCGCTGCCTGCGGGAGCTTCTGGCGCGGCTGACCTGTCCTCGCGGGGCGCAAGCAAGAAGCTCAAGAAGATCGGATTCGTTCCCGGCTGGGAAGGCCTGCGAGGCATCGCTGTTGCTCTGGTCATGGTCTCGCACGTCGTAGAGAAGAAGGAGATGCTTGGCACCCTGGGTGTTGGCGTCTTCTTTGTGCTTTCGGGCTTCCTCATCACGGGCGTGCTCATGTCGCAGATCGAAAAGAGCGAGCAAAGGTACCGAGAGTCGTCTGCGACTTCGGAGACCAAGCCGTTGCTGGGTCGATTTGCATTCCTTCCACGATTCTACATGGACCGATTCGTGCGACTCACGCCCGCTTTGGCGCTCATGGTGGGCATCGTCTACAAGATCGGTATCCACAACGGCATTCCTGCGGCTGTCCTGCGTTCCGATGCGCTGGCAGCGTTCTTCTACGTGCACAACATCTATCCGATCATGCCGCAAGAGCCCCGACTCATGTACCCGGGCATGTACCTCAACACATGGTCGCTGGCGGTGGAGGAGCAGTTCTACATCTTCTGGTCGCTCGTCATCTCCTTTGTGGTGCCGCTCTCGTTCCGCAGCCGAGCGGTCGTCATGGGCCTGCTGGTCTTTGTTGGATTCTACATCCGCTACTACAGCGGTTGGAACTTCCTGGGCGACAAGATGTATGGCATTGACTACCGATACGCCTACTCTGCCAACGCGTGGAAGATGTTCATCGGCTGCTCGGCTCGTCTGCTTCCCATCCCGGAGCAGCTGACGCGCAAATGGGTGGGCATGGTCAGCACGATCTTCTTCTTCTTCCTCACCTACATGTGGGGCTACGGTCTAACCGCCTTTGACTTCCGCACCTCGGGCGTGTGGCTCGAGCTCTTTACGGCGCTGACGGTGCTGCTGGTGGTGCTGGGAAGCATCAACGGCAACCCGATCCTCGAGTCGCAGCTCTTCCGCTTCCCCGGTCGTATCTCGTACTCTTGGTACCTCTGGCAGTTCCCGCTGCAGGCTCTGCATGGCTGGCCCATCGGAAACTGGGGCCCGACCGGTCTGGCATTCATGGTGTCCACTTTCACCACGTTCATGATCGAGGAGCCCATTAGGAACAGGTACCATGCGTGGAAGAACCACAAGGCCGAAGCCAGCGTGGATGCGGAGAAGATCCACGCCCGACGCGAAGACTAAGCCCGTCGATCCGTTCAGAAGCAAGCCCCCGATTCGTGCCACAATCTCTTATCCCGTCGTTCAGTCTGTAGATGCAACCGTCGAACATTGTCCCGTGATCCGTTGGTGCTGGCTGTGAAAGTCTCGATTGTTCTGTATGCGGAGCAGCGATCGGTACCAGCAATCCGGTCGAACGGCCGACGGAACGGGATCATTGTCTGGTCGCGTTGGACGTGAGGGGTAATCTATCGCTTATCGAAGGAGCAGAGGAGGCATAAACAGCACTGCATATACTCATGGCAGGGCCTAAGTGCTCGACAGTCACCTGCCCTTTGCGTCGCGTGAGGAGACAGCATGGCATGGAGGCAGCAGCTCGTTGAATGCGCGCAGAGTTCGCCGAGCGCGGAAGGCATGCAATTTCAAATTTAAGTCCTTTTCTCGCCTCAAAAAAGGAGAGGAAAAAGAGAAAGACAGAAAAAGGTGGATTTGGACCCGTTTTCGAGAGCGGGGCCTCGGAGAAGAACATCCGCACCGCATGAAGCCAGCGCATCAAAAGATGGCATCGCAAAGCAGAGTCATGCAAGCAAGACACCGATACTGTAGCTGATTATGGCTCGGGTGACAATTTGGCAGACTGGCGCTGACCGTAGGCTTACAGGCTTGCAGGCTTGCAAGCAAAAGTTTGCAGAGCGTCGGTGTCACTGAAGGAAGATGCGGGTCCGAGGCGGAGGCGCTGTCGGGGAGGCGCTCCGAGGCTGCGATGGCTGGACGCGGAGCGGAGTTGGACAGCTCGCATGCAGCTAAATTCATGCATTGCATTGACGCGCATGTTGACGGTGTGTGGCAAGCCATCATGTCCGAGCCACCACACGCCACTCTGTCCACTCGCTCTCTTGGGTTCGTGCCCTCTCATCGGTCTCAGGCAGTCTGCAAGTGCCACAAGAGACGTCGGGGATGACTGCGTGGGCCTCGCATGCTGGCGTCTGCAGGGCCGAGCACTCGCCGTGTGTGCAGCAGCGCTTTGGTCACTGTAGCACATCAACGCTCGCTGCCATGCTGATGTTGTTGGTCCGTGTTACCATTTTGACCTGTCCTTGCTTGTGCATGCTGCAGGAGCTCTGCGTTGTCCGACGTTAGCCTCGCGCATCCTCCCTCAAACTCTTAGCTCCGTTCCTGCCCATCCTCACAATCACGCTCGTCTCATCCTGCGGGTGCCAAGCTTTTTAGCACGGTTCCGAGGATCTGCGCTCAGGAACGGATCCAAGGGTTTCATCGCCAGCAGCTCGGTTGTGGTCTATGGTCTACGTCCACAACCGCCAAGCCGCCTCCTCGTGGTCGTTGAAGCTCTGACGCGCGCTCGCTGAAACCTTGACAACACTGCGCATCTGCGCATGGCTCCTGCTCGACCTCGCATCAAGCCTTGGCAACGGCGATCAAAACGTCAGAGCGGAGTGCATGAGGCCCAATGCAGCGGCCCCTTCACAGGAAAGTCGAAGCAGGCGGCGCGATGGCGCCACAACCGGGTTCCTCGGCGGTGGCTGTCGATGTAGCCTGTCGATCATTGGATATGCCGCGCCACCGAAGATCTTATAAGCACAAGGACTTGATCCTATCTCTGACGGATGACGCTTCCTCGAAACCGATAGACAGCCACCGCTCCAAGCTGCTTTCGGTACCGCGCTCACGGAAAGACCACGCCATCTCTTCCTCCTGGATCGACATCAAGATGGGCCGGCTAACAGAGACATCATCAGCAGACTCGATGCTAGAGCAGCGAGCTTCGACAGGCGCCATCGGCCAGTCGGGCATCAACACACCATCTCAGCAGAGCACACATACGCTTCGCAAATGGCTCAGTCTCTCGACACTTGTCCTCTTCACGACTGCCACTAGCATCGTCTCGCAACGATCAAGAAGCGTCGGGCCAGACAAGCAGTACTCGATTGCAACGTCTGTCTTCCTGTCTGAGCTTCTCAAGTTCCTTTTGGGCTTCGCACTCGCCACGGTCGCGAGAGATCCGTCTCCAACATCAGACACTGCTCGACTACCCCTCTTCTCAGCGGACGACCCGGAGGGATCAGAGAAGCTTGCTCGCGAGGCGCAAAGCTCACGGCTCGCAGCCGCGCCACCGAGTCTGTGGGCCAAGGCGCGAAGGGCATGGAACGAGGTCTACTGCGCTTCGACATGGATGATGGGTGTTCCGGCGCTCATCTACGTGTGCCAAAACATGCTTCAGCTCGCTGCCAACTCGCATCTGAGCCCGGTGGCGTACCAGGGACTGTCGCAGCTCAAACTCATCACGGCGGCGCTCATCAGCGTGTTTGTGTTTGGCAGGCCGCTGTCGAAGCGTCAATGGACGTGCCTGCCCGTACTGCTGCTGGGTGTGGTCTTTCTCACGCAAAAGAAGGCGCCATCACACGAGGAGGTGGCCGAGGCAGCAAGCTTGCTGCGGGAAGTGCCGACGGACTCGCCGTTTGGGCGAAAGGTGGGGAGCAGCAGCACTTCGCTTTCGACGAATCTGATGGCGCAGGCAGCCTCGATGCTGCTCGAGGACGCGAGTGCGCAGCTGGCGATCGGAACGGCGTGCGTGGTGCTGGCGTGCGTGTGCGGCAGCTTTGCGGGCGTGTACATCGAGACGAAGCTCAAGTCGAGCATGTCGGTGGCTCTGTCGGTGCGCAATGCGCAGCTGGCTTCGTTCGCGCTCGTCACGGCAGGAGTGGCGGTGGTGCTCGAGATGATGCAGAAGGGCGAATGGGCGCCGCTGCGCAACTTTTCCACACTCGCTTGGATCACGGTGCTTCTGCGCGGAGGCAGTGGCTACGTGGTGTCGGCAACGCTGCGGTATGCCGACACCATCATGAAGGGATTCGCTACGAGCATGGCCATCATCACGACGATCGCGTTGGAGAGCCTGCTGAGCTCGCGACTGCCAACGCTGGCCCAGCTGACGGGCGGCGCACTGGTGATGGCGAGCACGTACAACTATGTGCGCCTCAGCGCCACCGCCAAGGAGTGATCGGCTGCAACACCAAAGTCGACTTCATCCTGCCGCTCAGAAAGTGTGAATTTTGAATTCGAGTGTGAAGGCCGAGTGGATGTGAGTGTGTGTTGTGGGTGCGCGCGCCTTGATGAGGCGATGTGGCGAAATGTGGAGGATCCGAATCGTGGATCACTGCCGCGGCTCACTTCAGGCACCCACGTCTCCGAGCGGCCACAAGGCGAGCCTCATGCCAGCTCGGCGAGCGGATGGCCGGAGTGGCAATTCGGAGGTGACCCACTCGGAAGCGTACCGATGGATCTCTTTTTCAAAATCACACCCTCGCCGCTCCTCTTGGCGTGTCACACGTCGCCCCTCGGCGCGTCTCCGAGACTGCGATGTGTTGGTCTCTTTTTTTTTGTTCTCACTCTCGTTCCTGTCTTTTTTTCCGTGTGACTCTTCAGGGCTGCGCTGCACCACTGCGCAGGGCTGCAGGGCTGAAGGCTTGCATATCTGCATCATGCATGCACGCGCGCGTACAGTTTCATTTCACGCCACGAGGAGAGCCGCGACGTTTTTTGCAACGCGACCGAGCGGGACTTCAGTCACTTGGCGAGCCAAGCCGCATCGCATCGCATCCCGCATGGGCATCCCAGACGGCGGCACCATCCCATGGCAAGCAAGGATGATCCGCTGCGCATGGCTTGGCCGAAGATTGCGCTCTGGCGGACTCGGAGCACGATGTCTTGGCATTCGAGGGTCCCCATTGTTTGCAGATCCTGACCCCGGAGAGACTTTGAAGCTTTTGGAAGTGGAGCAGGCTGGGCCAAGACGCCGAGTCCCGCGCCAACGATCCATGTCGCGCTCGTCGTTTGTGCCTACTCGACCCACCACCATGTGTTGATGCATGATCACCGCCAGTCATGACGCAGCGCGCTACCAGCTCGATACGGTCTCTGCGTCAGCTTCGCACTCGCACTGTGCTGTTGGCCGGCGCGGTCGTCGTGGCGCTGGTCTACTTTACGAGTGCATACTACCATCTCAATGTCGTAGCCGAACACGCAGACTGGATCCCAACAACACCTGGACAGGCATCGAGCCAAGCTGCCGATGAAGCAGACGTCCAGCGACGCTCGGCATGCTGGGAGCAGTGGTTCAGCAAGGGCACCGTGTGCGTCAGACCTCCCAAGCAGTGGACGGAACAAGCCAAGCTCGATCTCGTCTGGACGTGGAGCAACTCGAGCCTTACTCCTCAAGCTCACGATCGGATCGATCCCGCCAGGGCCAGCTCGTCGCATTCCCACGCCGAGGCATCGGATTTCCTGCGCTACTCGTTCCGGTCGGCGCAACAGCACATGCACCACGGCTTTGGCCGCGTCACGCTGCTCACGCCGGACCTCCCGAAAGACAAGCTCGCCACACCGGCTCTCGAAGCATGCACACGATCGTATTCAGATGCTCAGGGCGTGTCGCGGAATGGCCAGCGTCCGTGCTGGCTCGCTACCGAGGATCGAGTGTTTGAGGCGCCGCAACTGCTTCACAATCGCCAGGTCGGCTGTTCTCCCGGCAGCCTCGCAACTTCATGCTCGGGGCACTGGATCGATCAAGACGAGCCGTACTCATCTGCACTTCTTGCCGCACAGGCACCGGGACTGAGCGACGTGCGTCTGCTCGTCGCGCCGCACCACGTCTTTGCTCGTCCCGTCTCGGCTTCCGACTTTTGGTCTCCGCTGTACGGCGCCACGTACCGCTTCGATCCTGAAGTGCCGAGCGCTGGTGCGTCGCCTACGGCCGGAGAAGAGGCGTTGCAAAAGCCAAACGCACTGCTCGACGCTCGATTCGGAGCGCGTCCGCGAAGGAAGCTCCGCGACCTTCCCGTACCAGTCTCGGCCTCGATTCTGGCCGAGATGCGTCACATTTGGCCCGACGTCTTGCGACTGACTCCAGAGGCCAAATCTACAACGTTTGACTTTGGCTTTTTGGCTGCGCATTACGTTCTGGAGAGGCACCGCGAAGCTCTGCTATGGTCATTCATGGTGGCCAAGCACGACCGCGATGCCGACGGCGTGTTTTCGGCAGCAGAGGCAGAAGCATTGCTCAAGGATCTCAATATCGACGCCCATAGAGCATACGCTGCTCCGCAGGTCGAGGTGCCGCGACGAGGGACCAGATCCGCGGCGACAGTTGCATCGAATCTGCGCCGGGCCCAGATGCCGGAGCGTCTGGGCAAGGAGAGTATGATGTCGTCCATGGACGGGCTCGCGTTCCTCATCCCTCGTTCATCTGATGCGCAAGAGGGCGCTGCAGCCGAGGAAGCGCAGCCGCCCGTGTGCAGGCTGGAGCGGGAGTGTGTCAAGCCGCTGCTCGACGCCGTGACTGGGTCGGATCGGCCGAGGGTGAGCGAGGTGCTGCGTCGGGTGGCGTTCCAGGCGCCCATGTGCGGCGACTGCATGCTCACGCACCTCGTGGGCCAGTCGGGCGAGCAGGGCCTGTCTGCGTTCCTACCGGCAGCCGAGCTGGAGATGCCGGTGATCGAGGTGCTGCCATTGACAGCGCGCTTTGAGCAGGCCGACCACTCGCTCGCCGGCTCGGGGCTCGCACGCACGACGCGGCTGCATGGGGTGACGCAGCTCCTGGCGCGGTACGCGCACACGGTGGTGCAGCAGCAATCGTTCGTCACACCCGCCATGTCGACGCTCTCGCAGACAAGGCTGGGTCTGATCACGCTCGAAGTGCTGGAGTCGTCGTCGCTGTTCTCGTTCAAACAGCAGCTGAATGCATCCGAGCCGCTCGAGCTGGCGACACAGACAGAGTGGGACTGGACGGCGTATGTGCGTGCATGGCTCTCGCTCCGCTTCCCCTTTGCAATGCGCTTCGAATCGCGCACCCACGAGCTGTAGTTTCGTATCGCACCCAGAGGTCTTTTCCGCGGATAGTACGATGTTTCTGTTCAAACGATGCTGTGCGTGCAAGGGGGGGTATAGACTGATTACAGAGTTTGCAATGAGGGAAGGGGGAGGTGTGTGGGAAGGGTGTGTTTGGAGTAGGGTGGGAGGGGGTCGATTGTGGAGCTGCGTACTGCGTGTGGATGGGCGAGGGTGACGGGCCAGGAGCATACAAACTTGTGCGGGGTGTGCTTGAAGTTGATGGACATCTGCATGCGATGCGAGACATTGATCACGGCTGTGCTGCCGACGAGTGTCGAGGGTTGAGCGTCTGTTGGGATGCTGAACTGGGCTTCCAAGACGTTATCCTGCGCACTGCCGCCCTTTTCAGAAGTGACCTCGTTCTGGGTGGGTGGTTGTTGTGTATGCAGCTTCGAGGCGAGGGTAGGTTTGGTCTGCGTGTATGTAGATGATCTTGACCTTTTGCAGATTTGGGTCTGTTGGACGAGCTCCATCTGTACATCTTCGATACTGTCTCTTGCTTGTTGATTCGGGAGTGTGAGGCATAGCTGTGTGGGTTCGCCGATCTTGCAGGGGGAGGGAGGGACCGAGATGCATGTTGAGCCGAGCCCGTCGATCGAGACGTACTTGACATGCGAAAAGTCAAACGCCTCTTCGGGAGCAGCCTGAGCCACAGTCACCTCCCTCTCGGCTGTAAGCGTCTTCGCCAATCCAAACCGGCCCTTTGTTGGGGTGATCTTGGCGGTGGCACGAACTTTGTATCTCAGGCGAGCGTCTTGGAGTTGAACGCTGGGAGGCAGGTTGCGAGGACATGCAATGTGGGCTACAAAGTCGTACGTATGTCCAGGCTGCAGTGTGCAGGGTTGTCGAAGGGTGTTGGAGGTGAGTTCGATGGGAAAGCTCTGCTCGAATCCACCGTTGTTGTACATGAGCGACTCGCTGGCTACCAACTTGGCACACAGCGATGCCAAGCCATAGGATCCCGATGCCAATGATGGGACTTTGAGTTGGATATACGTTGCTAGCGTGTAGTGGGAAGATGAAGAGGCTGATGGCGTGGAGGAGGATGAAGCGACGTAAGCGGGAGGCGTGTCGAAAGCATCGCTACTGTCTGCAGCACCATACAGTGGGCTGGGAAGCACAAAGACGTCGCTCGGTAGTCTCACGCTAAGCTCCATTGTGAGTGGTGAGAGGGTGCTTTGTAAAGAGCGGAGCACACCAACGCAGGCATGGTCTTATATGAGATGTGGGGCTAGCACGGGACACACTGAGTCTTCTAGAAGCACAAGGCGAATGTGCTATTCCACAGGCTGTTTGCAGAGGAGTAAGCGGCATGCTGGCGGCAACGAGGACGCGGGGAGCGGGAAGCAATCGCGCTTAGGCGTCGCGGCGGCTCAGCGGATTTGACGTCTGACAGCGCGAAAGAAGCGGTCTTCCCCATCGTCCTTTTTTTTTCCGACCGCGCTGAGGAGGCGCGAGATTTCTCCGATTTTGCCGCGCGCGATTTGGAGGAGCAGTTGCATGAAAGCCGGGCCAGGAACAACTCCCACCTTGGCCGCCTTGCGCTCGTGAGCTCCGATCAAGCGAGCAGAACCCGTCTCCGCCTTTCACGCAAGCGCATACATCGTCAGCCATACGACGACGATGTCCAGACCCCTCCATGCGCTTTGATCATGGCGCAAGGAAGGGGCTCGTGCATTCAGGTGGTCAGTGCACCATTTCTAGGCACGGATATTCGCCCCCGCTCACAAAGTCGAGAAGTGTATGAGCAGTGTGGTGTGTTCGCCCCGTGAGGATGACTCGAGCTTGAAGGCGAGTGACAACAGAGTGTCATGTCGAAGATGGCCGACGTGGGTGGAATTCGAGATGAAGGTGAGGGATGCAGGGTGCAGTTTCGCCTTTTCCCCGACGAGTTTTCCGATATTTCCGATGGCAGCAGACGGCGACATTGGCTTTCCTCCGTTTCCTCCAGTTTCTCCACTTCCTCCAGTTCCTCTACAAGTTCCTCCAGTTCCTCGACAAGTTCCTCCAGGGTCCGAATCTGCTCCGACTCAGACCAGCATCGAGACCATCTTTAATCTGCAATTAAGGGCGCCATGCTCGACGTCATCGACCTTCCCTTCGAATCATATTCTACCATATAGATCCGGATCACAAATCCAACGACGCCATGACAGGTAAGCAGGTTCCTTTCGAGCACTTGGGCTTGAGCCGACGCTGACCCGACTTTTTGACTCGCTTTTGTCTGGTTGTCTGCGTCTAGTCGAGCTGGGACCAACTGCTGCTGAGCCGCTGAGCTTTTCGGTGCGTCTGGGCGAAGAGAAGGATGCGGGCGAGATCGCGGCGCTGGGCGCCAAGGTGTTTTACGAGTCGTTCGCCTGGTCGATGCCGGCACAGGACATGCGCGACTACCTCGACACGTCCTACTCGGCGTCGGCCATCCAGCTCGAGCTGAGCGACACGGCGACGTACCGCTTCTGGGTGGCGCGCGACGACTCCACCAACAAGCTGCTGGGTTTCGTCCAGCTCAATCGGTGCTCGGACGAGCCGTGTCTGACCGTCAAGCCGCCCGAGTCGATCGAGCTGCAGCGCATCTACACCGACACTGCTGCACACAGCCGCGGGGTAGGATCGACACTCATGGCCAAGGCGTTGGAGTATGTGGCAGAACAGGGGTATAAGGCGATATGGCTCGGCGTGTGGGAGGAGAATCCAAAGGCGCAGAAGTTTTACAAGCGCAATGGGTTCAATAAGGTCGGCACGCATGACTTTGTCATGGGGAGTTGCGTCCAGACGGATTGGATCCTCGAACGCATTCTGTAGTCAACACCATCATCCAGCCCTTGTAGATGTAGAGACAACATAGACTGTAGAATAGCATATATAATCTTCCTAGTTAGATCGGGTGACTCGAAGCGTGAGGAGGGAGGGGGGGGGGGGGGGGGGGGGGGGGGGGGGGGGAAATGGTCAGGGTCCAGTGCGCTTAGATTTCGCCCTCGCCTCGGACAATGGAGATTTCATGAAGCCGCTCTCCCCCGCATTTCGTTGCTTCTTCTCCTCCACAACACGCTTGCGTCGCACCATCGGCGCTGGCAACACGGATGAGGTGGATTGCGTGAAGGCCGCACGTACCCGCCTACACGGAGCCATGGTTCGCAACCGCCCCCGCTCTGGCTCGTCGGCCGCTGCACCTGCACAAAGCCTAGAGGGACTCGAGCAGGAGGCGCTGGAGCTGCTGGGCCAGCGCAAGCGGCGCCAACGCGTGCGCTATAGCTGCACCGAGTGCCATCGACGCAAACACAAGTGCGATCGCGAAACGCCGTGCTCCAAATGCATCGAGCGCGGGGTGGCCGACGCATGCACACCGCACGACGGCAGCGCCCAGGACGCCTACGACCGTGTGCGACAGCTCGAAACCGTGCTCTCGCGGCTCGTCCACGCAACGCGCAGCACGGGTGGATCGGCTCGACCTCGTGCGGGGTCGAGTGCGTTGGGTACACCGGACGCATCGCAGGCGGGCACACCGCGCCAAAAGAGCAATCCCGGCGTGACGACGGCTGCGTCGCTTCCGTTCCGCGCACAGGTCGGGTCGGAGCTCATCGAGTTCTCGTCGTCCAACCACGGCTATCCGCCTTCGGCGCACTATGAGCGGCTTGTGCGCGAGGGCAGCATCGAGAAGGATGCCATCCGAATGCTGGCTTCCGACCTGCCTTCGCTCGACGATACCAATGCGCTCCTCGACGTCTTCTTTCGCGATATCAATCCGCTCATGTTTCCCTTTGACGAGATGTGGTTCCGCGAGGCAGTCCATTCGGCCGCGGACATTATCTGGGGCGACCCGAGTACGACGTATGGTCAGGACGGCCCCAATCATTTGTCGGTGATTGCGCTGCTGTACGGTGTGCTTGCGCTGACGTATTTGGCGCAGCCGCTGCAGATGGGGAGCGAGGCACGCGGGGCGGAAAGGGCGGCAAGGATGGGTTGGAGGTGTCGCGAGGTGCATGCGCTCGCGCAGAGTATACAGTGCCACGATGCGTTTGTCGTGCTGAGCTTCGTGCTGCTCGCGAGGTATTTGATCCTGCAGAGACAGGCGCGCGAGAGCTGGTTGGTGCTGGGTCATGCAGTGCGCCAAGCGCAGGTGCTGGGGTTGCACCGTATGGGAAAGGCGGAGCAGGAGGAGGGGAGAGAGGCGGGCATGCGAAGGGTGATCTGGATGCACCTGTTCTTCGAAGACCGCTTTTCGAGCTTGATCGTGGGGCAGGCGCCGCTGATCAACGAGGCGTTTTGCAATACTCAGCCACCCCTGTCCAGGATGGTGGATGCGGAGAGGGAGCAGTTGGATCTGGCCCAGGTGGTGCGGATGCGGCACGAGCTGAGTCGCATTGTGGGGGATGCGCTGGAGCTGTTTTTGTCGGACGAGCGCCAGATGTGCTACGACGCAGTGCTGCGGCTCGACCACCAACTGCAGCTGTTTCGAGACGCGCTTCCGAGTCCGTACCGCACAGACTCGCGCATCGAGATTGTCGATGGTGGGCAGAGACATGTGGCGCTGCACAGATTCGTGCTGCACATCAGCCTGTACTATGTGGTGATCTCGGTGCATCTGCCGTACTTGCGGCATGGCGGCGGGGATGCAGCGTTCGAGCGCTCGAGAAAGGTGGCGATGGAGGCGGCGGTTGGCGACCATGCTGCGCGTGTGCGTCTGCGGCGCGAACTCGACTGGCCCAAACATATGGCAAGGGACAGTTTTGTAGGTGGCAGGTTCTTCTACTTTCATGCGACCTCGACGCTGGGGATTTGCCTGCTGTCCGAGCCGGACGAGCGCAAGGTAAGGGAGATGATGCCGCTGCTGGACGAGTTTTTGCAGTTTGCAAGGGAGCATCAGAGACAGACGGGCGTGGATCCGGACCGGTGCATTCGGCAGGAGATTAGTATTGTCAGTCTGATTCGCTCCCGCGTCCTGCGCAGAGCCGAGAGCCGTAAAGACCTCGCAAGGCCGCACGGCGGTGACGAGGCAGTGGCTGCCCCGAGTGTAGCAACGGTTGGTCTGGCGCAGGAACAGCACGAGGCGCTGCAGACGCCAGCGGGAATGGTCGAGCTGGGCCAGCCGTCTGCAGGCGCCGACGTGTACGACTGGTGGTCCTGGCTCGTCTCGAGTCTCAGCCCATCCGACCTTCCATCTCTCGCCGACCATGCAGGCTAGACAGTAACATTGATCTTCTTCATTCGTGTGCGCGGGAGAGAGTTTAGGCTACCGAGGTGCGCACATTGATGGTGACGGGCAGCTTATGAATCCTTCTAGTGACAAAAGCATCCACCAATCCCGCCTCGAACTTCTCTGCGTCGTACGCTTCGGTGGGGACAAAGTCAAATCGACGCACGAGGTTGGCAATCACCAGCCTGAGTTCCATGTACGCCAGCACCTTGCCTACGCACGAAGTCTTGCCGTACGAAAACGGCATAAACGCGGCCTTGTTGAACCTTTGCTCCTTTTCGGGATGCAGCCAACGGTCGGGACGGAACTTGAGCGGGTCGGGAGCAAAATTCCTCTCGTCTCGTTGGATGGACCAGATGGGGAGTGTGACGATGGTGTTGGCGGGGATGACCGTGGGTGTGCCGTTGACATCCACCACGTTAGCCTGCTTACTCTCGCGCTGCAAACCCGCCTGCACGGGAGGGTAGATGCGAAGGGCTTCGTTGATCACGGCGTTGAGGAGCGGGCAGGTCTTGTCGTCGAGTCGGTTGAAATCGGTGAGCAGGCTGGGGTCGTCACCGAAGACGTCGAGCAGCTCCTGGCGGAGTCGCGCGAGGATGGCGGGGTTTTCCATGAGGAAGAATGTGGCGATGCCCATGGTGGTTGACGAGGTGTCGCTGCCCGCGACGACGATGAGTCGTGCATCGGCGGTGGCTTCTTTATCCATCCGGTCGGTGCTTCCTTTGGTTTCGACCTCGTGCAGCAAGTGGCTCATGATGTCCGGTACTGCTTCGTTGCGCGCCTTGCGCTCTTTGACAATACCTGCCATGTACTTGTCGAACTCGGCAATGGGGTTCGGCATCGCCCCAAGAATATCGATCAAGTAGGGGACGTTGCCGACGAGCTGGACGAACTGCATAAAGTCTTCCAACGCCTGGATCATCGGGCTCAACTGGCCTTTTTGAAGCAGGCCAAAGTCGCCGCCAAAACCGGCCTGGGACATGACGTCGAACGAGTAGAAGCTGCAGTAGTCGTCGATATTCACCCTCTCCCCCCGCTGGGCTCTTGCTTCGAGCTGGTTGACCATGAGGTCCATGTTGTCGACCAGGATGGTTTCGTAGCCTTTGAGCGCTTTGGCGCTAAATGCGGCGTCCCAGATCTTGCGGCGGGCCGAGTGGTTGGATTCGATCACTGCGCTGTGCAGGTTTCGGGGGATGTGGGGGCTTCGAGATCCGGCCGTGCTGACGTACCAAGGTCCGCGCCAGAAGCTACTCTTGGCACCCATAATCGCAGTTACGGCCGTCGTGGCGTTGATCGATAGCTCTCGCGGTCCAGTTCGGACCACATCGCCGTACCTCTTGTGGGCATCGTCGATGACCCGTGGTCGCATGCCAGCAACGTCCGTAGGGATGAAAGTGATCTTTGAGAGACTCCATGAGGTCGGGCCAGGGAACCGACTGAGACGGTGGAAGAACAGTCGGTATACGCCGATGCTAAGCGTTGTAAAGAGGGTGAAGACGGCTAGATCGACGAGGGATGCTTTGACAGCAGGGAGAAGAGGGGTGGTGGAGTGGCGGAGAGAGGTGTCGGCGGTGACGAGGACCGAGGAGAGTAGGAAGAGTTGGATGGGCCATAGCTCGAGGTGTCGAAACACAAGGTGGTGGGAGATGATCGAGGCGAGCGCGAGGAAGACGATGCGGTGCTGCTCAAACGCCGCCATGGCAGTCTGAACCGTGTGCGTGTCCATCATTGCGCACCAGTATCGAGGCGATGAAGGGGGGACGGGGGGAGGACTGTGGAGAAGCGCGTTTATATGCCCCGTGCCCGGCGTTCGGGTGGGGACGTTCGGAAGGCTTGTGCCGAACCTACGCTTCGACGCTCGAGCCATTGCTCTTCACACCGTGCAGCAAAGCATTGCATGTGTCGCCGCTCCCATGCGCTGTTGAAGCATGCGGGGAAAACCCAACAGCATGCCACAGAGCGGTACGCATTTTTGTGGGGTAAAAGAATAAAGTGCGGGGTTAGCAGGTGTTGCACCGTGCGCACAATAATTATCCGCCCTCCCCCAACCCGCGGCCCCAAAGCGCGGACCCACTATCGCCGCATCCCCACTCCTCACTCCTCCCACGCCATTGCACACCTTCGTTCGCGCTTAAATTTGACGCAAATTGAGGCCTCAAAAATCCCACACACACCTCGGCGTGCACAAAAACTAACGTATTTACCACCGATTAAACACAAAGGCGAGGCGAAAGAGGGAGAGGGAGGCGGCGGCGGCGGTCACTGGTCGGTGTCCATGGGTCGTTCGTCGCCACCCTCGGCGGCGAGTTCGGGTGCAATCACGCTGGTGTCGACGGGCGCGGGGGCCGAGACGGGAGTCGGGGCGGGTTCCACCACGCCGCTTGCGGGTGCGGACACGGGCGCGGGCGCCGGCGGGGGTGGGAGCGATGCACTCACCGCCTCAGTCTGCTGGGCATCGGCCTCGAGATCGGGCGCAATGACGCTGTTGGCGAGCGCCGAGGGCACACGCGGCGGCTTGGAGGGCGTATTCCACGCCGAACGCTCGCCCTTGAGCGGCGTGCCGTTGAGCGAGGCGCTCGACGCCGACGGGGTGAGACCAGCAGCTGCTGCGGCCTCTGCGCTCTTTGTGGAGGCGCGCAGCTCCTCGAGACTGACGAGCGCGAGCTGGGGCGGTGGCTGCGACGGCGACGCCTCCTCGCCGCCTTCCTGCTGCATGCGCTTGCGCACGAGCTTGGCATAGTGCAGCCCGCACGCGTTGCACAGCGTCCGGGCCCCATCGGGACCCCGACGCCACTCGGGCGTCTCGCTCGTACCGCACGCCTGGCACGAGCCGGGTGCGGGTGCACGACTGCGCTTCTTGTACTGCGGACCCTTGACATCGTCGAAGCCGGGCGAGGGGAACGACGTGGGCAGCGAGCCATCCGGAAACACCCTCAGGCCCGAGTTGGGCGTGAAGGGCGCCATGGGCAGTCCTGGGGTGGAGGGCGAGCCGGCGGAGCGGTTGCCGTCCCAGTCCGAGGAGCGCTGTCGCTTGCGCGCCGAGTCGAGCTTGGATTCGGCGGGGCGCTTGTTGTCGTCGGCATCGAGCTGGCGGAGCGCCACCTCGGGCTGGGCGAGGAGCATGGAGAGCGACGAGGTGAGCTTGAGCGCCTTCTGGATGACGGTGCGCACCTTTTGGGGCGTGGGCACGTTGACCTGGTTCACGTGCGCCACGCAAAAGTTGGCGATGGCGCTCGAGACCGAGTAGATGTCGCGCAGTTCGGACTCGACGTTGCGCGGCAGACCCGAGGCGGTCTCTTGCGGCTCTTCGACGGTGGGCTTGGCGTCGCCTTCGTGTGCATCTGCGGCGGGAGCAGCGGCAGGAGGAGCGGTGGGGTCGTCGGCAGGCTGAGCGGCCGCTTCGTTGGACTGCTCGGCGGTGGCGGCGGCGGGTGCGGCAGCGTCGGTGTTGTCAGGAGCAGCAGCGGGAGCAGCGGCCGTGGCATCGGGTGCGGGCTGGTCGGTGGTACCGTTGGGGGCAGCAGCGCCAGCAGAGGCAGCGGCAGCAGCGGCGGCAGCGTCTGCACTGGCGGCTTCGGTGGCGGCGGTGGCTAGTTGCGTGATGGTTTGGGCTGCGCTCGACGCGTCGGCGGCGGCAGCGGCGGCAGCAGCATCAGCCACGGCAGCCGCGTCTGCTTCCGAGATTTGGTGGTGCGGGGGATGGATGTCTGCCGATGCAGATTCCTGGTCCTTCCTGGGGAGCATGGTGGCGCCAAAGGGGGAGGCGGTGGAGTCGGATTCTTGTGGTGCGGCGGCAGGCGCGGCGACGGACTGCGGTACGGGCGCAGCAGCGTCGCTCGACATGATAGCGGGTGGGGATGGACGCGGTCGACGCGTGGATGCAGGCAAGCTTTGGGAGGAGGAGGAGGAGGAGCGCGTGATCGAAGGGGGATCGGGATGGTGGATGGATGGATGGCAGCAGGCAGAAGCGGATGGCGAGGGAGAGAGAGAGAGGGAGGAGGAGGAGGAGGAGGGGAGCGAGAAGGAAAGAGCAGCGGTCCGCGCCCGACGCGAAGCGCACCCCACCGAGAGAGCGCCACGCTGAGGCTGCCCGATCGAGGCGAGTTGCGCTCGACGATAGCGTGATTCACAGGCGGAGTGCGCGGGCCAACAGCGCACCCGGAGCAGCAGGAAGGCCAAAACGCGAGCGAGCGCATCGCATCCGATCGGAGCCAATCGCGGTGGGAATCGCGCCCAAATCGCGCCCAAATCGACCAAATCGAGATCGCCCATCGCCGAATTGGGAGGGTTTGAAATCGAACTTTGGTGCCGCGGCGGGCAGAGTGCATCGGCGGTGGGAGAGTGGCATGTGGCTGAGCTGCATCTGTGAAAATTCGCCTGCGATTTCCGATTCGCAACCTCCGAGACGCGCTCTCACGCTCCTGCATGCCAGACCCTCTGCCAAAACGCGGTGCCGATCGGGTGCGGACCGAGCCCAGCGCAGCGCAGCGCAGCGAGGCGTGAGAAGAAAACTCTGTGATTCATCGGCGATGCACTGGACCCGTGGATTTAGGGTCTCGGGCCAGCCGACGCCTTGCTCCCAGGCGGCGTTTTCTCCCGATTTGGACTCGGGCGGGTCTTGCGCTCGGAGGCGCGCCGATGGGATCATGGATCATGGATCACGGATCATGGATCGCACGGGCCGCGCACAGCGGCGTCCCTCCGACCGAAAGTAAGGTTAAGCTTTGACGCGACTCACGACTCTCTCCCTTTTGGGCCCCCTGACCAGCGCGCCGAAAAGCACGAAACGGCAGGGCTGTGCTGTGTTGTTGCTTTGCTGTTCGCAGTGTGCATCCGCCTCGGATCGCCGCCGCTTGGACCGTCAACGCCCAGCTGCAGCGCACAATGCCGCCTCCGTCACCGTCACAATACTGTATTGCAATGCCGCCTCGGATGTGCCGTGCGGACGACGAGAATGCGCAGAAAAGCCGTCTTTTTCGATACAAAAGAACCCTATTTTTTTGAGAGAGGGTGGTGCAGTGCTGCGCTGTGAAATTGGAGTGCGTGCCGGTGCAGTTGGGCGGTCGGGCGGTGCCAGCCTGTCAACGCGACTCGCAGCTGCCAACGACGCTCCTCCTCCTCCTCCTCCTTATCCCACAACTACATCGTCGCGTCTCGTCCCTGCTTCATCATCATCATCACCAGCACCACTCACGAATCGTCACGACTCTACCACAGCGTCCAAGCAATGCATCGCTGAGACTACGACAGGCAAGCCGTCGCGTCGCGCTTCACTCCAGCCATGGAGGACCCTCTCGACACCGCCGCCGCAAAGAAGAAACCCGCCTTTGCATTCTGGGACAGGCAGCGCAAGGATAGCCATTCCACATCACCCACAATGCAACGCTCATCCTCGTCCCAGCACTCGGCACAACCAGCTGCTGCCAACACAGGCCTCAGCGGCGTCCAGCGACTCATCCAGCAGTACTCGCAACCCAACCAGGCCGCCGCTTCCTCCTCTTCATCCTCGGCACTCACTCCCGAGCGATCCAACTCCACCTCCAGGCACTCGCCTAGCTCCTCGCGTGTCTCGCCTTCACCCATCCCGCCTACCACCTCCTCTGCCTCCACCTCGAGCCAAACTCTCGACCTGCTCCCAAACGCCGACACCACCAAACAGGCAGAGGCAGAAAAGGCAAAACGGCGTCGTCGCTTGCTCCAGGACCAACTCCGCAAACGCAACTCCAACAGGCGCTCCTCCGGCCCCGTCGACATCAACAGCAACTCGGCCACACTCTCATCCGATGAAGATGATGGCGAAGAGGAAGAAGAAGACTCGCGCATCGCGTCCGAGTCCGACTCCAATCCCCCATCCGGAAGTGCACCCGACTCCGACGCCTTCCACGACGCCAGCTCGCGTCTCGTCACTCCCGCCAAACCGTCGCCCTCCACCGCCGTCCAATCGAGGCCGCCAAGGCAGTCGCTCGAAGACACGCGTCCCTGGCTCGAATTCAGCCCTCTGCTCCCAGACTCGGAGCTGCTCGAGAGCCCGGGCAAGCAGGCCACTCCCAGTTTCGCTCTCCTCCATCGCTCCACCCCCTCCGATCTCAGCACCCCCACCAGCCGCAGCAGCGCAACCACAGATCCACCACTTCTCACGTCCAGCGCACGTCCTTCCCCATCGCGCTCCAACTCGGCTTCCATGCATGCCTCCGGCTCCCCCGCCTCTCCCACCGGCCTCGGCTTGGCCGCCGCCACTTCCTACCTCTCCCTCAACTCGCCCACCCACTCCTCGCACCCACGTTCCTATCGCAACACAAAGCTGCCACCACCAAGGCCGTCCCCACAGGCGCCCCTGCCTCCGCCTCCCTCCGAGGCCTCTTCCACGCATGCATCCCCACAGCCGCATGCCTACTCGTCTCGCTCCGCCGCAAGGCCCGCGCCACCCATCGCTCTCAACAACGACGACGCCGACGTTTTTGGTGGCCAAACGCTGCGTTCGAGGAGCTACAGCCTCGAACAAGAAGTCGCCTCGGCCGATGCACAACAACGCCAGCATCAGCATCCGCAACCGACTCCACCACCAGACAGCGCACACACACATGCAGCAGCAGCATCGTCGTCGTCATCGTTGGCAGTGCCCATCATCCGTCAGCGCAGCAACTCGCTTCAACGCACACAGCCCGACGACAGCGCGTCCGCTTCCAGACCGCCAAGGTCGGCCTCCTCCAGCTCCACCAAGCCGGTAGGCGCAGGCAGACCCAGAGGCTTCACCGTAGGCGCCGTGCCCGCTCCCCCGCCCTCCCTTCGTGGCGGCGCTCCCTCGTCTGCACCCAACAAGTCCAGACCCAGATCGCTCCTCTCCAACGAAATCTTGCCGCTCGATCTCGCAGAGCCAAACTACGCTTCCTCCACCGACGCACGCAAAGCACTCAGCATGGACATTGACCGTCGCACCGCCTCCAACAGAGCTTTGACATCCGCCAGCCTCAGCCGCGGTCCCTCGGCCACCTCGCAGGCCGAACGCGATGCAGCCTCATCCTCCGCCACCACCAACACCGATCGACTCCAACCCGACTCCACAGAGCGCCGTCCAAGCGCAGGAGGTAGGAGCCGCAGCGGAAGCAGCGCAAGCCTCTTGCAGCAGGTCAACTCGCAGCCCAAATCGCACGCCAGCTTCGTCATCGCCGTCGTCGGCCATGCGCAGTCGGGCAAGTCCACCGTAATCAAGAAGGGCCTCCGCCAATTCGGACTCTCGAAACCGCACGTGCTCTCCGAAAAGGTCACCTCCCACTCCACCGTCTGCGTCGTCGACCAGGAGCAGAGGACCATCGAGGTGCTCGAGATCGACGCTTCCGTGCTGCTCAACGGGCCCAGCAAGCGATTCGCCTGGCCCAAGTTCCTCCCGCATATCGACGCCGTCATCCTCTGCTACGACGCCGCCGAGATCGCCTCGTTCCGCGGCATGTCGGAGCTGCTCGAAAACTTTGCCGTCGCCAACCTCAGCACCGTCATGCTCGCCTGCAAGTCCGAGGTGCATCCCAAGGCCGTCGACCCCTACTACGCCAGCGACATGGCGTGCATCTACAACGTCGGCCTCGCAGAGTGCACCGTACAGAGCGAGGAAGGCAAGAAGCGCATGCGCGACTGCTTCTCCTACCTCGTCAAAGAAGTCGCCAAGGTCAGGAGCGGTCGATCGCGCCGCGGCACCGCCAGCACCGTCCCTGTGATGCCAGCAGCAGCAGCGACGCAAACGCCGTCGCAGCCCCTCAGCTCACCCACGCAGCCGACCATGCCGAGCCGCACCGCCTCGGCCACTTCCCACGCGAGTTCGCAGGCGGACCCAGCCGACGCAGCTCACGCAGCCTCGCTCTCGCCCGTCGTGTCAGCAGATCCGCGCGCGAGAGGCTACAGCAACGCCAGCTCGAGCGCAACGCGCATCACCACCGGCGGAGGCGAGTCGCCCGGCCTCCAGTCGACCTTCCCTTCTGACCCGAAGCGCGATCTCGCCTCGGACGCGTCCGCGTCCGCTGCTGCGAGTCACGATTCGCGCCTGAGCCTGCGCAAGATGAGCAGCGCCACCGCCGGATCCTCCACCTCGGACGTGCCCTCTTTGCAGTCGCACGACGAGCTCGGGCTGCACGACAGCCTGCATCGTGCGCAGATGGGCCTGCAGAATGCGCGCGCCACCGGAGGCTACGTGTCGATCGAAGAGCTGTGGGACAAGCTCTTCCACGCCGCCATCTCACGCACCGACGAACGCTTCGTCACCATGTTCATGGTCTTCTACCGCGGATTCGCCACGCCGCTCGACCTGCTTCGCCAGATGATGGCGCGCTTCGACACGCTTACCGCCGAGGCCGTCGCCGACGGCTTAGTGCATCGATTTGCGCTCATTCGCCTCACGAGCATGCTCGGCGACTGGGTGCTCGACTACCCAGGCGACCTGAGCAATGCCGAGACGCATGCGCTGCTGCTCCGATACCACCACCAGCTGCTCCACCATCCTGACACCGTGCACACAGCTACGCAGATTCAAAATGCGGTCGAGGCGACCGCTCGAGCACCCGACCTGGACGCGCTTTGGAGCAAGGCGGTCAACAGCGATCAGACGCGCCACAAGGGAGCCAGCGCGATCGCAGGCGACGTCGACGGGGGCCTGTCCGCCAGCCACTCGAGCAGCAGCCACCTCGCTCTGGCGACGGCGTCGGGCAACACGAGCCACGACATGCTGGATGGTGACACGCTCGGCGCCGCCGCGCACGACCGGTCCGACACGCACGAGAGGACGGGATCCGAGAGCAGCCTCGTGATGCCGCCGGACGCGGGCGTGGGAGGGCGCTCGCGCAGTGCGTCGGATCTCACCACGTCGTCGACGGAAGCACCGGCGGCGCTGCTCGGCTCGGACGACCGCGCGGGTGTGTCGATGTCGAGTGGCGTAAGTAGCGTCAGCGCGCACACGCAGACGTCGACGGGCGGCAGCACCACAGCGAGCGGCACAGCAACGCAGGCGTCGGTGTCGTCGACGAGCACCGAGGCGTTGGCGAGCACGACGGGGCGTGCGCTCGACCAAAAGGCGGTGCTGCGCAGCATCTCGAACACGCTCATGGAGGTGGACGACGAGGTGATCGCCACGGAGCTCACGCGGCTCGAGTGGGCGTACTTTACGGCGATCCAGCCGCGCGATCTGCTGCGCCACATCCTCGTGCCGCACGACAAGCGCGACGGGCCGGTGTCGCGCTCCATCTCGCACTTCAACTACATGTCCAACTGGGTGTGCTCGATGATCCTGGCGCAGGGCAAGACGAAGCATCGCGCACGCATGCTCGAAAAGTTTTTCAACATTGCGTCGATCCTGCGGCACGACAACAACTACGGCTCGCTCAACAGCGTGCTGGGTGGCTTGAGCAAGACGGCGGTGCATCGGCTGAAGCATACGCGCGAGTTGCTCAAGGGCAAAGCGGTGAACAAGGCGTACCAGAGCCTGGTGCGGCTCATGTCGAACGAGCGCTCGTCGGCGGCGTACAGGTTGGCGCTGGAGAATTCGGACGGGCCGACGATTCCGTATGTGGGCGTGCATCTGCAGGACATTCTGTCGATTTCGGACGGCAATCCATCCAAGCGCGCGGCGGATGGGATGATCCACTGGCGCAAGTTTTCGCTCATGGACGAGGCGGTCATGGCGGTGGCGCGGTGTCAGCAGTACGACCGCTACATCAAGCCGAACGCGGCGGTGGAGAAATTGATCGTCGATGTGCCTGTGATGGACGACGAGGCGCTGTACGAACGCTCGCTCATGGTCGAGCCGCGCGCCAGTGCGGGCCCCGTGGCGGCGAGCAAGATCAAGGACCTCAAGACGTTTCTGTCGAGCCAGACGTACTCGAGCAGCTCGTTCCATGCGTAGGCGTTGTCAATCCAGGCCTGCGTCGCACAACCTTGACATTGGTGCACGTGTGTAGGTGAGGGAGAATGATTGCATGGTGCGTGGAAGAGGAAGTTGAGATGGGGACGCAGCGTCTTTACACATGGATGCGCGTGCTGTGGATGTGATAACGAGGAGAGCGTGGGCTTAAGGTGGGCACGATGGCGATGACTCAGACCGAAAGTTGAGGCGTAAGCAGGTCGAGGATGGCAGGGTGGAGTTGCTTCAGTGGTTTGCCGAGGGATCTGAGGCATGACAAGCCTAGATTTTTTGATCCAGGCGTGCGTTTTTTTGGTTACAAGGTTGGCGGAGCACCTTGGATGCGTATTTGAGCCATGACCGGCCACCGATTTGGTCAGGGGAGGCGTGCGTCTTTGGTCAGACAAGATATGCATGCGTGTGGGTGGATAAGACGGAGCGCAAGGAGCATTGCTCGATTGTGCAGGGGACTGAAGAGTGTCAGATGGAAGTGAGCATGATGACAATGTCTGCTTTGAGGCGGGAATTAGGTCGTGCGAGGAGGCTGAGAATGACACTGCGGGCTGAACTGCCTTGTTTCCACACACGCACATTGCCGATTGGACGCCGATGCGACTCGCGGCAACAATGGGTGGATTGGATTGTGGTTGGTAGGCCAGGAGTATGGCTCGGACTCGTGCAGAGTTGCTCGCCATGGTTGGTAGCTCTTTGAACTGTGCTGCGTTGGAGCCAGGATTGGGCACGATTCGTCACTCTTGTGTACGGTGGATGCGAAACGCGGGCGGGAGTGCAGCTGGAGCCGCGCAAGTGCTTCTAGACTCCAAACCTACATGCTGCGGCTTGAAGTCGCTCAGCAACCCGAGCAGGAAGCGCGCGTCGCTGATTCTCCTGCGCTTAGACGCCCGAGCTGCCCACCAATCTACTCGACGTCGATACGCGCTGCTACGACCATGCACTCGTCCGGCTTTCCATCCTGGACTCGAACGCAATGTGGTTTGGGAAGAAGGGATTTTCAGGGCATGCAAACTGCATCGACATTTGCATTGGATGCGAGTGGGACGGCTACTTGAGTTTGAGATGCACCTTTTCGATAAAAGGCGCCAGATCGGACTTGCGTACATGGATCGCCGCGGTCTGGAACCTGTCATGCCGGACCCTCGCGCCACTCATCTTTGCCGCATGCTGGAACGCGGCGGTAAAATGGTTCGCCTCCGTCATGCCATGCACGGGCGCGGCGGTCGACCCAAGCACCACAAAGATATCCTTGGCCGGATAAAGCGCAGCGATGATAAACGGCAGAGGCGTATACGGGTTCCCCTTCCTCTTTGGCAAATTCGCCTGCTGCTCCACAATGATATCCCTCAATGCAGTCGAGAGCCAGCGAGCGAGCTGGGCGAGGATCTCAACGTGGGTGAAAAGCTCGAGATCGGCGCCGTCCTTGAGAATGGCGAGGCGGAAGTTCTTGAGTGTGCGAATGCTCTGGTTCGTAATCAATCCCATCCCCCTTGCAACAATACGTCGGTGCAAGGCTTGGGAGAGCAGCAGGGATGAGCGGAGGAGGTGGATGGATGTGGCTCGGCAAGTGTCGAGCGCGCGGTAGGCTTCGTGGAAGTTGTTAACCCATACATCGCGTTCCGCCTGCTCGAGCAGCGCTAGTTCGTCTCCGCTGGCTCGACCGGAGCTGACGGGTTCGAGATCGAGTCCCGAATTGGCGCCCGTGGCTTCGCGAGCTGTGGTGGAGGTGGCAGCGGTGGCGGCGGTGACGGCGTCGGTGAGGTGCGTGCCCAGGTTCCACGCGCGCTTGGTGGCGAAGAGCTCCGATGTCGCAGCTCCCCCACCCCGATTGGCGGCATAACTGGTGGACAAAGGTGTGCCGGCGCTGGCGGAGGCGAAGACCATCCCGGGCGTTTCGACCTCGATCTTCACGCCGTGTGCGGCAACAAGCAGTGCCGAAACGCCCTCCACCACATCCGCCGCCCCCAACGGTGCGGTCTGAAACCCGTACGACCGCTCAAACCCACGATAGCTAAGCTCGGTCAGGCCGTACTCGGGTGCGATCGCATCGAGTTTGACGGCGAGGCTGCGGCGCAGGTCGAGGGGCATGTGGGTGTAGTTCTGGCGCACGGCGGTGAGGGAGAAGCCCATCTTGGCGAGGAGGCCGCGCAGCTTGGCCTGACCGCGTTCGCGCCAGAAGCCGAGCTTGGCGGCGACGTAGGCGGTGTGGAACATGGCCGTCTCCAGGCTCCAGTGGCGGTAGAGCGTGAAGCGCAGCTCGGCGGCCACGATGCGGATCGTCCGGTCGTCGGCGTCCTCGCTCTTGGTATTGTGTGCGATCCCGGCGCGCAGTGCCCGATCCACCCCTCGAGGTGTGGACGAGGCAGAATCGTCCTTGGCGAGAAGGTCGGTGGACCATGCTTCCAAGCGAGCGTGCGAGGTGGAGGGTTCGATCGCGATGACTTCCGAGGCGTAGGCGGAGGAGTAGGCTTCGTACGTCTCGAAATCGATAGAGTTGGAGAGGTAGAGCGAGGTGAGGCCGACGATGGCGAGCCAGAGAGACTCGCGGTCTGCGCGGCCGAGCGATTCGCACAAGAGATAAAGCATGGAGGAGGTCGACATGCCGTAGCTCTCGCCGCGGTTGTAGTAGCGCGTGAGGACGGTGCGGTAGCGGTGGCGCTCGGCATTGGTGAGCCGCGCCGAGGCGGGACGGTGCGAACGATGGCGTCGGCGCTTGCGCGCTGCATTGGGCGAGTCGGCATCACTGCCAGCGTCGGCGGAGGCGGAGCGCGAACGAGAGCGAGAGGAGCGCTTGCGCTTGCCTGCCTCGCCGGGCGCATCGCTGTCCGAGCCACTCGCGTCCGAGCCCGACTCGTCGCCACTGTCATCGTCATCGTCGTCGTCCGAGTCGATGTCGAACTCGAGCTTTTCGAATGCGTCGCGCTCGCCACCCTGGCGGCACAGCTTGGTGGCAATGTCGCCGTCGTCCCAGCACCACACGCGGTCATTGGCATGGCTCGTCGCGAAGAGGTTGTCCAGATTCCACGGCCGGTGCGAGTCGATCACATGCAGCGTACAGCTCGGCGGGATGTTGAACATGGTCGGCAGACTCAGCACCGCGCCGAGATTGATGAGCACCACCGATCGCACGTCCGTCGTCGTCGCTGCTGCGGCGGTGGAAGTCGAGGCAACATTCGCGGCGTCGGCCTCGTCGTCGGTGAGCGGCGGAAAGACGTCGGCGAGCGTAGTGGTGAGCGAGCGATATCCGTCTACGGGTACGATGCGGTGCGGGATGTCGTCCTGCAGAAAGAGGGATGCGAGCATGCGCGTTGCACACACCGCATCCACGTCCGGCGAGGCGAGCACCAGCACGCTCGACACGCCCGAGCCCGCCGACCTTGCTGCGGCGCGGATGCGAGCATAGGCCGAGGCGTAGTCGTGCTTGGACGTGGAGGCGATGCGGTCCGGATCGATGTGCACGTCTACGAGCGACGAGTTTGGACACGCCACCACCACCATTGTTGCGCTGCGACGGTGAGGATGATGAGGGATGGTGGAGTGGGGGAGAGAGGTGTTGATTGCGCAAACCAACACGCCCCGAAGCGCCAATTCGGCGCGGCGCGTCGCCAATCGAGAAATGCACTTCGCGTTGAGTGGCGGTCGACATTTTCTTCGGATGTCAGATTAGAATACATCTCACAGTACTTTGGGGGTGAGAATTCGGCTCTCGTGCGGCTGAGCAGAAGCACAGAGATGAGCTGGAAGAATGCGCGGCCGCGCACTGTCCAGTCCAAGTGAAGCGCCGCAAAGGGCTGTCGGATCTCTGCTTCTGCTCACCATCTGCTGCTTCTGCCCACGCATACACACACACCATGGGCATGTCTGCTTCCACGCGCACAACGACGCTTGTGCTGGCGTGGCTCGCCTGCCTCGGCTTCTGGCTCGCTGCGCCCACCCTCGCCGTCTCGCTGCCCCCCGCTGCGCACTGGACCAACACCAACGTGGTCAAGCAGATCGAACTTGCCGGCACCACCTCGCATGCCATCACCACGCTCTCCGTCCGTCCCGGTGCATCTCACAACGGCGGCGAGGTGCTCGACTACTACTTTGTGCTGGCGGCGCACGAGGCGGAGCACCTGGCGTGGTCGCGTCTGACGGTCAAGCCGGCGCTGGATTCGGCGTTTGCGGCGCGCGACAACAAGCACGGCGGCATGCGTCCCGTCGTACCCCTACAGCAGCTTGGACCGCTCGATGGGGATATGGATTCGGTGGTGTTCAAGGCCGAAATTCCCGCCGAGTTGGTCGGGGCGGAGGGCGTGGGGATGACGCTCGAGACGGCGCTGAATCATGTGACGCAGCCGCTGCCGAAGCAGGTCAAGCAGACGCAGCCGCAGCTCGTGCTGTGGGAGGGCGATGCGGCGGTGCGATCGCCCTACCCCACGAAAACGGCGCGCATCAAGGTCAAGGCTGCCTCGCCCAAGATCATTGCCTACTCGCCCGACTCCGCCACCAAGTCCGGAAGCATCGTAACGTTCGGCCCCTTTGAAAACGTCCGCCCCATCCAAGCGGGGACCAAGGTGGAGCAGGGCAGTGTGCATTTTCAACTGGATGCGCCGAGGGCGGTGATTGTCGAGCTGAAGCGCGTGGCGGAGGTGAGCCACTGGGGCGATGCGCTGAGTGTGCACGACCGGCTGGTGGTGCGCAATGCAGGTGCACAGCTCAAGGGCCACTTTTCGCGCATCGAACACCAGATGGCGGCGTTCTACAACAAGGCGTCCGCGAGCGCGCTCTCGACGATTGCGATGAGCCTGCCTGCAGGTGCGCGCGATGCGTGGTTCGTAGACGATATTGGCAACGTCTCCACGTCGCGATTCCGCGAGTCCAAACCGGATCCGAGCCTGCTTAGTGCGTCGTCGGTGTTGCCGACTTCGGCAGGGGTGGCGGCAAGGATGAGTGCGCTCGAGTTGCAGCCGAGGTTTCCGTTGTTGGGTGGGTGGAACTATAGTTTCAGTGTTGGGTTTACGCTGCCGCTGAGTGCGGGCGGGTGGATGAGGAAGGTGCGCGCGTCCAACGAGTACATCACTGCCGTACCGCTGTTTACACCCATCAAGGACGTGGCTGTCGATAAGCTGACCACCGTCATTGTGCTGCCCGAAGCAGCGTCGAGGGTCCAGCTGGAGCTGCCGTACGATATCCACGTCGATCACGAGATCTCAAAGACCTACCTCGACACGGTGGGGCGCAACACGATCATCCTCACCCAGCGCAACGTTGCCCCGCAACACGCAGCACTCGTCTACATCAAGTATTCCCTGCCGCATAGGGCCAATATGGTCAAGGTGGCGGCGGTCGCGGCGGTTACGGCGGCATTGCTCACGGCCACAGCGGTAGTGCAACGTGTACAGACTAGAATCATTTGATTAGGAATTGTCAGCCGAACAATCGACCCATTTGATCCAGGATCGGTTCGCCGCCTCCACCACCGCCGTCGACGGCGAAGAAATCCAGATCCTTCATCATCCATTCCCACTGCGGATCCAGCGCCGGTGGTGGCTCCAGCGCCCCAGTGGCGGGATGGGGAATGTTGACGTTGAACCACGAGGCTGGGCTCAACCCGGCTCCTTGTGGTGCTGTGGAAGCGGTCGAGGTGGTGCCGGGCGATTGATCCGTCCATGTGGATGTGGGCGCGGGTTGGGCAGGCCAGGATGCAGCGAGGTGGGGCGAAAAGTGGATGTTGCTAGAGTAGATGTGCGAGGCTTTTGTGCCTGGCGCCGTTGGTGGCATGGGGTGGTTATGATCCCGACGAAGGTGTCGTGACGACTCGGGTGCACGATCCGGCCTATCCTCCCTCGGGGTTGAAGGATTGCCAAGCCCACGTAACGCCGCACCCTGGTCGTCGCGCGCTGCATCGGCACAGCTCGTTTGTGGTTCCGGGTCAAAGCGGCTGAGTACGCCGCTGAGGAAGACGCTGTATTTGGACGCGATGCTCTTGCCGCTGCGCGCGGTGCGTGCGCTGCCGATCTTATCCAGCTCTCCCGCGGTGAGCCTAGCGAGATTAAGCACCCTCGAGCGCGAGACGAATCCCAAATTCACCTCGCCCACCTTCTGTCCGCGACGCTGCTGCACCGCATGACGCCGGGACAGGTCGAGTGCAAAGACCACCGCATAGACGGTGGAGACGATGAACGAGTTGGTGACGTGGTCCATGTATCCGCGCTGGCTGCGGTCGATGAACGTCGCCATGTAGTTGGTGCAGCTGATGTAGCAGTGTCTGTACAGCTGCGCCAACTCGGCTGTGACGTCGACAGAGTAGCTGATGGGTAGCGCGAGTGCGTACGTGACGAGCGCTGCGTAGTCGAGTGAGAGCGGACCGGTGATTTGAAGAGGGCTGGGTGGGGAGGTGGACGTGGTGGAGAGCCAGCGTTCCTCCCACCGCTTGAGATCCATGTGCACCGAGTTGCGGAAGTAGCTCAGCTGCAGCGTCAGCTGGTCCCTCTCGGCCACGCCTGCGTCCTCCTCCCCGCGATCGCGCACAGGCTCGCCAACCCGACGCCGCGCTCCCAGACTGCGCAGCACATGCGTGTTGAAATGGTCCCCCTGCGCAATCATAATCCGGCGCAGCTCGATCTGCGCCACCAACGCCTCGTCCTGCCTTAGCGCGAGTGGCATGCTGTGCCACCGACTGCAGGTGGCAATCACACCCTCGTCGGCCAAGTGCATGCGCTGGCCCGTCTGACTCGCCAGCGTCTTTTCCAGGTTCCACAGATTGATCCACAGCCGCTCGGTATTGCGCAGCTGGCGCTGGTAGTGCTGATTCGCATGCACCGCAGGCGTAGAGTACGAATAGCAGACCAGATTGCACCCGAGCTCCGTCGCGATGCGGATGGCCGTGCCAAGGAACAGCCACGTCTGGTCCGACATGGCGCTCTCCGACATGGGCCGATAACTCGCCAGCAAAAAGAACGCCTGGGCCATCTCGACGTTCTTGTAGTCGCCCGCGGTGATCCAGCTGATCATCGCCTCGTAATGCCGCCGCAACCCGACCGCCAGTGCCGCCGATTCCTCCTGAACCGCGGCGGAGGAGGTGGACGGCTCGAATTCGGCAGAGAGCGCACAGATGACCGTGAGCAGAAACGCAGAGTGCTTGCGGATGTACGTGATGCTCGACAGCTCCGGGTCAAAGATGTGCATAAACGTGCCGAACGTCGCGTAGAAGCTCGTGATGAGTCGTTCCGCCTGTGCGACGGTGAGCAGGCCCTGGTCGATAGGGTCGAATTCTTGCCGGTTGTCGTACACCGGGTGGAAGGCGCCGCGCGAAAAGTAGGTCGACGCCCAGCTCGAGGCCGATGCCCCCTCGTCTCCACGCCGCGCGGCTGTACTGCGCTCGACAGCTCCGGTGTGCGGTGCGACGTCGGCGGAGGAAGAGGGTGGCGACTGCGAGCGGCGTCGTTTGCGTGGGCCCTCTTGCGCTTCTTCGTCGGTGTGGAATCCGGCCTGGGGCTGCGATCGTGCGCGAGTGGTGCCGTCGGCTTCATCGCTGCTGGGAGCGTGTTCGGCGCCCAAACTCGCCTGCCTGTGCAGACCGGATCTGCCCACGCTACCTTTGCGTCGCCGTGCGCTTTCGTCGCTGCTCGCCTGGGCCAGCAGCTTGAGCGGGTTCGAGAGCGTGGGGAACTCGTCGGGCACCCTCGACACCGACGCCTGGTCCTCCATATCCACCAACATGTTGAAGTCCGACCGCGACCGCTGCATCTCGCCCCTACCCTGGGACAAGCTTGCTCTCTCGCGCTCCCACGCCGCGCCTGCGGTGGGCAGCGGCTGTGGCGAGGCCAGACTCGGCGGCGTGCCCTCGTCGCGCTTGATGGCCTTGATCGACTTGGCGTCGGCGACGGCGCCCTTGGTGAAGAACTTGGACCGGTGCAGCTGCCACGTGAGCGTCTCGATGAGGCTCGATGCGTCCGGATCCGCGACGTGCTTGTTGAGCGTGCGCAGCTCGTCGAGCGTGCGGTCGAGCAGCTCGAGCCGTCGCAGGATCTGCTGCAGCTTGATCTTGCCCGGCTTGCGCCCGCGCTTGTGTGTACGGTAGATGCATTCCCGGTCCAGCTTGACGCATCGTGTGCACGATGCACCCGTAGGCGAGGGAATGCACTTGACTTTGGCTTCGCGACACGGCTGACACGAGACCTTCTTGGGCGCACTCCCTGCGCCGGCGCGTTCGTTGTCCGAGCCCGAACTGGTGTCCGAGTCGGCGTGCTCGTCTTCGGCTGGCCGACGCTCCGACACAGCCTTGCTGGAAGATGGCGATGCACCCCCCATCTTTGCAATGATCGCAAGCGAGGAACCGTGGCCAACGTCGATGATCGTGGCAAAGAGTCAAGACGGGAGAGAGTGGGACCGAGGCACAAATCGACGGCCGCCGCCACCAAATTTGGCCGACTCGGCGGAATTTCGGCGCATTCGCGGCATTTCAAAGAGAAGGCTCGCCGAGAGCCCATCAGCGGAGCGTTGTTGGGTCGCCGTTCTTCGTCCGACCCCACACCCACTTCTGAATACGAAAATCCATCCGCTGCAACGGGATTGGTAACAACAGCAACAACCCCACACACACACACACAAAGCACAGGAGAGCAAGGTCTGCATTCAGCCACGCACACATGTGGCAGATCGTAAAGTGAGCACGACGACACGGCTAGGCTGCGTTGCCGGCACTGGGCTGGGCGCCTCCGCCACGTCCACCACCACGCCCACTGCGGCCGCCACGTCCGCCTCCGCCTCGACCGCCGCCACCGCGCCCACCACGTCCACCGCTTCGCGCGCGCCAGTTGTCCTTGGCCTTGTCGCCGCTGCCACCGCCACCTTGCTCGTGCGCATCTGCCGCAGCTTCGTCCGCCGCCGTCGTTGCTGCCGTGCTCTTGCTTGCGGCCGTGGTCGCCGTGCTGGCCGCCACGCTCGGCGCATGGCTCGACGGCGCAGGCGGGTGCGGCAGATCCGGCGTCTGCGAGCGGCTCGTCCATCGACTGCCTCCGTTGCTCGTGGGGGCGCTCATGGGTGCGCTCGCCAGATTGGCCGACGAGCCGCCGCGACTGCCCGCCCCGTACACCTGGCTCGGAACCGCGCTCGGTCGACCACCCACGTCCTGCAGGCTCAGACCGCCCATTCCAAACGAGGCCGGGCTGGCCGGGCGCGTCGAGCCACGGCTGCTCGAAGCCCAGCCGCGCTCCTGTGCATAGCCGTCGAGGATGTGCACGATGCCCTGGCTCATGTACTCGAACTCGCCGATCTCCTGCGCCGAGAGCGACAGATCCGTGCGGTCGCCCAGCTCCTCGTCCTCGTCCTCGTCGTCGCCGCCCTCGTACTCGTCCACGTCCTCCACGCGCTTGGAGCCGCGCTGCGCCTGCGAAGACGAGTCCTTGCGGCGTTTGCCGATGCCCTCGAACACGCGCAGCATGATGACGTCCATGATGGAGCGCAGCTTCTCGAGGTTGTCGAGCGAGTCCGTGTTGCCCGTGATGGGCAGCCAAAAGTCGCACTCGACGCCCTCGCCCAGCACGCGCACCTCGGTGGCGCCAAACAGCATGAAGGTGAGCGGATCGAGCCGCGTGCATCCGCGCAGCATGGTCGACGCATTGTTGCCCGCGCTGCCGCTCGCGTTGCGGATCTTTTCGCTGAACGCAAAGATCTCCTTCTCGCCCATGTTGGCCGCATCCCACGGCTTGTGCTTGGTGAACTTGGTGTGGCAGATCGACGACGGATGCATGAGGCACGACTTGTCCTGCGACGTGCGGTAGCTCGCCTTGCCGCTCCGGATCGCAAAGTTGGGCGGCGACGACACCGCCACCAGCGCCGCCAGCACCGATGTCGAGTCCGAATTCGTGTTGAACTCGGCGTCCGTCTCGCGCGGCCGGCGGAAGCGCGAATAGTGCGAGACGCCGTTGCCGTTGCCGTTGCCGTTGCCGTTGCCGTTGCCGTTGCCGTTGCCGCCGCCGCCGGCGTGGCTCGCCTGGATGACCGAGATGATGTCGGCCTTCTCCATCGACTGGAAGAGATGCTCCTTGACCTGCTGGATCTGGAGCAGCGTGATCTTGCTCAGGAAGTTGTCCTGGCAGAAGCGGTTCGCAGCCGCATAGTCGCCGCGCGACTGCATCTCCCACCAGCGCGTAAAGGCGCGCAGGACGCAGAGCGCATCCGATCGAAAGTCGGGCGGACACCAGCGGTCCTTGACCATCTCGGCCTCCTCGCGCAGATGGATGGGCGCCATGAACGGATCGCGGCTGGTGAGGATGGCGGCGAGCGAGAGCACGGGGTCGAGGCAGCGGAAGAAGGCGCCGTACAGGCACATCTTGCCCATGGGCGCGTCGACGGGCAGCTGGAGCAGCACGCGGCCGAGCGAGGTGAGGTTCTTGTACATGTCGAGCGCGCCGACCATCTTGAGCTTCTCCATGGCGGCGAGCACGCGCTCGGGCGCGGGCGGCTCGATGGCCGATGCCAGCACGTCCTCCACCTCCATGCCGGGGATGTCGAGCGCCTTGATGTGCATGACGACGTTGCTGAGGTCGGTGCGCTTCATCTCGACCGTCTGGTTCACCTTGAGCTTGTCGTAGCGCGCCTTGCTGAGCACGCCAAAGTACTCGCCCGCACGATGACGACCGGCACGACCCGCACGCTGGTTGAGGTTGGAGGTGCCGACCCAGGCCGAGACGAGGCTCGAGAGGTGGCGCTCCGGGTCGAAGCGCTTCTCCTTGACGCGGCCCGTGTCGACGACGTAGACGACGTCGGGGATCGTGATGGAGGTCTCGGCGATGTTAGTGGCGAGGATGATGCGGCGGATGCCCGTGTGACGCACGGGCTCGAAGACGGCCTGCTGCTCCTGCACGGGGATGGTGGAGTGGAGGATGTGGATCTCAAACTGATCGCGGTCGTTAAAGTCGGTGCGCAGGAGCGGGTGGTACTGGGTGTCGGTGAGCAGCAGATTGACGGCCTTGATCTCGTCCCAGCCCGGCAAGAAGACGAGCACATGGCCGTCGTCCGAGATGGAGAGCACGTAGGCAATGATGAGCGCAACGAGCGGGTAAGGGATCTCGAGGTCGTCCACCTGGTCTGCCATGGGGTCGACGGGCTCATCGGCGGCGGCCTGAGCCTGAATCGCCGCGTGGCCGTACGCTCTCGAGCCGCTGTTGTAGTTGCTATTGTTGCTACGCGAGACAGAGCCGCCTCGCTGGTGAATCTCGCGCTCGAGGTATTCGCGGACGTTCTTTTCGCCCCACACCCAACCGCCCATCTGGGGAGTGAGGCGGAGCGACTCGAGGTTGCGCACGGTCTCCTCGAGGTAGTGCTTCTGGACGGGGAAGCTGCGACCGGGGATCTCGACGACGGGGGCGGGGACGCCCGAGTCGTTGGCAAAGTAGCTCTGGAAGAGCGTAGGGTCGATGGTTGCGCTCATAAGCACCACCTTGATCTCGCGTTTGCCCAGACGACGCCGCTCTGCGAGCAGGCGCTTGATGACGACGAGCAGCAGATCGGTCTCTACGTCGCGTTCGTGTACCTCGTCGATGACGACGTGGGTGATGGAGTCGAGGAAGGTGTTGGAGGACTCTGCGTCGCCGAGGGCGGACTGGAGGCGACGGAGGAAGACGCCGGTGGTGCAGAAGGTGATGGAGCCGTTGGGTTGGGGCGGCTTTGCCTCGAAGCGGACCTGGTAGCCGACGGTCTGACCGAGCTTTTCGCCGCGCTCCTTGGCGACGCGCTCGGCGACGCTGATGGCGGCGATACGTCTGGGCTGAGTGCAGATGATGTTGCACTTTGCGCCTTTGCCCTGGAGGATGTAGTCGTCAAAGAGGATCTGGGGGATCTGGGTGGTCTTGCCGGAGCCGGTGGCGGCCATGCAGATGGTGACCTGGTTGAGCTCGACCTTGACGAGCACGTCGGACTGCTTCTGGGAGACGGGGAGGCTTTGGCGCTGGTCGCGCATCTTGGCCATGGCGTCGTCCGAGTAGTAGTTGCCGAGGGCGAGCTCGAGCTGCTCGCTCTTGCGCTGGAGCGAGTCTTCGGTGGCGCCAAACTGCTGGTTAAAGCGGCGCGCGCGCTGCTGACGCATCTGACGCTTCTTTGCGAGCTCGTCGTTGGCGTCGGTGGAGGCGGCGTTGGGGTCTTCGCCGGGGACGACGGCGGCGGTGCGGGGCCGCTTTGCGTAGATCTTGCTGCGGATCATGGTGTCGTAGATGTTTTGTACCGAGTCGTCGAGCTCGTCGCTCATTGCAAAGGTGACGTGGGGCGCCTTGTTGATGGACATGCCTGGCTTGTGGAGGAGGTTGAAGGTCTTCCAGAGCGAGGCGTCGGTGGACTCGATGTAGGCGACGGATTCGAGGTAGCAGTTGGCGACGGCCTGCTTCTTGTTCTTGCCGGTGGCGGCGCCGATCTCGTTGCCGGCGATGTACATGGAGGCGTGCGGTTGACTGGCGGCTGCAGCGGCGGACGACTTGGAGGCGCCTCGCTTGGGCTTGCCCTGCTTTCCGGCGGACTGGCGGATGTCTGGCTTGCCGAGGTTGAAGCGCTTGCAGTAGAAATCGATGAACTCGCGGGCGCGCTGCACGGTGAGCTCGGAGCCGTCGGAGAGCTTGCCCGTGGGACCCTGGTTCTGGGCGACGAGCGGTGCGGGAGCGGATGCGGTGGGAGTCTTGTTGAGGATGTCGCCTGCGTTTTGAAGGAAGAGGACGGCATGGAGAGCGGCTACGCGCTCTGCATCTTTGGCGGTCTTTGCATCGCCGTGGACGCTCCACTCGTACTCTGGATCAAAGTTGAGGGTGCAGCGAAAGTTGGTGTCTCGCCTGCCCTCCACCTGTCCCTCTTCGACGTTGTAGACGGGGTAGGTGCCTGTGCGGTGGAGGACGTAGTTCTGCATGGGGTTTTTGGGGTTGTCGAGCCATGCCTTCTTGACGAGGCCGCTGTCGAGGAGGCCGTGGTAGTAGTCTTTGATGTTTTGGAGCGAATGGTACGGGAGCGGTTGGGTGGGGAGGAATTTGGTGGTCTTGGTGGGAGCGCCTGATTTGAAGTGGGAGCCAGACGTTGACGACGACGAGGTGGAAGGAGCGGCGGGAGCAGCTGGAGCGTCTTTGGCCGCCGACTTGGAAGCGCCTCCTCCTCCTCCTCCTCCTCCTCCTCCTCCTCCTCCTCCTCCTCCTCCTCCTCCTCTGGAACGGTTGGTGCCGGGCTTCTTTTTGGCGGCAGCTTGAGAAGCGGGAGCCGTAGTGCCTGCCGAGGAAGTGGCGGAGGAACCTCTGCCCCAGTTGCTCGATGCGCTAGCTGTGGTGGTGGTGCTGGAGGGATTCGCGTTGGAAGAGCCGCTCCTCCATGTCGACGAGGAGTCGGCCATGGTGTGCGTGTGCGTATGGAGCCGGCTCGATCGGAAGCGTTGCGGGCTGGCGCTGCGCTGCGATCTGCGATGTGCTGGGATGTCAATCGACGATGGCGAGATGGGCAAAGCGAGATGGGAGCAATGAGCGACGATGCGCTGAGCCTTGGTCGGGCTGAGCCGATTGCACTTTTGATCTTTCGCTGCAGCCACGCACCTGTCACCCGACACCCGCGCCCAGCTGCGCGCATCCAACCCCGAGCAGAAAAATCTCCACTCTCGCCCCTCGCCTTTTTTTTTTTTTTTTTTTTCTGCGAGAATTTCATGTCGAGTCGAAGGTCACCGCGGACTCATCAGCGCTTCATGCCGTACAGTGCTCACTCCAAAGCCGTGTCGATGAAGTCTCACGCTCAGCCGAATCGACTGCACGAGCTTTCCCACGCCTCGTTTCCGTTCGTGAGAAAGGGCTGTCGGTACCGGGCCGATGCTGCGTTGATGCTGCGGCTGGCGGCGTGTTCGGATCGTCCGATGTGACAGAAATCGGGCAGCCCGCGACCCGCAACGCCCAAAAAAGCCAGAATTGAAAATGAAAAAATCGAAAAATAAGAAATCTCAGGGTCTTGAGAGGGCGTGGCTCGAGTCCCGAGACGGCGTGCACGGGATCGTCAGGGTTTCGCACGACGAGAGAGAGAGGCGCGGCCTCGTGATGGATCGTGAGTTGAGTTTTTCGCTTCGGTCGGGCCGAGCTGCTCTGCGCAGCCGCAGAAAGGACCCGCCGCAGTGATGGCAGGAGCCGATCCGACGCAACCGGCCACGTCGGCTGGTCACCACCAACGGGCAGCCGCTCTTCGCCTTGGCTCCATTCACGATTCGCAGCGTCGTCATCACCTGCGCCACATCCTTCGACGCCCGCTGCCCATACGATCACTCCACAACTTTTGCAAGGGGTGTAGACGCGCACGGCCCAGATGACGCGTTCCGCATGACCGGCGCATTAAGCTCGAGCTTCATACCCACCCATCTAGCCGCCACTTCTCTTCGGAACACCTCTGACGGAAGCCCACGGAAGCATGTCGTTGCCATCGGAAGCACCGCGCAGGCATGTGCGTGTGGCCATTGTCGGATCGGGCCTTACGGGGCTCGTAGCCACCTACCTGCTCACGGCGTCGCAACCGCACGCGCCCGATGCACCGCGCATCAGCGTCGACATCTTTGAGCGCGCACCCACGCTCGGCATGGACAGCGCGAGCATCACCGTGCCATTATCCCCAGCCTCCCCACAGCAGCCCGAAGCTGCACCGCCGCGCCTGGTGAAACGCGCCAGGCTGGACGCAAAGTCCGACAAGGCAACGGATGTGGCGACTTGGATGCGCATCGATGTACCCATGCGGGCATTCACCGGTGGATACTATCCGCAGCTGCTCGCGCTGTATCGCCATCTGGGCATCCGCGCGCGCAAAACCAACTTCACCTACAGCTTTGCGAGGATCGCCGAAGCAAGCGCGGTGAAGGCGGAAAGGAAGGCGCCCGAGCCGAGGCTGCTGTATAACGGCGCCAACGGCGTGCGCGGTATCAGCCTCCCGCACAACCTCATGCGGCTGCGCAAGCAAGGGGAGCAAGGATACGTGAGGCTGTCGGCGGTGCTCGAGTGCGTGCGTAGGTGCCGCGTCTACTTTGGCTCGCTCGTCGTGGTGGTGCTGGGCTATGTGCAGCTGCTCATCATCGCGCTGTGGCATAGTACGCTTGGGCATACGGCGGATGCGCATCATCCGCTGCGAACGCACACGCTGCGCGACCTCGTGCGCGATCCGTTCCCCGCGCGACCCGCACGGGGCTCGTCCAAGCTGCGGTGGGGTGCAGAGCGGATGGCGGAGATGGTGCTGCGAAGGGTGGCGGGGTTGGACGAGCGGTTTGTAGAGCAGACGCTTGCGCCGCTCTTCAGCGCAGTCATGACGTGCTCGCTCGACGCAGTGTGGGCGTCGCCCGCGACGGAGGTGCTCGATTACGTCGCACTCACCCTCGGCAGGGATCATTTTGTTGTGCAAGACGGTGTGCGCACGGTGGTCCGCGCGCTGCTGGTCCACGTCACGCCGGGCGAGGACGAAAGTAGGGTTTGGACGCGCGCACAGGTGTGTCGAGTGCACCACCGCCACGGCCGGGCGTGGCTGAGCGTCATGCACCATGCCGAGGGCACACAGATGTCGCGCGAGCCGTCGAACAGCAGCGCATCGACTGGGACGGATACGACGTGCATCGACGACGCGAGGGAACATGGACCGTTTGACCACGTCATCTTTGCGACGCAGGCGAACCAGACCGCACGATTCCTCGAGGCGTATGCAGCTTCGCTGGGCGACGTTGCGGAAAGACGGCGGGTGCGCGAGGTGGTGGAGGCGCTGAGGACGGTGCGGTACGAACGCAGTGTGGTGGTCAACCATACGGATCGCACGTTGCTGCCCGTGAACAGGCGCGACTGGCGAGACCTCAACCTCGTCTCGCCCGCTCCGGCGCCATCGGGCGAGATGGGTCTGGGTCGGAGAGCAAGTGCGGGTTCGGACTGGACGGATTCGAGTTCGGACAGCAGCGATACGGAGGCGGGGCAGGAGGGGCATACGATGGCGACGCATGTACTGCGTGTACCCAGCTATGCGCGCGTGGTCATGCAGACCACCAATCCGCACCGCTCCCTCGAACCGAGCGAAGATAGCGTGCTGTCGAGAGCGGCGTTTGAACGTGCGGTGCTCGATGTGCGTGCGCACGTGGCGAGGCAGAAACTCTTCACGCGCACCATCCGCCACACCAGCAATGCAGATGCGGTGCAGACGGCGGGTGGCACCCAGCTGCAGCTCGGACCGCTCCAGCCGGTGCGTGCGGCCACCGAGCATGCCCAGGTGTGGGTCGCCGGTTCGTGGGCCTCGGGCATTCCACTGCTCGAGGGATGCGTCGTCTCGGCCACGCTCGTTGCCAAGTCCATCGTAAGCGCCGAAGGAGCTTCCCTCCCATCCTCCGCAACATGGTAGACACGCAGCCAATTCAACATGGCCAAACGGTTCTTGCGTGTGTGTGTGCGGGGAAAGGTATATACAAAGTGATAAGGAGGTGGGGGGAAAAATTTTACTTGGAGCCGATGAACTCGCGCACGTAGTCGGCAAACGAGACCATGCAGATGGTCTGCCATACGCCGAGGAAGATGCGTGGTGTGACGCCGCGGTAGAGGCCCTTGATGCCGTTCTCCTTGTAGATGTAGGCAAAGGTGTTTCCAATCGTCAGCTTTTCGGGCCGGTTGCTGCCGGGGGCTGCTTTGGCCATGGACTGCATCTCGACGCGAATGACTTCGATGGGCTGGTTCCACGTGGCGAGTGCACCGCCGATCGAAGAGCATGCGATGCGCTCGGCTGCGTTGAGCTTGTCCTTCTCCGACTTGCCCGAGAGGCTGCGGATGGGCGATTCGGCGAGACGCGCAAAGCCCATGCGCGAACCCCAGTTGGTGCACTGACGCACCGCCACGGCGTTGACACCCTTGTTGATGCCCTTGAGTCCCTCGCGACGGTAGATGTCGGCAAAGACGGCCCAGGTGGAAGGCGGTTTGATGCCCGCTTCGGCCTGCTTGTGGCGTGTGATCTCGGCGGTCTTCATGCAGGTGCAGAAGCCCATGGTTGCATATGCCTGCGCAATGCCTCCCGTCATACCACCGAGCAAACCAGCCGAGCCCGCAGAAAAGCCGGCGTTCTTGGCAACCTTTTCGACCTCAGCTGCGGTGAAGAGCAGAACAGCACCCTTGGTGGAGGCTTCGATCCATGCCCACGGGATGAGACCCTGGTAGAAGCCCAGGATGCCGCCGCGAGACGAGACGGTGCGCAGGGCCTGCATCATGGTCTGCTGTCGGTTCGACGCCATCTGCGTCTTGACCACCTCCAGAGGCTGACCCAGCGTCGTGACCTGCCATGCACAAGGGGGGGAAACAATGTCAGTTGCCAGAGGATCGGAGGTGAATGAGGGCAAGGATGGGGAACGTACCTCGGCGATGTTCATGATGGAACCAACGGCGATGTTGGACCACGAAAAGCCCTTTTGTTGCGGCGCCATTTTAGTCGATATACGGTGTGGGAAAGGACCTGTTGAAGGGGCGAAGGAGGGGGGGAAGAGATGGTGGGAGTGTGAGGGTCGGAAAGAATTGGAAGAAGAAAGTGGATCAGCGAGACCAAGGGGCGGGCTGAGAAGGGACGACCGTGCACTCGCGCATTTCCCCCAACACCAGGCTTCGCAGGCTTCATAGGCTGGGGAAACCCAAACGCGCCAGCACGGACGCAGCCGAGGCTTGGGAGAAAGTGTGCCTTTTTTCCGCCCGCCCCAACGCGTCTCTCTGCTCGCCTGCGCGCGCGCGGATGCAGCCTCGGAGTGCGTTGCATGCAGCGCATCTTTCCACGTCTCGTCCCGATTTGCTCCCAGCCTTGGCCCACACCGTGACTCGACGCCTGCCTCCAATCGCCCAACTGCACCCCGATTCGAACACTCCCGACCGACAGTTCAACATTGTTGGCTGGCGGCTAACCTGGGGCGTATCGCGTGGATCCCGATTGTCAGCCTTTCTTCCGACGCCGCTCTGCCCCCCCCCCCCCCCAAAAGTCGCAACACCGTCTTTGCCCTCCAACTCGGCAGCTCGAAAAGTGTGTCAAGCTCAAGATTCGCGGTGCTTTGCAAAGGTTGTCATCTCTCAGAAAAGCCACCAAAGAGCTTATTTGCACCTCGATACTTTGCATGCAGAAATTGTCACAGGACGACATTCCGGCGCCGAGTGAAGGAGTGGCGGCGATACATCATACGATACGCGAGTCCAACACGTCGTCTCGGGCCAAGATTTGGGGTTATCGATTTTGGCCGCGATGCGCACAATTTCGCTTCGATGTTAGGTCTTTAAAAACTTGGTTTGAGGAGGTTCGGAGATTTTTAGCGTGGACTTTTGGGCCTGCTCGAAAAAATTCTCCGTATCAGCGACTGGGTCTTGGCAGGGTCCACCGCCAAGCAGGCACTATCAGACAGCCGCTAAGACACCGAAGCTTGAGGAGGGGCCAATTTAGTGCAGTCTTGGCTCGAAGCTACGTCGGGTTGCAGTAGCGAGGAAGCTATTTCACCGAACCCACTGTCTGCCCCTTGCTCCCGGGTTTCGATGCACGCGTGAGGAGTAGCGCCAAACGTGCCCAAGCCGCATGAGCAAGACCCAAGGTCGTTATCAGCAAAAGACACTGCGGTTCGGATGGCTTCCCCGGTGGCGGCATGGGGATGCCGATTTCATGTGAATTAGCGAGCGCCAAGCAATGAACGTCCCACTAGGTTACTGCGATGGGTCGAAATTGAAGCCGAGTGCGATAGAATGGCCATGGCGTGCGACCCAATTCGGTGGTACCACTCCAAGGCAGGGAGAAAAGATATATATCCCAACCTCGCACTCTCCTTTGTGAGAAGGCATCCGCTCATCGACCGCACTTCTCTTTGGGACAGCTACGACAATGACCAAGGTTTTGGCAAGGGTGGAGCACATGACGTGTGCATGGTTCACGTCGTGCATGTCGCTCGGCGGCATTTCGAACCTGCTGCTCTCGCGCATCATCGACTCTGCCCCGCTCCACCGCATCGGCATCGCCCTACTCATCCTCAACATGCTCTACTTTATCGCACTGATTCTGCTGCAGGTGGTGCGGTTTACGTGCACACCTGCGCGGGTGGGGTATACGCTCTCCCACCCCATCGAGTGCCTCTTTGTCCCCACCATTGTTCTTGCCGCCGCAACGGTCCTGAACGGGCTTGCGGCGGTCGCGGGGAGGGATGTAGGGGGTGGATTGAGGACGGCGTTCCAGGTGGCATTTTGGGTGTATTTTGCAGCGGCGCTGGTGGTGGGTGTGGGGTGCTACACGGTGCTGTGGGCAAGGGCGGAGGGGAGCATGCACCATATGAACCCGGCTTGGGTGCTCCCTGTCTTCCCGCTTATGCTGTGTGGAAGTGTAGCCGTAGCGGTGGTGCCGACACAGACGGAAGAGAGCGCACTCAATATTGCCATTTGTAAGTTGCCCCACTCCCGCGCCCGCCTCCGAGCTTTCGGAAAAAGGACCAGATTGCTGATGTGTGCTGTTGGGACATAGGTGGATTGACGTGTCAGGGGCTGGGGTATACAGTGTCGTGCATGATGTATGCGGTGTTGTTGTTGCGGCTCATGACGCAAGGTTTCCCACCGGCACGTGCACGACCGGGCCTGTTCATGTGCTGTGGTCCACCAGCCTTTACCATCATCTGCCTGCTGGGACTCGCGCAGGAGATGCAGCGAATTCTACCCGCCTTACCGCTGCCAAGCCTACCGGCATCGACATACGAGACGTTGTTCATCGGCGCGCTCGCTGCAAGCATCCTGCTCTGGACAGTGGCGGCGTGGTTCTACCTCATCACCCTCGCCGCTATCGCCGCAGCTCTGCTGACAGAGCGGAGGAATGTGCAGTTCATCTTGGCGTGGTGGGCGGCCGTGTTCCCTATCACCGGGTTCGCCACTGCCACCAACGCCATCGCCGACGCACTCGACAGCTCGCCGATCAAAATCCTCGCACAGATCATGGTGGTCGTGCTAGCGGTGGTGTTTGTCGCCATTGCCGCGGCGCATATCCATGCTGTAGCCAACGGAATCATTATGGCACAAGGCAAGGATGAAGATCGGCTTATCGACACCATGCATCGTCAAGACGAGGAGAAAGTGCCGGCGGCGGAACGCGAGCGCGAAACGCCGCCGACCTATCCGAACACGCCGGCGGTTTCGGTGTTCCGCCTCGAACGCAAGCTCACGGCGTGATTCGGATGCCCGACCTCGCTTTTCATTTGGCCGCTACTCGCCTTATGCCTGTTTATTGTGCTGCGTTTGCCAATGCGCATCCTCTCATGGCTTTCTCTTTGTGTAGAAGGGTTTCCCTTTGATACCGAGCGTGGGAAGCCAGCGTGATTTCGAAAAAAGAAAGCTTTTTTGGACGAGATCCCCTTTGTGCCTGAAATCCAGACTCGGCTGGTAGGCGGGAAAAGCGAATCTTTCGATGGATTTGCTTTGCGCCCTTTGTCTCATGTTGCACGTGCGCAGCGACGTTGCCGAAGCCAAGAATAAGGGCAGAGGGTGCGTGCGCCAGCAGCAGCAGCATTCGAGCGGGCTGGAAGGCCGGTCCCGGTCGCGGTTGCGTGGGTTGAAGGGCGAGATGAAGTGGGGCGGGTTCGAGACGAGTATTCGAAGCCGAGCAATGCAGGTTTGGTCACCGGTGGTGCAGGCGCCGCCGCCACAAGGTGTGCGCGTTTCATCAACCCACTGCGCCTCGCCCTTTGCCTCCAGCACAGCCCTTCGAATCGTTGGAGGAATGAATGAGAGATCCATGCGCGGTCCTTCAAATGCAGCAATCATGAAATCCGGTCCGACCGTTTGCACCGTGCCTTCTGACCGAGTGATGAGGGGGGTGGCAGGTTGGGATGATGTCAAACAATGCCCGACCTCGAGCCGAGGCTGGTTGAGATTTGTTTTTTTTTTGGTTTTTTTTTGGAGCAGCGCTCGCTATTCATGCACGTCGTGGCCGCATCGGTTCGGGCGAGTGAGATGGGCAGCGAGATCCAAGCTGTTGCATTGGGCGTGCCTGTTCATTGTGGCGTCGCAATGCCGCTTGGATCGTTTCATTTGGGTGGCCCGCAAAAGCCACGCTGGCCTTGGGTGCGGTCAAAGACGAGCTCGGGGCCCGCGCGCTAAGAACAAAGGGCAGAATGTGGGTGAGGCGGCTCCCGCTCCGCGCGGTTTCAACCATCCGCTCCTCCCGCCCACCACTCGCACCACACACACACACACACACACACACACACACACACACACACACACACACACACACACACACACACAGTGGCGGGATGGAGCTGGCGTTCTTGGCCCTTTCATTCCATCGCGCAAGCCAATCGAGCCCTCAAACGGCGCGTGCGGCTGAATGAAGCGGTATTAAAATTGAAGGTGTCGCMCCCCCCCCCCCCCTTCCCTCCTAAGCCCCCCAGATTCATTCGGTCTTTGATCTCTCCCCTCCTCACTCTCTCTGTGCAAAACTCGATCGGATAGATACAACGCATAAGCATAGCCACGGCAGACTGCGTATCGCGCAAGTGAAGAGGCATCGACGGGAAAGAACTCGGATCGCTCGCGTAATACCAGCGCTTGGATCGCCTCGCGTCGTTGGTTGAATTGCACCGCACGGTTCGCGATCCTCCTTGCTGCTGCCGTGGGAGCCAAAGAGTCTCGCTACACGACGATCAGTATTTCCCACGCACGGGCGTCCTGCTCCCACCTCTTTCTCTGGCTGGGATCGACTTTGCTCTGCTTTGCACTGCTCTGCTGGGGCTGAAGGATCGTATATATCCCGCGCAACAATGCTTCAATTCGCGATCGCACCATCTGCGCACTTTGGACGTCCGTACACCATGTCGATTCCCACCACCCGACTTCCACCCATGCAATCCATCCCGCCACCCCCCGCCTCGGTGTCGCTGAGCGACGAAGACATGCTCGAAAGCGACGAGTGGTCCGACAGTCTTGGCGACGCCAAACCGGGTGACCAGCCACAGCGAAGTCGAAGGCTACTCTCGCTCGAGCAGAGTAAAACTCTCTACAAGATTCTGGAAAAGACGCACTTCCCTTCGACGCAGCTGCGCGAAGCGGCGGCCCAGCAGCTCGGAGTCTCGCCGAGGAAGGTGCAAGTTTGGTTTCAGAATCGACGGCAGGTGGGGAAGAAGCGGATGATCGAGGCGGTTCAGGCGAGGGCGGTGTATGGACCGGTGTCGCTCGAGGAGATGCATGCACAGATGCGCGCGACGGGCAAGGGGAGGTTTGGGTGGGATGGAGAGGATGAGCGTACAAGGGCGTGGAGGAGACACACGATTCGGATCGCACTCAACCCGGCGTCCAAGACAAGCCCCCGAGAAGCGGCTCGGAGCGCATTGAGGATCGACGTTCCCCGTGCAGAGTATGCTGCGCCGACGTATACGGGGCTGGGAAGTGCGACGCATCTAGACACGATGTCGAGGGGCATGGAAAGGTTGACGCCTGCGCTGGTGTCGAGTCAGAAGGAAAGCTTCTCGATTCGGTCGAGAAGCCAGACGCTCGGCACGCACGAGGCGGCAAGAGAGGATATCCGACAGGTGAGGGGAAGTCTTACCGCCGAATGGCACGCCAACCAACGCAGCCTCGCCAGGTCGTACGAGCGCAACGATCGATCGGTCCGGCCGGCTCACTCGCCTCCACCCCTGTCTCCATCGCCGAGGTGGAGAGAGTACGCGCATCCGTATAGTCACGCCTATTATGGTCGAAGCCGAAGCTCGTCCGAAGCGTACTACGCTTATCCCCCACCTCAACCACCAGTGCAACGCGCCCAAACGCCGACCACGGCGGACACCCTCGTGGCTGAGCCGCAGTGCAAACTTCCCCCGCCCAAGAGGCTCTCGCCCATGGACGTACGCTCGCTCACCTCGGCCTAGACGCAATTCTGGCACTTGAACAATTTGGTCTCTTTTGACTTTCAACAAGTGTGCTCTGCGTGTGTGTGTGTTTTAGAACATCTCTTCTTCGTCCTGTGCGACCTCTGCGGCATCTGGCACTTCGAAACCTTCCTCTGTCGAGTAGAGGATTGCCTGGATCTGTCGGAGGCTCTCGTGCTCCTCGGTGGGCGGTTCTTCCTCCTCGGCGCCCTCCTCGGGTGGCGGATACTGCTCGGCAAGGATGGCGAGACGCTCCTGGACGAGGATCTCAATGTCTCGGAGCTTGGCGAAGTAAAAGTCGCGTTCCTTTTCGAGCGAGTCGACGCTGACCTTCATCTCGTCCATCTGCTGCGTGAGCGCGTGGATGGTCTCGTTGGGAACTTGGGGTGGTGCTGCCCTTGCGGATGCTGCGGGCGCGGCTGTTCTTCGAACGGGGGCAGTTGCCGAGGGCCGTGTTGCAGCAGCGGCTCGTACGGGAGCTCGTGCGGTGGCAGGTGCGGTGCGTGCAGCACCTACGCTGACAGCCCCCACGAGCGGTGGTGGTGCAGCTGCAGCACCCATCCTTCGTGCTTCGGCATCGTAGGATTCGCCGGGGAAGTTCATGTCCCAGAACTTCTTGAGCCACTGGAGGAACTCGAGGTTGTCCTGCATCTTGCATCGGATGAGACGGTCGACGGGGATGGGCTTGTCGATGCGGTTGCGCTTGAACGCATCCTGGAGCACCTTGAAGTTGTTGATGTACTCGTAGTCGTGCTTGGCATCGAACTTGATCTTGACGAGCGGGACGTTGAGGTAGATCGAGTCGATGATCTGTGCGTACGCTGCACCGGAGCCGCACTGCTCGACCTTGGTGTACGAGAAGCCGAGCAGCTCGTTGATCCAGTTGATGAGTTCGGTGCGTGATTCGCCCATGGTTGCGGTCCAGAAAGGTGGTGGTGTTGGTGAGGAGGAAACCAGAAGCGCGCGCGTGTGGGTGTTGGATCCAAAAAAAGGTGTTGATCTCGCTCCTTCCCTCCTCGCTCCGCCGCGCCCAGGCCATCGGCATTCGCTGAGCGCGTCGGAAATCAAGTGTTAGACCGATAAACGCGTCAGTGTTGGATCGTGTCGATCACACAAATCTCGATGGCGCGCACCGCGGGACGACAGCTGTTGGGGCGATGCCGAATCTGCGCAGCTGCTGCGCATCGCCATGGATTAGCCTCTAGCTCCACCGTCTGCGCATATCCTTTGGGAACAGCACTTGCACTGTGACTTGGCGGCAGCAGCAGCAGCGGCCGACAGTCTTTCGGCGCAACGCACATGAAGCCCCGCTGCGCACTGCCCGCAGGTCGGCCGCCGCGGTGCTTCCGTTCGAGCTCGTAAATGAAATGAAAGCGCTCAGCCTTGGTGGTCCCGCCGTTGTCGTTGCCGTTGAGCCAAGGATTCCCCCTTCGATCGGTTTCCTCCGCTTCCACCGAGACCACCACTTTCTTTCAGTTCTCTCCCTCGACTCGCATGCAGGCTTGACTCGAATCATGGTGGATGCATCCATGCTCGCGTCGCTGCTGGCGGTGCTGGTGGGCGTAGTGATCCTGGGCTTCGCAACCTTTTCGCTCCTGCGCCGACCCAAGCGCCGCTCAGATGGGCGCAACCCTCAGATCTACCTCCATCTTCTCGATTCAACGCTACTACTGGCAATCCTACCGCTACTAGTCCACGACGCTATATCGCCGGGCTCAAAGTCGATCGTGCAAACCGCGTTCGCAGGTACACCGAGCACGTTCTTCGCCACCGTCGCTCTCGTTTTGCGGCAAGCACTCGTGGGAGTTCTCGCAGCAAATGCCGTGCTGAGCAGGAGGATGCGCAGATCGCAGGCGGTTCCACTTGCAGCCGCGGCGGCAGTGGGGGTTGTCGGTGCGGCGACGATTACGAGTGTGCAGTGCGAGTTTTCGCACCCCGCAGGAGCGAGAGTTGGTTGTGCACATGTACCCGCGGTCAAAGGCATGGTCGTCGCCATACAGCTGCTCTTCACCCTCGCGGCTGCGATTATCTTTGCCCACACGGGCACGAAAATCAGCACAAAGCCAGTGCCGCAACGGACTGCAACGGTGTCGTCGCCTCCCGAGTCGCGTATCCAGGTCCAATCGTTTTCGCAGGATAGCGGAGCGAAAGAGGCAGAGACGGGGCAGGGCGTCGATCTGGAGTACGGTGGACGCATCGTCAGCGGAATTCTGGACGATGGAGGGCAGGATGTGGGAACGGCACCTACGTCGGGGTACGGATCTGCCATCGCGAGCTCCGCCAATCCGTACCGCTCCACGCTCTCGTTTGCGCGTGCGGCGGGATTGGATCAAAGCCAGCCGACCTCGCACACGCACGTAGCGGAAAAGCAAACTTACGGGTGGTCGGATTTTGCCCCGCGATCAACACGACGCAAGGCGGCTCGCGCTGCAGCCGATGCGGAGATGGGCGGTGGGCAAGTGCGAGACGAACCGCGTTGGATGCGCCTGCTGGGCTCGCTCTGCGCACTGGCGTGGCCAGTCGCACTGAGCAGCACTGCGCTGCTGATCACACCGTCGGCCAAGCAGACTTACCTCGTCGTTGCCGGCTTTTGCACCCCCGCCGTGGTGATCATCATCAAGAGCACCCGTGGCTGGCTTCGCCCCCGCACTCGGGAAGCGGAAATCGAGGCTGAAGAGGCCACATTGGAAGCGGACAGTTGCTCGACGCACGGCTCGGACTCGGTGGTGGTGGTGGCACCGCCGTCACGCGTGCGCCACTTGCGCTGCTACTCGTACCCACTCCAGGCGGAAAACGGCTACGCTGCAACACACCGGAGCAGCCTGACGTCGGCGAAAAGCGTGCCGTACTTGCGCCAGCACTGGGCAGCGGGCAAGGTGAGCGGTGACAGGGTGGCGCCGAGAAGCAGCTGGGTACGCGCACTCAATCTGCTCGTCAATCCCAAGCCCAGGCTTGAAGTCCTGCCTGCCCGGCAAAGCGTCTCCGAACAGCCGAGAAAGGAGGAAAGGAGGGTGGGGGGATCCTCGGCGACGTTTGCGGCTGGACGAGGATTACTGCAAGCGCGAGAGACGACGGCGGATAGCGAGCATACGTGCATCTCGGATCGACGTGCCGAGTCGGTCACCACGCTCGACGCGATCGCGGGCGACGAGACGGCGTACGACCACGAAGCACCGCAGCAGGAGGCGGAGGGGCTGGACGACTCGCCTGGGAGCGCCAGACGCTGGGGCGAGCAGCTGGACGAGCAGAGCGACTTGAGGTCGCCCACCAAGCGTGTACACGAGCCCGCCCCGACACCGACAACGAGCTTCTCGAACGAAGAGTCGCAGGCACTGGGCAGTGGTGCAGCAAGGCTGTTCAACGAGATCATGGAGCTGGTTCGCGGCACCGACGCTTCGGAACCACGTCCGGTAGGTGCAGGGGTAAAAAGGACACCCCCGCGAGGATATGCTGCGCTCGAAGATGCAAGCCGGGGCACAGTCATTGTGCACCCCGAGTCGAGCTACGTCACAGCCAATGCGTCCCACCTCGAAGGGGATGAAGGCAGAGGACATCGACGGACAGGATCGGCATCGAGCGGCTTCTCGCTGAGCAGCATTTCGAGCCGGTTGCGCGCGATGGGAGGCAGGGATGCCGACTCGCCAGTGGTCAGGAAGATGCGCAGCCGCACATTTGCGTCCGCGTTCGGGATCGAGCTCGGCACACTGGTTCGCAGCGCATCGTGGGGAAGAAGGGCGGGGGTGGAGAGTTCGCCGTCGACGAGTGCAGGGACGTGTCAGTCGTCGCTGCTCGATGTGGGACATTCGCCTTCGCCTGCAGCCCCACAGCATCGCAGGATGGGATCGCACGCAGATTCGCTCATCGAAGGTGACGAAGCAGTCGAGGAGCTAGACGACGTCGACATCGAGGAGCGAGCATCCAGTTCCGCGGTGAGCGAATGGACACGCGATATGACGGGCGATCTTTCCGACATCAGCCTGCCGCTCTGCGAGCTGGAAGAGGAGGGGGTGTCAGAGGCCGAGATCATCGAGAGCTACAAGATGGTCCGGCTCGCAGCAGCGCCGTTTCTGGATACGGTCGAGGAGGAGAGCGAGGCCGAGTGCGAGGGCGCGTTTAGCGCGGGGCAAATGGACCAGGCAGAGTGGCAGAGGGTATTGTTGGCGCAGCACGAGGCCATGTTCCCGCACAAGACGCTGTCGCAGATCGACGAGGTCACCGAGGCGGCCACCTCGCCTGCGTGCAGCGAGGCTGCGAGTGCTAGAGCAAGCAGGATCGAGGCGGGAGATGCGGGCCAGATGCACACGCCAAGTGCAGGCAAACACACGGCGTATCTGGGTCTGCGTATGTCCAAGGCGGTGCACACGGGGATGGAGAGCTCGCAGACCGAGCGCGACGAACACGGCGAGGGTAGCATGGAGACGCCGGGTCTGCTGCCGTTCGTCACGCCACGCAGTCGGATGCGGTGCCGAGCAGCAGAATCGCGAGCGCCACACCCCGAGCCCACTGACAGTACTGTCGACATCGAGCCGTCTCCGCGCTGCCAGAACGTGCGGCTGGAAGAGCTGGGCATGCACGAGGGCATCTGGCAGCGCTCTCCGGTCAAGCTCGAGCTCTCTGCTCCTGCGGCGGAGAGCACCCAAACCACCAGCGAAGACGCCGCACGAGGGGGCACACGGCTACGACGCAGCATGACACTCAAGTGGAGCGCGGCTCGCGACCGGCACGGCTCGCCCAAGCGCGAGGTGCGCAACCGACTGGCGAGGCAGGGCGAGCACGAGGCGGAGAAGCGGCTGCTGCACAAACCGCTCAAAAAGCCACGCAAGAGCCGGCTCAAGGGCGTAGCGGTGATGATTGCTCGACATCAATTCACGGTGGTGGACGAAGACGATTCGCTCGTCCAGCAGAGAGCTGAAGCCGGCCATGACTAGAAGCAAAGCAAAGCAAAGCAATACCAGCATGTGGTTGTGAAGAGCAGCGTCACGCGGTCAACAGCTGTCAGAGCCAGATGTCAAAGCGAATCGCCCAGATGCGCAGCGTGAGAAAAAACTAAGCCGAACAGGCAGAAATGCACAGGCCAGCTGCATCGGCAAGTCCGGCTACGGTCGCATGCAGGGCTGCATTTCACGCGGAGCCCAGGCAAACCGCGAGAGCCGACTCTCGACGCGCCGCTCCTTGGCCTCCTCCTCCTCCCCATTCGCTACCATCATCTCGAGTGTATCGGAAGTTGCCCGCCATGACTGTCGCAAAGCGTGCGGCGCGGGCAGCTCCGCCAGCATCCCAGGTGCGCAACGCCACCATCGCGCGCCAGCACCTCGAGTCGCTGCTCATGCCAGCGGGCAAGGCATACTTACTCGGCTACGTCATGGACATCCTCCCCGCCATCCTCAAGGCGCTCATCAAGTTCGTCACCACCGAACTCAAGCGCATCCGTGCCGACGAAAAGCGCCTGCTCGAAGAGCGAAGGTACGCAAAGGAGTCCGGTCAGCCGCATGCCAAGCCGCACGTGCTCGACGGCTTCAAGTCGGTGTTGCCCAGCTTCTACCGTCTGCCCACGCTGCTTCACGCCATCGCCAATGCGCTCGTCGTAGCGCTCGGCACAAACGGTATGGCTATCAGCTGCTTCCTCGCCATGGCTGGTTGGCGCATCTCGGAATCTCTTGTCTGGTGGCCCATTGCAAAGTACTATGCGCTCAAGCTGGCTAACCCGGCGACGTCGAGCGAGGCGCAGACTGTCAATGCCCTGCGCCAGGCGCGCATCGCAGCAACCTTTGTCGCGTCGTCGCTCAGCTCGGCGCTGGCGATGATGATGCTTCAGCACCAGAGCGAGGCTGCACTCCAGGCCAAGAAGGCTCCCGCTCAAGGCGGAGCGGGTGCTCCGCTGCTTACCATCGACACCACGCCCGGTTGGATTCCCAAGAGCATCAGGCCTTCCAACCTCGGATTCTTGGGCAGGAGGCTCAATGCCAACAACGTGCCTCGCATCGCTAGTCTCGCGCCCGCCGGGCACTTTCTCTCGCGACTCACCAGCCTCACCGTCCCCGCTACGCCGGGCCTCACGCCGGGCTCGCAGGGTGTCAGTCCTTCGGTGCCGGCCAGTCCGGATCCAAGGGCTCCGCCTTCGCCCTCGGCTACGCTCACGCCTCTTCCGCGCGCGTCGCAAGATCCAGCACCTGCAGCGGACAAGGATGCGGCACACCAGCCGGGCAAGAAGCCGCCACTGGGCAGGCCGAGCCCCACTATCGACCTCACGCTGTTTGCGCTCGTGCGCGGCATGGACACGCTCGTGCGTGCGCTCGCCGCGCCTGCCGCTGCGAGCAAGAGCCGGCTTCGTGCATCGGCGCCAGCGACGGCGGCTCCGCGCTCGCGTGCACGAGCCATGCTGCGCAGCGTGGCGCTCGGGCTGGCCGACCAGACCGAGGGGCTGGTGTTTGTGGTGTGCTGCGCACAGATCATGTGGTCGTGGTTCTACCACCCGGAGCGTCTGCCGCCCACGTACGTGAAATGGATCACCAACCTCGCCACCATGGACGAGCGGCTGCTGCTCGCGCTGCGCTGCATCCGAAGCGGCAAGCCGCTCCACTGGGCGTATCAGAGCAAACAGATGACGCCCGAGGGTGTGCATCTGCTGGGGAGTCTGGCGGAAGAGCTCGGCCATCCGTACCAGTGGGGCGATCCCACGAGGTTGCCCAATACCGCGGCAGAGGCGCGTCAGATGGCCAAGCAGGCGCGTGCAGAAGCAGCAGCCAAGCGCGCGGCGGGGCAGGAGGTGGCGCAGCTGGATGGGTTTGTGCTCCACGGCGCGGCGGGGCCGAGGGGCAGGGGAGAGATGGGGGGTATGCCGTGCGAGCTGGTGCACTGTGGAACGGGCGGTGCGAATTGCTACAAGAATGCGCTCTACAGGTGGATGCGCGGCTGGCGGATGAGCATGGCCATCTATGTGCCTGTGCATCTGCTGCCGAGGTTGCTCTTCAATCCGCGTGGCTTTGCGGCGGCCCCGCTGGCGAATATGCTCAAGACGCTGCTGGGGGCGGCGAGGTCGGCGGCGTTTTTGGCGACGTTCATCGTGGGCAACTGGTTCCCGATCTGCTTGGCGCGCTCGGTGGTGCCACGATGGTTGCCGGGAGTGCCGTTTACGTTTTGGGATGCGGGCATTGGGCAGGCGCTGGGGAGCATCGCGTGTGGATTCAGCATCTTTATCGAGGAGAAGCGCAAGCGCGCAGAGATGGCGCTCTACGTCGCCCCGCGCGCGCTGTTTGCGACGGCAGAGAGCGCTAAGCCCGGATGGCTGAGCCAGGGTCAGAGATCGGCGCTGTGGGCAGAGAGGATGACATTCGGTACGGCTGTGGGTGTGGTGGTGGCCGCGGCGCGGTATAGGCCCGAACTGCTCAGGGGCATTACCGCAGCCATGGGTTGGGTCGCAAGACCGCCCGGCAGACCCAGCTCCGGAAGGAACTATGCGCGCAGCCAGTAGGCGCACGCCCCAATGGACAAGAACGATTTGCTCTGTTTGCAGCGCCCGGCAGAAGCAGGTGTGTGTGCGGACAGTACGAGGCTGAGCAGCGTGCGATGGTCCATGTGAACGGCCAGAGTCAAAGGCGTGTAGGCCAGTCGAATGTGGGATGGCGCATGGCAAAGCCACGTCCATCCAATGCACGATGCAGCGTCGACGTCGTTTGTGTGTCCGATGCAGGTGCAATGGTGGCGGTGAGCATCGAAACGGCTTTGGCGACGTTGATGCAGCCAGCATGCGCTGGGGACAGCCAGGTGCAGTGCGGCAAGGTTGCAAGGGCAAGCAAAAGCGAGCAAAGCGGCCCAACCCGACTCACGGCGTGGCTCTGCGTCGGACCTATCCACTCGACGACCGGGAAGAACGCTGAGCAATGTGGTTTTCTGGCGGTACAATTCCAGCGTAAGTGGTTGATAGAGCATCTCGTGTGGAATTCCGCCGAGCGAGAACAGGATTGCTCGGCATGAGAACCTTTTGGCGTTGCAAGATTCTCTGGAGGAGGTTCGGACGCATGGCAGCTGCGAAGAGCTTGGGTGCGGCGCTCGTGTGCGGTGGATGATGTGCCAGCACGAGTCAAGAGCGAGCCCAAGGCCGAGGCTTGTTGTGCGCGTGGCTGGCGCGAGAGCGAGGTTTGAGCGGCCATATCTTGTGTGCTTTGCTGTCTGCAGGGTGGTGGGATCATTCCTTGGGCTTGTCGGAGTGTCCCAGATCCCTACTGGGACTAATAGCATCCCTGATCTTCTGCTTGACCACCTTGACGTCGGGAAAGCCTCCATTCACTTTCCTATCCACAATCAACCTCTGCGCGCCTTGGTGAATAAGGTAGACGCGAAAGCGGCCAGCGGCCTCGGTGCGTGCGTTGGGAACGAGCAGCACCCCTCCAATGCCGGCGGAGTCCGAGGTGGGCGCAAAGGTGGACAGAAGTTCTTGCTGCATCCAGTTGGCGCGCAGGCCGAACTTACACCGAACACAGTACTATCCACCCCCCGAAGTCAGTATATCATATAAGAGAGGGGGGAAGGGAGGATTGGGGGAAGGCTTACTTCGATGGTGACGAGTGGCGTGGGAAGGTGCAGAGGCGAGAGGGTGAGAGGTGGGATGAAGGTTTGGGCGTCCAGTGGGTCTTCTGCTGCAGAGGCGACAGGCTGTTCAGTGGCAGTGGCGGTGGGTGTGGGTGCACAGTCCACACACACCTCCCCATCTGCGGCGGCGGCGGCGGCGGCGGTGGTGGTCGAGCTGCTCATACCGTAAGATCCCCTGCGAGGATGTGCGCTACTTGATGGTCGTCGAAAGATAGCCGTCATCGCTGCACCGTGTGGAGGTTTAGGCATCTCCCTTTTTCAGAGCCCCAATTTTTGCCTTTCTTTTCTGTTTGCTGTATTTCTCGCACCGTATCAATGGTGAGGTCAAAGATTGTCATGCGTCACCCCTGCCTTGCCAAAGTGGACAAGCTCAGCTGGACACCATCAGAGTGTCTTGGGGCCAGCGCTGGTGAGGCTGTCGACTCAACGCACACGCACGACGCAATGCAACGCGTCCCACCCCCGCCCGCTTGCAAGTCCGGCTCAAGACATTACCTTGCCACCCCGGCTCGGCGAAACTGGCACATCGCAAAGTGTGACAACACCGTTGTAGCATCGTTTTCTGCGGCGATCGAACTGGGTTGAGCCCCACCCGACTCGCTCCTCAGGAACCAGTCCATCATCTCGACACAAGCATGCACCGGGGGAGAGCTACAACCGCCCTACGCTTCCTCTCAACTGCGACCGCTTTTTGGTTGCTGCGCACGAGCGACAAGGCAAGCTTCACACTCGGCTTGGGGCCATCGATGCTGATGCTCGCATTGCACACGAGCGAGAATCGTAGCTTTGCACTCGGCGCATCGTGCCATCGATGCTAGTGCTTGCATTACCGCACGCGAGGTTTAAGTGAAGCTTCGGCTCGTCGCGCCATCGGTGCTGGGACTATCTGTACGACTAGTGCTTCATCGAGCTTAGAGACGCGTCGGGCTTCGCGGCTACACCTCGGCGGTGCCGCTCTGCACGGCGGCCCACCTAGCCTTATCCGCCTTGGACATGGCGTCCTTGCGCTTTTGCTTTCCATACGTCGCAGCACTGCAGTTCTTCGCCTGGCTGTCGACGAGCACGACGAGCTGCTGTTCGGGCATGGTCTGCGACCTGGCCCACGACCTCTTACGGCCGATGGCGGTGGAAGGAGGCTGTACCGACGGTGGCGTGTCCTTCCGTACCGTGCCACCGTCACGTCCTTTTCCCTGCGCCTGCTCGTCCTCCTCTGCGATTGTGCCAATGTCCACCGTAACACCCGCGGCCACGAACGGATTCGCCTTGCTGGTGCTTCGCTTCAACCCACCCCCACCACGTTTGGCAGGTGCGCTGGATGCAGCACGCTTCTTGACGGGCGATTCAGATCGACTCCTAGCCTTGTCAGACTTGGTTCCCGCTGCCGCGCTCGCGGGAGGCGTGGCGGAAGACTGGGTACGCTCCATCTTGGCCGCCGCCGAGACGGTGCGATCGAAGCGGCCCTTGCGAGCATCGGTGAGCGCGGCGCGCTTCTGCTTCTTGGCCAGCTTGCGCTGCTCGTCGAGGTAGTCGCTAAATCGGGCCCACGTGTGGCTGCGCACCACCTGCTCGATCGTCTGCACCTCCACCGGCGCCGCTTCATCGACAGACTTGGCGGGGAAGAGCGACAGCGCGGCGCGCTGCAAGTCGCCCTGGATCCACACGTCGAATACGTCCTCCCACTCGCGCGCCGGATTGGGGAAATCGTAGTTGAGCAGGATGGTGCGGATGGGCGCACTGGGATCGTGGATCTCGTCGTCTTGGTCATCCCCGCCCTCCTCGGTGCCAGTACTGACACTCTTGTCGGGCTTGGGGGTGGCACGACGCTTCCTGGAGTCTTCGGCGGTGCTGGTGTCCGGTTCGTCGTCGGAGGAATAGACGAGCCACTCGTCCTGGGCATGGCATGCTTTGGCGAATTCGCGCACGATGCGTTTGGTGCCGGGCACCTTGAGACTGGTGCCGGCGACGATGAGCAGGTCGGGCGGGAGCGGCTTGAGGCGCGGCGGGCGGGCGGCCTTCTTCTTGGACGCTGCGGCCGATTCCTGAGTGCCACTCTTGGGCTCGCTCGCTTCTGCTTCGGCCTCATCGGCAAAGGCGCGCGCGAGGATGTCATCCTTGGAGTCCTGGGCTGGCAGGAGAGCTCCCAAGTCGGAATCGATGGCGCTCTCCGAATCGATGCTGGCGTCGCCTGCGTTGGCCGATTCGTGCTTGAGCGTGGCTTCAAGCTCGAGCTTGGCGGCCTGCTTCTTCTCCTTGCGCTCGCGTGCGCGCGTCTCTGCGGCGGACTCGGGCACGGGCGGCTCGTTGGGATCGCGCAAGCCCAAAATGTCGCGCTGAAGACACTGACCCACGCGTTCTGCGCCTTCGTTCTGACCGCCGTAGAGGACGATGTCGACCTTCATCCTGCCTACGCCGCGGGAGCGCATGTTGTTGGAGGTGCGCACCTCGTCTGCAGTGACGCAGCGCGGGCAGGGCACTGCCTCGCCGTTTTGGAGGAGCTCGATGGCGCGCTTGCTCTCCTCGTGGCCGAGCGAGGCGGAACCTTCGCGCGAGGCGGGTAAGGAGTCGCGCTGGTCAGAGTGCTGGTGGACGGTGTTGCCGAGGAGCACCTTGTGGTTGCAAAGAGCACAGGTGAGCGTCTGGAGGGTGCCGTGGAGCGGGATGGTGCGCGGGAACATGGGAAGAGATTGCTGCTGCTGCTGCTTGTGAGCGAAGAGGAGGGCCGAATCGGACTTGGAGCGCGACCAGTCCGAGGCGCCGAGACGCTTGCGCTTGCCGAGGGCGCGGACGGTGGAGGTGGAGTCGCCTGCCTCGCCGAGCCCGAAAGTGAGGCCGGCCTTCTCTTCGAGGCCGTCGATGTTTTGTGTGTATACGCGCTGAAGACGGCCCTCGTCATCGAGACGCTTGAGGAAGCGATGGAAGATGGTGGGTTGCGCCTCGTCTGCAAGACGTTTGAGCTCAGCGACCATGGAGTAGAAGAGCGCGGAGGTGGACTCTGAGCTAAAGAGACGAGCGTCGAAGAGGTCCTTGCCCGAGGAGAGGCCTGCGGTGGGATGCTTCTCCTTGAGCTTCTTAAAGAGGCCGTGTGCGGAGCGAAAGTCGGGGATGTTGGCGGGGGAAGAGACGGAGATGCCTGCGCCGCAGATGACGGCGATGCGACGCGCACCGGAGACGGCCTCGTAGAGGCGGGCGAGATCGCGCTCTCGGTCCTTGGAGGACTGTGCGAAGGGGGGCACGGCGATGTCTGCGGGAAGTTGGTAGTTGAGCGCCTTGAGGTCGGAGGTGGAGGCGGGGGCGGGCGAAGGGATGGCCGAGGTGGAGGGCTTGGGTGATTCGTCGCGCAGGAGGTTTGCGACGGCCATGCTCTGTACGCGGCGGGAGAGGCGTCTGGAAGTGGAGCCGGTGGCTGGAGTGTCGGATCGTGACGACGATGAAGAGGACGAGGATGCGGAGGATGTATTGGTGTCCAACGTCGGACGCGGACGAGGCTCTGGAGGAAGCGAGACGCTGGCGTCTGTGGGTATGTTGATGACGATCATGGCTGCGGGATGGAGGTGGTGGTGATGAGGAATGCATTCCACGTCCGGTGTGCGAGTGTTGGTGGCGATTTTTCCGCAAACAAAACACACACTTTCGAAGCTCGCCACCTCGAATATGCACGCGTCCACTTGGCTATCATCGGCCAACAGCATGGCCAAGTGGGTGCAGTGCATCGGCGATCTGGCAATACTCCAGCCATGGCCATGGCCAATGCGCACGGAGCTGTTCTCTTCACGCGTTGCCACCTCGTTCCCCTCAAAAGCAAAGCAAAGCATCGCCCACTTGGACATGCAACACGTCGCGCTGCAGTCGGAATATTTCCAAAACGGCGTGTCGCGCGCCGATGCTTTTGGACCCTGCAACGCCGATCCTCGTTAGCCACGCGCGCCGATTTGTCAAAGTGTGAGATCTCGTTTATCGAAATTAAACTGAAATTTCGCCTCCACATCGGCCGGGCGGTCGGTTCGGCCGGGTCGGTTGGGCCTTCTTTCCCCGCACTGGAAGAGCCGGAGAGGAGCAGCAGCAGCAGTGCAACCAACACCCTCTTGAGCGACCACCACCACCACCACCACCACCACCTCGCAGTACCGACAACCACAATGGCAGGCGCAGCATTCCGCACGGCTCGCATCGAGCTTCCCAAAACCGCATTCTTCCTGTGCGACATGCAGGAACGCTTCCGCACCGCCATCGCCAACTTTGACCTCATCACCAACACCTCGGCACGCATGCTGAGGGCCGCCAGCATCCTCGACGTGCCCGTCTTTACCACAGAGCAGAATCCCAAGGCCCTCGGCGCTACAGTGGCTCCCCTGAACGACCTCGTCAAGCAGCTGCCCGAACTTTCGTCCAAAGCAGTCCACCCAAAGACCAAATTCAGCATGGACCTCCCCGGCATCACGGACGCATGGCTCAAGAGCGCAGGCGACATCAAGCACGTCGTCATCTTTGGCATCGAATCGCACGTCTGCGTGCTCCAGACCACGCTCGACCTGCTCGAACGAGGCATCCAGGTGCACGTCATCAAGGACGGCGTATCCAGCTGCAACGTTGGCGAGATCGACGTCGCCCTCGAGGTGAGCCTGCCTCCAGCTTCCTCTTATCCTTCTGCACGCTCGCACGCTCACTCTGACCCTCTTCTGTTGACACGCTGCGCAGCGCATGCGCGACTCGGGCGCAAAGATCACCACCTCCGAGTCGGTGCTCTTCCAGATGCTCGGTGAGTCGTCTCTTCCCCGCGCCAGCACACATCAGCACCAAACTCACAATGTCCTCCATCTCTCTCGCGCAGTCGATGCATCGCATCCCAAGTTCAAGGCCATCTCGAGCCTCATTGTAAGTGCGCCTGGTTCGCAGCAACACAGCTCAAGCACCAGCTCATCACCTCTTTGAATTTGCGCATCAACAGAAGGAAGAAAAGCAGCAGATCAAGGACGCCGTCAACGCGCTCGGCCTCGCAAAGTACTGAACTCGCCATTCGTTCATCATCATCATCATTATGCAGTATCATGAGCAATGAATGAACATGATTGTTGAAATGTCAGTGGAACGTTGGACTGTGCGTCGTGCGGGTGTGTGTGGAGGCAGAAGCCCTAAAACAGAAAAGTGTTGTACTCCTTCGACGCGTTGATGCGGATTTCCATTCGAAAGAGACGCGCGCTCCTCCTCCTCCTCCTCCTCCTCCTCCTCCTTCTTCCTCTCCGCATCGACTGCGCCATGCCATCGCCACCATGAGCGTCGAGTCCAACACCATCACGCTCTTCGTCCTCGACATCTCGGCGCGCATGGGCGAGTCGCGCACCGTCGAGGACCGCGTCGCCACCCCCACCAACTCCATCGAGCGCCGCAAGCGCACCACCACCCACCTCCAGTGGGTCTGCCAGTTCGTCTCGGCACGCATTGCAGAGATCATCCTGCGCGGCCTCAAGACCACCCGCGTCGGCATCGTCACCTACGGCTCGCCGCGCACCAACAACTCCATCCCAGGCATCGACGACTACAACGGCATCGACGAGATCTTCACCCCCGCCCTCCCCACCCTCGACACGCTCGACCTCGTGCAGTGCCTCAGGGCCGTGCATCCAGACCAGGGCGTCAAGCATGGCGATCCACTCGCCGCTCTCGTAGATGCCATCCAGCTCAGTGCAGATCCGCAGAAAGGCGGCATCAAGGACTCGCAGCGCCACTCGTGGAAGCGCACCGTCTACCTCGTCACCGACGCCAAGGCCGAGTTCGGATACAATGGTGCAGACGCCATCAGCGACAAGATCAACCAGGAAAACATCGATCTGCGCCTTCTCGGCGTCGACTTTGACGAAGCCTTGAATCCAAAGCCGGACGATTCGATCAAGTGCAGGAACGAGCGCTTCTGGAAGGATTTCCTTGCCGGCATCCCCAACTCGGGCTTTGCCACCGCTGCATCGGCCATCGAACAGGCGTCTATGCCCAACGTCCAGCTCACACGCCCGGCGCCCACAAAGACCACACTCACATTCGGCGATCCCAACGATCTCGCATCGCGCTCGGCGTTTCAGATCGCCATTGCGCTGTACAAGATGACCGACCCGGCGAGGCCAATGACGCAGAGCAAGATCAGCAAGCTCGCGCGCGAGAGTGCCCAGGCGGCTCAAGAGCGCCAACGCGACCAGGATCGACGCAACCATATCAATCCTACCTCGACGCCCAGCTTAGAGACCAAGGAGGAAGACTCGTCGCTCATCTACCGCGCCGATCTCAAGCGCGAGTTCTTCTTGCTCGATCAACTTGCCGCCGTGGCGAATGCGAACAAGCAGCCCGAAGCGCTACCCCCGGATTCCGAGCCCAACTTTACGCGTGCGTGGAAGCTGGGTGCCAGTCTCATCCCGGTGCCCGACGAGGCGTTTGGATCCATGGACACGCGCAAGGCCATGGAGGTGGTGCACTTCTTCAGCGCCAGCGCATACAGGCGCGAGTACAACCTGGACCAGATCTGGTACGTGTTTGCAGACCATGCGCAGCTCAAGGCGCAGCTCCAGCTCTCGACGCTCATTCGTGCCATGGTCGAACTCGACGTGCTCGCCGTTGTGAGGCTCGTGCGCAAAGATGGAGCTGAACCAGAGTTGGGCATTCTAAAGCCCAGGGTGGAGGAACATAACGAGTTCCTGTTCTACTCCCGTGCGCCCTTCCGAGAAGATCTGCGCAGATTCCCCTTCCCTCCACTCGACAGGATCGTCACCACCGATGGCACCGAGATTAGGCAGGCACCCACCATCCCCGACGACCAAGACCAAAAGTGCATGGACGCGTTTGTCGACAGCATGGAGTTGCCAGATGAGTGGTTCGACGTGCTCGACTCGTACAACCCCGCCATCCATGGCCTCAAGACGGCAGTGCGACACCGATTCGTGCATCCAGACGCCGACTACTTGCCCGGCCCGCACCCGGAGCTGGTCAAGTTTCTCGAGGCTCCGCGCGAGGCGCAGGAGCGTTCGACCAGCGCGGCTCACGAGTGCAGAGAGAGGTTCAGGATCGCCTATGTGCCGCCCAAGGGCAACGCCGACCGCAAGAAGCGAACGCTCAGCGCCATGCAGCAAGACACGCAACATTCCGAAGCAAACAAGGCAGCGCGTGGCAAGGAGGGAGAGGTGAAAGCGGCCCCAGAGCGCGCGGAAGAGTCGGATGCCACCGAGGACGAAGCCGAAGCCAGCGCGCCGCAACCGGCAGAAGTTCAGGCTGAAGCTCGAGCAGCTGCGCCGCGCAGGGCTGCGCCGCTGCTGCGGTTGGAAGATCCCGTGGTGCACCTGCACGAGCTGGTGGAGAGCGACGACGTGACGCGAGCCATGCAGTCGCTGCTCGCGACGATCGACCATCTTGTTAGCGAGCGCGAGTACGAGCGTGCAGCGCAGTGCATGCTCGCGGGCAAAAAGGTGGCGCAGGAATACGAAGAGGCCATCACCTGGAACGCCTACATCCGCACGCTCAAGACGCGCATCCTCGCAGCCCACCGCAGCTTCTGGGACACCACACTCGCAGGTAAACTCGAGTACGGTCTCGTGGCGGAAGAGGAGGACGAGGCGGGGCAGAGCGATGTCACGCCCGAAGATGCGCGCGAGTTTGTCGACACAGAGCATGTCTAGTTCTTGCCGCTTCTGATGCAAATCATAGGTCATGAGCGTGGATTCTTTCACGGTGTGGACTTTTTGGGTGAGGTGGAGAAGCCCATTGCGAGCAGCGTATTCTTCTGTGCCGGTTTCTTGGCTGGTGAGCGCTTGGTGTCGGGTGGCACACCGATCTGCATGAGCTCGGTGAAGCGTTCAAAGTGGTGGGTGGGAAGAATGCCGCCACTTGCCTGAGGATGACCATTGAATGCATTGCCTCCGAGTTCTTGCATGAGCTCGTTCAGCCACGACTCGTCTCGGCGGGCATACTCGTGCAGCAGCTGGATGATGTCGACGTGCTCGCCTCGGGTTTTGGCAGCGTTGGCGATGCGACAGCTGAAATGCACATTGGCGTCGGTATAGCCGTCGTTGGCGCACATGACGGCCTGCAGCTTGTTACTCTTGAGTGCGCCGGTCCAGCGAGTGGCGATGGACGGATGGACCTGAAAGCTGGATGTGATGCGCAGCAGCGCGATGCGGCCGTCCTTTGTGAATTTGGGCGGAGTGTGGGTGCACCGTTCGGTCTCGAGGAGCACCGCCTCGCGCGCCGCGTACAGTCGAGCTGCGTGCTCGTTCGTCGCAGGATCGAGGATGGTGAGCGGAGATGTAGATGCGAGCAGCGCAGACCAGGCGGTGGAAACGTCGAATTCAGGAGTGCGGCGTGGAGCGTTGAGCAAGGCGATGGCTGAACCCAGCCGTTTCTTGGTCCACTTTTTGACTTCTGGTGTGAGGTCCGGGAAGGGCGGTTGCCAGGAGACATTGACGCTGAGGTCGCCCATGGTGCCCAGCACGGCGAGGTAGTCGATCTGCGCTTCCGCGTCAGCGTCAGCAGACCATAATGGCCGGCATAGGACCCAGGTGAGTAAGGATGCGGTGGCGACAGGCTCGTGGTGGCAGGCGTTGAGCATAAGGCAACCCTCGGGTCCGCCCTGACCAAGGGCTAGGAAGTGGTGGTCGACCACCATGGTGGCTACTACATCCGGGCGCTTTGAACGCCAGCCGTGCTCGGCACCGGGTACGATGGCGGGACCGGTGCGGGAGCCCTGGTCGAGCACGATGATCCACTTTGCGCCGTAGTGGGCGATGGCTTGGCGCTGGGCGGATGCACCCGGGTGAGCTCCTTTGGTCATGAGGTGCACGTCGATGCGGGCGGGTGAGATGCCGAGAGCGTGTACGAGCGTGCGATACATGATCGCTCCCGAGCACAGACCGTCTGCGTCCTTGTCGGGCAGGAGGAGGATGCGGTCCGAGGCGGGAGAGGCTGCACACGCCTCGAGGAACTCGGTGGCTTCGCGCAGCTTGGTTGGAGGAGCAGGCCATTCTGGATGCGAGTCCGATAGTCGGGAGACGGTCATAGGAGTGGCCATTGGAGATGGCGAGCGAGGTTCCGATGCTGCCACCGTCTTGGCGCGTTTGCTGGACGACGATGCCGAGGCGGCGCTTCGTTTGGTTGCGGCCGTCATGGTTGGGGTGCGCGGACAGCGAAGCCGCAGCAAGGGTGCAAGCCAAAGTGCAGGCCTAGTCGACATGCCCCAGCGCAGTATCACGGCCAGACAACTTCATGGAACGTCGAAGCGATGGTGTGGTAGTGTTGGTGGTAGCAACGAGCAGAAGAGCATCATGTCTTTGCACACTCAGCAAAACCTCCACACACGCCGGTCATCAACGTCACCGATGGGCCGAGTCGAAATTTTGCGAATGTTAGGGCAGCGTAACTGACATGTAGAGAAGCTGTGACTCGCATTAAGTAATCCTTAGACCGTCCCCGCTTGGCGCGCATCTCTTGATTGGGATGGCAATTTCGGATCAAGGCTCGTCGGCTGAGCCGGTCGCATCAGAGCCGCTCGAGCCGCCGCCGCCGCGCGTTGAAAGCGAAGCCAAGCAGAGGCAGTTAGTTGCAGTTGAGTGAGCTGCGACCCCGCCGATGTCACCCGGCCGGCCCAGCGACTCTGTGTGCGAAGCCGAGTCGCAGCCACATCCTTCTCCTCCACCATATCCTCTCCACCCTAGCTAACCATGATCGCCACCGCCATGCTCCCTCGCGTCAGCCTGCGCACCGCCGCTGCGTCTGCGCTGCCCCTCCGTCGCGGATTCGCCACCTCGCGCGTCGACCTCGCCAACACGCTCGTCTTCCTCGAGCACAAGAAGGGCACCTTCAACCCCGCCGCCCTCTCCGCACTCACCGCCGCCCAAAAGCTCGGCGGCGACATCGACGCTCTCGTCGTAGGCTCCGAGGCCGAGGCCAGCGACGTCGCCTCCAAGGCTGCCAAGTAAGTTTGCCAAACGCATTACCGCGCCGTATACAGAGATGGCCCCAGCTGACTTGGAGTCTTTCCGCACAGGCTCCCCGGTCTCAAGAAGGTGCTCTTCGCCAAGCACGCCGACTTTGCCAACAACCTCTCCGAGCCGCTCGCTCCGCTGCTCAAGAAGATCGTCGAGTCCAACTCCTACACCCACGTCTGCACCGGCCACACCGCCGTCGGCCGCGACATCTTCCCGCGTGCCGCCGCGCTCCTCGACTCGTCCCAGGTGTCCGACATCATCGGTCTCGAGGGCGAGGACACCTTCGTACGTCCCATCTACGCCGGCAACGCCATCGCCACCCTCAAGAGCTCCGACAAGGTCAAGGTCTTCACCGTCCGCGGCACCGCCTTTGATGCTGCCGCGCTCGAGGGTGGCAGCGCCACCACCGAGGAGGTCAAGCCCGACTCCGTCGAGTCGCCCACCGACTTTATCGAGGAGAAGGTGTCCGAGTCGTCGCGCCCCGACCTCGCCACCGCCTCGCGCGTCGTCTCGGGCGGCCGCGCCCTCAAGTCGTCCGAAAACTTTGTCAAGTACATTGAGCCGCTCGCCGACTCGCTCAACGCCGCCGTGGGCGCTTCGCGTGCCGCCGTCGACGCTGGCTACGCCGACAACGCGCTCCAGGTCGGTCAGACGGGCAAGATCATCGCTCCCGAGCTCTACGTCGCCATCGGCATCTCGGGCGCCATCCAGCACCTCGCCGGCATGAAGGACAGCAAGACCATCGTCGCCATCAACAAGGACGCAGACGCTCCCATCTTCCAGGTCGCCGACCTCGGCCTCGTCGCAGACCTCTACGAGGCCGTGCCCGAGATGCTCGAGAAGATCAAGTAGATTCGCATCGAGTGCCCTCGAATCAACCCCCTTTTGCTGTGCTCGCTGTCGTCGTGTGTGAGATTTCCCTGAGCCAGCAGCTACTGTAGCTGCGGGCGCGCGCGTAACGCGGCTTGAATTGAAATACACGCGGCTCCAAATCACAATTCCAAGACCAACACTGTCCGACACCATCTTCTTCCTTCTCGGCCTCCATTCGCAACCCCTTCTCTGCACGCGCGCCATGGCGCTCCCTCTGCACGATGGCTCGCTCGTCGGCGACGGCAGCCAGATCGGCATGTTCCCCGTCCTCGCAGATCAGCATCTCGAAAAGCACGCGCGTCTCCTCCGCTCCGCCGCCAACCCGCGCATGGACCTCGTCCTGCTCATCCTCAAGGACGCCGCCGCCGCCGCCTCGACATCCGCCGCGCCAGCTCCACCCCCGGGAATGTCCGCCGCTCAGTTCGCTCTCGTACAGCGCATGCTCGCTGCTCGCCAACGCGGCGCCAACGCAGCCTCGGCACAAGGCGGTGGCGCAATAGAACCCAAGCGCGGTCCCCAAATCAACCTCGTCCTCTGGCGCATGGGAGACGACAGCACCATCGTCTGGTCCTCTCCACTCTCCTTCGAAAAGCTCATGGACCCATCTGTCGCCTCGCCGCTTCAGGAACACGAAGACCTCCTTCTGCACGATGTCGTCTGGAGCCCGGCCGGAGATCGGCTCGCCCTGCTTGCCACTCTCACCAGGTCGCCCGTCGCATCGTCCTCCACAGCAAAGCCGCGCACGTCCACCTTCCTCCGCACATACTCAATCCAAGATGGCAGACTGCTCTCCACCGTCCAACTTCACCACGCGCAGGCAGCCGGCGCGCCAATGTCCATGCAGTGGCTCGACACCGAGTTTGCCGCCGATGGCGATATGGTCGATGGCAGCGCTGAAGCCCTCCTCGCAAAGCTACCCCCCCTGCCACAGCTTCCACCCGCAGACACGTTTGCATCCGCTAGCGCCACGGGCAACCTCATGCCACACCAACTCAGGATGATGCAGATGGCAGGCCAGAAACCACCGCCAAGCTTTCAGTACCCGTCCCAGCTCGCCTTGCAAGGAAGAGGGCCTCTGTCCACGATCCCCACCCTGGCAAAGTCCAACGCAGACCTAGGACTGCTCGAGGGAGCAGATGGAAGCCTGGCGCTCAATCCGCAAAGCGCTCTGCCGTTGACTCCGCAGACTGTCGTCGTCGTCGCGCAGCCCGCGGCCGACAATGTGCATCTCGTCTTGGACGGCCAAGTGTGCATCGGCGTCGTCCCTCTCGCATCGTCGGATAACGAATCGCCCCAAACCCAGCTCGTCTCGCTCTCCCGTGACATGAGCCGTCTAGAGGTGCTCTCCACCAGCTCCCGCGCAGCATTGACCCATGTCCAGATCAGTCTGCCTCTCCGCGCCACAACACGCTACGCACCCTCCTGCATCCGACGCCGAATCGCTGCCGTGAGCCGTGCAAGCTACCTTGCGCGCTTCTACCTCGGCTACGCACTCGACACCGCCTCAGCGCTCCAGCAGCTCTATCAAAAGGAGTACGTGCAAAAAGTGACGAGCGAGTGGGCCAAGAACATCGACGACATCAGCTCCAAGTTCGGCGGCGACATGAAGTACGAGCTGATCAACGTGCTGCTGACAGGTCGTGCCGGGCCGGCGGCGGAGCAGTTCCTGCTGGGCAACTTGACCGAGGGAGTGCTCACGCGCCTCGAGCAGCACACGCACGCCGCCATGTATGCGCTCAAGAAACACATCGCCGACAGCCTGCGTCCGTCGCTGGAGCGTGCCATCGTCTGCATAGACGGTCTGAGAGCATACACGCGCTTCTTTGACCAACACGACGGCGACACCGAGCAGATGCTAACAAAGGTGCTGGACATGCTGCAACAGGTGCTGGCGGCGGCACTGCAGCTGGCGGATGAGATGGATCAAGAGGCGCTCGTATCGCAAGAGTTCTATAGGTGGTGCAGGACCGAGCGCGACAGGCAGGAACGCATCAAGCAGGATCAGGACGAACCAAGACTGCCCATCGTCTACGACGTACACTACGTGGCCAAGCACATCGACCGCGGATTCGAGAACGATGTGATTGCACAGACGCTCGCCAACAACGCCGCGCGGGATGCTACGAAGCCCGTCGATCCCAGGCTCCACGCAGCAAGCTTGGCAGAGGCACTCCAACAGGCCAAGTCGTTCCTCTCCGATCCTCACACTGCCCACATTGGGTCAGAACCGATCGCGTCAGGAGAACAAGAGACGGTGTCTATCGTGCCAATGCTCACCGCAGCCATCACGATTCTGGGCGAACAAATGGCACATCTGCTCGATGCCGACTTGCAAACGCCGCTGCTGCACTCGAGCTCGAACAGCGTAGCCAGTCAAGCTTCTGCTCTGGTCATGGAGGATGTACCTGCAACGTCTTTCGCCTCCATCGTCGAGCAGCAGCCGGAACGCATACGCACGGCATCGTTCCTGTCGACCGAAACGATGCTTGCCGCCTTCATTGTTCGCAGCGATGACACATTCTCGATCTTGGTCATCCGACGTGACCTGGGTGCAGACGCCGGCATCCTCGCGGCGCACTTCGCCATTGCTCAGCTTCCCGGCTACAGCGGAGCGGACATTATCGATGTCGGATTCTACGGCGACACGGACCTGCTCGTGCTGGCCACACTTGAGGCAACCAGCGTCTTGCTAGCTTTCGCACTGCCGCACCTTCCCTTTTCTGCGCACGCATCCGAGATGCAGCAGATTGCGCCAACGCGGGCGACAGAGTTTGAGCCAGGATTCAGGGCAAGCTCGATCGCAGTCAACACGAACAAGCAGACCGTCGCTCTGGCAGCCCAGGATGGTACCAGGCTTGTGTACCTCGACATGGCGACCGTCGAGCCCTATGACACACGCATGCACGACCAACATTGATCGTGCCCTTTGTCGGCTCGATTCAGTCATAGCCTTCATGTCTAATAACGAGTCGACTGAATCATGCGCGTGCATTCCATCGTTCATGCTTCGTGTCGTGTGAAATCGGACGAAGGCACGAGCCCAAGCTATACGACTCCGCTCAATGCTCGAAGTCGGCCTTGAAAAGGAGTCGGGAGGTCTTGAGAATCTACATTGCCTCGAAGCCGTGGGTGGGACTGAAGCCGTAACCCCCGCTAGCCATACTGTCAGAAGGACACCGAAGGAAGCAGCCCATCGTCACCAACATCATTGATGCGCACGGTCGCCGTGGATTCGGCTCACAGATGAATCCAATTCGGCGGCATCGAAATTAACTACGCTAATCCTGCAGGATCAAGCAAGCCCGGCCTGGTAAGGCTCAAGGATCATGAGGTGCGATTTGTTACCGATCATGAGTCGACGAGCTTGTGTCTGACGGCAACACGTGGCTCATGATCAGGTGCTGCCGTAAAGAACGCACTGAGATCCATCACTACACACATCTTGGACGTGGGAGTCGTCGGCGTCATCGTTTGTATCATGTGTTGGAGCCCGCAATGGCGGAGTTAGAGCACCGGAACCAGGCGACACAAGAGAGACGAAGTTGATGCAATGAAATGTATTGATCGAGAATGCGAATGTATATGATGGTGATGTCACTACTGACTGTGTGCAAAGGAACCTGAGTGTCTGACTTCTGGTTGTGACCAAAATGTTGTGTTGCAAAGCTGTTGAGTTCCTCGTCGTATAGCTGCCTCAGATTGCATGGTGTGCCCGTTCCATAGTAGTCGCAGACGCTAGCAAGGCTTCCTCTGGCTCTGATCTTTGGCAGGGTTGGAAGGTCTTGACTTGAATCCCAGCCGGTGCTTCAAGTCGTTTCGCGGATGCGTATCGGCCTTTGACTGATGCCCCTCCGATTGTGTTCGCGGAGCAGATCACCAACAGAATGTCCAGAAACCAAGAGCGACTCGTCGGTCAGACGATTTAAGATGATGTACAACACTGCTGCTTTGATCTGTCGATTCGTTGCTGCGCTCAGTTTCTCTGCCAGATACGGTGGTGGCCAAGCTTGCATGGAGTGTGATCTAGACTTGCACCACGCGGGTCTTATGCGATCCGTCCTGTGCACTCGAATGCTGAAAGTGGGTGTCGAAAGTACGTCCCTATGCTTCCAAATCTTGGAAGGGCGTGGTGCCGCGAGAAGCCCAAAGTGCCGGAGCGGCACTTTCCGTACGTGATGAGCTCCCTTATATGCTGTCGTTAATAGCGCGACATTGCGCACGGCTCATCTGAAATTTGACCGGCCAGCTTTTGTTCAATGCTCTATTGTTGACTTGGCCTGAGCTCAGTCGGCAACCTGTGGTGCACTTGTCAGAGTGATTCGGATCGGGTCCGACCCCTTTTCACACACTAGGGGGTGACTCCTCACACACTAAGAGACAATTTGCTTACAGTAAGGCACCTTTGGCCAAACCTGTGGTTTCAACACAACATATTGAAGGTCGAAAAGCATGTATGAGCTTGTGTGTAGCGACTTAGCAATCAACTTATGCCTAAGTCGTCACAATGCACGGAAAGATGGCATCACGATCATAGCTTTGACAATGGAAAACCTCGTGTCAGACAAAAGGTGCCCCAGTCTTGAAGTCAATTGTAAATTTTTCATGATTTGAAGAGCCCAATATTTTGATGCCCCCGGAGAACGACCTGCGAACTATTTAAAACATAAGTTAATTCTTCACAAGAATCACGCGGATCGACCATGTAAATCATTGCCGTCAGAATCAGTAATTCATGATTCAAAATCATGCACTCACAACTCCATTCGAATATCCTTGATTAGCTCGTCGTCATGCAAGCACCTTCTTCCTGCTGGCAACAATGATCAACGTGAGTGGCCCATTAGTGAAATAGAAATCATAGTAATGGTATGATCACGCGAAGGCCCAAAATCACAAAAATCAAGAACAATTTAAGTTCTTCGCACTCCCGTCTCTTCCCCGCTCTCTACCCGCTGCATAGACGACTTCGAGGTCGGCCG